CATGCTCTTATTCAACATAATTCTGGAAGTTATAGACACTGCAGTGAGGCAAGAAAAAGAAATTAAAGGCATGAAAATTGGAAAGGAAAAAATAAAACTGTTTCTATTTCCAAATGACTTGTTTGTTTATGTAGAAGATCCCAAGGAATCTAAACAAAAAAAAACAAACAAAAAACAAATCCTAGAACTAATAAGCGACTTTAGCAAGATGGCAGATATAAGGCCACACCCCCAAATTGCTTACATTTCTATATACTAACAGTAATTATCTAGAGGGGCGCCTGGGTGGCTCAGATGGTTAAGCGTCTGCCTTCAGCTCAGGTCATGATCCCAGGGTCCTGGGATTGAGTCCTGCATCGGGCTCCCTGCTCCTTAGGAGCCTGCTTCTCCCTCTGCCTCTCATGAATAAATAAATAAAAAAAAATGTTTAAAAAAATAATTATCTAGAAATAAAAATTTAAAACACAATACAATTTATAAGCACTCAAAGAAAATGAAATGCCTGTACACTTTAAAAAACATGTACAATATTTGTATACGAAAAATTATACAAGACTGATGAAAGAAATCAAGAAAGACCTACATAAATGGAGAGACATACTATGTCCAAGGATTGGAAGACTGAATATGGTAAAGATACCAGTTATCTCCAAATTGATCTATAGGTTTAATGTAATTCCTATCAAAATCCCAGCATGTTTTTTTTTTATAGGCATAGACAACCTTATTCTAAAATCTATATGGACAGCCATAAAGTTTATATGGGAACATAACTAAAACAATCATGGAAAAGAAGTCTAAAATGGGAATTATCACTCTCCCAGATACTAAGGCTTACTTACTATATAACTACAGTAATCAGGACAATGTCGTATTAGCAGAGGGATAAACACGTAAATCAATGGAACAAAATACAGAACCCAGAAATCAACTCACATACCATACAACCCAGCAATTCCACTCTTGGGTATTTATCTCAGAGAAATAAAAGCTTATCTTCACACAAACACTTGTACACTTGTATATGAATGTTCATAACAGCTTTATTTGTAATATCAGGAAACAACCCAGATAGCTTTTCCCAGGTGAATGGTTAAACGAATGGTGGTACATGCATACCGTGGAATACTACTCAGCAATAAAAGGAAACTATTGATACATAAAACAACTCAGATGAATCTCCAAGGAATTGTGCCAAGTAAGAAAAGCCAATTCCCAAAGGTGATACACTATAAAATTCCATGTATATAATATTCTTCAAATGACAAAATTTTCTAAATGGAGAACAGATTAGTGCTTGAGAGTTTAGGGATGGGTGAGAGGAGAGGGGCAGGCGTGTGGATATGATTATAAAATGCCAACATGAGAGATCCTTATGGTAATGCAACTGGTCAGTATCTTGAATGTGGTGGTGGATACACAAACCTGTACATGTGATGAAATTCCATACAACTACACACACACACACACACACACACAAGTATACATGATGCTGGGGAAATCTGAATGAGATCAGTGGAATACATTAATGTCCATATCCAGCTGTGATAGTGTACTATAGTAAAATGTTCATAAGATGTTACTATTGGGGGAAATGGAATACAGGGTACAGAAAATCTATTATTTCTTACAACTGCATGTGAATCTACAAGTATCTCAATAAAAGTTTCAATTTACAAAAACCATTTCATATACAATGAAAAAAATTGAACCTCAACAATATGACCATTGTAAAATTTGTGTTATTGTTGTGGAAAATGTAATTTACTCACAGAATAATGCCTGTTGAATGACTCATTAAAAAAAACACAATTACACAAAAAGATTGAAAATAAATGAGTGGGAAAAAGCTCTATGAGGCAAACACTAATCAAAACTGATATAGTGACATTAATATCAGCCGAAATATCTTTATTATGGACGAACATTATTACAGATAAAGAGGGTCATTAATGATGAAAGAAATAATTCTCTGGGAGTATTTAAAAGCCCTTTACTTGTATTACTTAAATAACATAGCCTTGAACAATGCAAAGCAGAAATTAAGAATAAAGGAGAAAGTGACAATCCACAATCTTAATTGTCAGGGTTGTTTAAAGCATTTTTCTCAGTAACTGATACACCAAGGAGCCAAAATAGTTGTAGACAGAATATGTGAATAACATATGTAGCACCCTTTAACCATCAATTATGGAAATGGATGCACATTATCCCAAGGACATATGGAACAGTTATAAAAACCAGTCACGTACTGGGCTGCAAAGGAAGATTCAAAATGCCAAAGAATTGATACCTTGGAGCATGGATTAGTCATCAACAGCCAGGAGGCCAAATCCAGCCTGCCATCTGTTTTTGCAAATAAACTGTTATTGGAACACAGCCATACCCATTCATTTACATATTGTCTATGGCTGCTATCGCACGACAGTGACAGAACTGGTTGGTTGCAACAGAGAATATATTAACCACAAAACTTAAAATATTTACTATTGTCCTTTTACAGAAAAAGTTTGCTGACCCCCACCTTGGAGAATGGGTCCTTGGAACACAAAGCAATGTTAGAAATCAGTAACACCCACAGAGAAACAAGTATTTAGAAATTTAAAAAATCACACTTCTAAATACCTCAAAGATCAAAGAAGAAAGTCTAAATGGAGCTAACAGAATATATCAATGTTTTAACATTGAAATGTACATGTCAAATGATGGAATGCAGGTAAAATGGAACTCAGAGAAATTTTAGCCTTAAAATGTTAATAGTAGAATATAAGAAAAATTGAAAATTATGTGACAAACGTTCAACTCAAGAAGCCAGTGCCAAGACAGTTCTATAGGGAAAAACTAATCTTTGCAACAAGTGGTGCTGGAAAAATTAGATATCCACAGGCAAAAGAATAAAACTGACCCCTACTTCACACCATATACAAAAATTAACTCAAAATGATTAAAGACTTAAGTATAAGCACCCAAACTATAGAACTGTAGATATAACATAGATATAAACATAGATATAAATCTTTGTGAGGTTGAATTAGGCTGTAATTTCTAAAATATGGCACAAAAAGCATAAGAAACAAAAGAAAAAATGAATAAAACTTAAAACTTTTATGCTTCAAAGGATACTATTGTAAAAATGAAAAGACAGCCTACAGAATAAGAGAAAATATTTGTAAATCGTATGTCTGATAAGGGTCTGGTATCCAGAATATACAAAGAATAATTATAACAGTAAAAAGAGAACCCAATTAAGAAACAAAGGATTTGAATAGACATTTCTCCAAAGAAGATACGTGAATGACTGATAAGAACGTGAAGAGATGTTTGGCATCATTAGTTATTAAGGAAATGTGAGTCAAAACCACAATGCAATGCCACTTCACACCCATTAGGATGGCTATAACCAACAAGCTTGGCAATAACAAGTGTTGACAAGTATATGGAGACACTGGAACCCTGATACATTGCTGATGGGAATGTAAAATGGTGCAGCCGATTTGGAAAACAGTCTGCTAGTTCTTCAAAAAGTTAAATATAAAGTGACTGTATGACCCAACAATTCCAGTCTGTGGCGTATACCCAAGAGAACTGAAAACACATGTCCACACAAAAATGTATACATTAATGTTCATACTAGTACTATTCGTGATAGCCGAAAAGTAGGAACAACGCAAATGTCCAGCTGAGAGATGGGTAAAGGAAATGTGGTAGATCCATGCAATGGAATATTATCCAGCCGTAAAATGTAACAAAGTACTGATACATGCTACTACAGAGATGAACCTTGAAAACATGCTAAGAAAAAGAAGTCAGACACAAAATGCCACATATTGCATTATTCCATTTATATGAAATGCCTAGAATAGGCAAATCCATAGAGACAGAAAGTGGATTACTGGTGGCCAAGGACTGGGGCAAGGGATAGAAATTGGGAGCAACTGCTAATAGGTTTCTTTTGGGGGGGATGAAAATGTTGTGGAGTTCTATAGTGGTGATTGTTGCACAACTTTGTAAATATACTAAAAACCACTAAATTGTATACTTCAAAAGAATGTCTATTATGGTGTGTGAGTTATGTCTCCAGTTTTGAAAAAAGAAAAGAAGATAGAAAGGAAACATCAGAAGAAAATAAGTGAAAATGGAAGGAAGTAATAAAATAAATACAATTAATGAAATCCTAAAAAATGAAAGGGATCAACAAAATCAAAAGCTGATTTTTAGGGAAAAGATATAGAAACTGAAGAGAAAATGCTCTAAGTGAGAATAATGAGGGAATCTAAGCAAGTAGACTGAAAACAAAAGCTTACGTTGTCTGAACAGTGAATAAAATGAGCGTGGATTGGGTTATTAGCGTCCATAGGTTTGAGCGATTCCACCCCACCTGTCTATCTCTGCTATTTCCGGGGCCACACGTTGGACTCAGAACCTTCACAGAGCCTCCATTTCTTTTCCCCGTCCCTCTCTTAAAGGTCCAGCTGCGCCGAGAGACTGGGAAGGGCTGGGGGACTTTATGAGGCTCTGCTTTTTCCAGGGGTTTATCTTGCGAAGAGTTTGTCTTCCCAGCATCACAGACTGGTTTACTTTATTTGTCAGACTGGCCAAATTATTTTCAACCTTTACAACATTGACGGGCATTTGGTCAGGGCAGGGGATTGGCTCGGTAAGTGCTCCCAGGTGTTCCCAGTGCTGAGAAGAGGGCACATCCCTGACTCACCTCCATCCTAGAGGATGCCTTGTTGGGGCCCGCTTGAGTCTGAGGATCTCGGGCTGCCGTTGAGCCCCACAGGGGCTTGTTCGAGGCTTCCGGCAAGGCAACCAGCTTCCATCATAGCCCCGGCACCCTTACTAACACTCAGGGGTTCAAAACCCTGAGCAGACCGAATACCCCCTTTAGAACACATGTTCTTAACCCCCCTCTGTGGATTCATGGATAATAATAGTTTTAACCATGATGTACAGAAGGAATGAAAGGCAGAGTATACAGCAGCATGCCTGTCTTGCAGATGGCGAGGAGAATGCCATGCTTCTGCCCAGCCCCAGGACCTCGGACGCCAGAACTGAGACCTTTTCTTCTCGGGTCCGAAGAGCCACAACCTCGAGGACAGAGAGAATATGGCCCGGAGGGGTCATCCCCTACGTCATCGGTGGGAACTTCACTGGTCAGTAGTACCAAAGGAGGCCTCCTTTTGGGGCTGGGGGCTTTGTCCCCCTAGGTTGACAGTGTCCTCCCCGGGGTGGAGCAGATGCTGGGGCATCACAGTCCTACCTGCTAATGCCCCATTATGCCTTTCAGGGCTAGTGCACTGAGCCTGGTGAAACTGCGGTCTCTGCTGGGGCTGTGTCCTCAAAGGTGGTCACCTAGTCCCCAAGCCTTCATGCTGGGGGTCACATATGATCCTGGTCTTGAAATAGAGACAGGGTTTGCCCAATGGGTAGGTGAGCAGAGCCCTCCAGGCAGGAGGCAGCTCTGAGCAGCCACACGTGGTAGGCTGACCTGGCTAATGCCTGGGCGGGCACCCTGTCCCGGTCCCCACCGCCGCAGCAATACGCCAGGTAAGCAGAGCGGGCCATTAGATGTGGCCAATCCTGGCTGTGGCGCTTGCCACTAGTATACCCTGGGGCAAGTCGCTTCACCTCACCTGGCCTCAGTCGCCTCTTCTGTAAGTGGGGACGATAATACTTTCTAGCCCGTAGGGTTGTTTTGAGAATTAAACGAGTTAAGTAGATAAAGCACTTGAATAGTGTCTGGCACATAGTAATTAGTAATTATTTACTATTGGTATTATTAGCTTTAAAATACGTATGTCAGCCAGTGGCTTCCCATCACTACTAGTGAAACTGAAACTCCTGACCATGGCTGCCAAGGCCCTCCTCCAGGCAGCGCTTGCCCACGTCCTACCCCGTCTCCTACCCTGCTCCTGCGCTCTTCTCCCCAGTCCCTGTGTGCTGGCCTCACAGGTATCTTTATGGTACTTCCCATTACCCGAAATGCTTTGACTTTTATTTTTGTTTTGCCTATTTTTTGTCTCTGCCCAATGCTGTGGGTGCAGGGATCTTTATTCCTGTCTTGTTTTCATTTCTATGCCTCCAACACCTAGAACAGTGCGGCGACGCGTAGTCGATGGTCAGCGGTTATGCCCACAGCAGGCCTGTGGCCAGGGGTAGTCGAATGCCTCAGTGAAAAGCCACACAGAGCTGGCTCTTCTGGCCTCTCAATTCTGACTGCACGCACAAGTCTGCTTCATTTCTGCGGGTCTGTGACTTCTGTGAGAGGTGGTTGATGAGGCAGATGTCCCAAAGCCACTGAAAACCACGGATAAGTAAAGGCGCTGTGAAGATGTGGACGACAGGACCTGGGAGCTGACTGAGAGCATGGAGCAAGCTCCCCTTCTCTCTCCCGGCGGCATCATTTCCTTGCCGTTAACCCAGGGCTTTCTTGTGCTGGATACTTAATGAGGTGCTGGTGATAAAAAGTTGACCAAAACTTCACCTGCCCTCAAAGAGCTCCCAGTCCTGCTAGGAGAGAAAGCAGTGTGCCTAAAGAATTGAAATACTGGAATTTTAACCAGCTACTTGCTTTTGTTCTCTGGCGCTTAACTGTGTTCTTCTTTCAGATCTGGTGTGCCTTTCTGACCAAAGATTTATATAACCTTCATCAAAGTTAACTAATTTTATGTAGAGAACTTTCTTAACCTGGTTTTTGTTATTGTGTAATTAATGGGATTGCTATTTTGGTGAGTGATTGAGCTACAAATGATTTGAACTAAAAAATATCAAGATGTAAAAAAAAAAAATGGACAGCTAGGTTACTCTTTATTCTGTATGTATTTTTGGGGGGGACAATATGATATCACACCTATGTCTTCCAGACTATGATGGAAGCCCCCACAGTGCTTTGTTTTTGGCAATGAGGTCGTTCTAGAACTCAGACCCCAACCCCAACCGTCCTTTGTATTCACCCAACAACTGTTTTTCTAGATCCTTCTCATTGTTTCTAGGAAAGTCAAAATAGTCTTCTTCATCTCAGATTGATAGATTTTTTTTTCTTTTAAAGAATACATATTAACTGTAAGTAACCATCAGCCAGAATTTACAACTACTTTGTTCTTGCTCCCGATTTACTTATTGCTCTATTTTTCAACACATTTCCACTCAAGGAAATATGAAGACATGTTCAGAGAAAGTATGAAATTCACCTGTTGTCAAAGGCTTTATAGAAAATGAGGCTCAAGGATCCACCAGAAAACACTGCAGCCCCATGCAAAAGTAACATGAATGTACATGAAAACAAACTTTTTAGAGCATATGGGCCCATGCTCCTGTAGATATAAAATAAAATGAGGCTGCAGAATGCAGTGATGGTGAGCTACTTCAAAAGCCTAAAATTTTCAAATTGAATAATCTGGGTAAGATTTTTGTTTTAAGTTTAGAAAGAAGTACTCTCCATTCAAAGGAAAAGCTGGAGAGCCTGGGACATTCTGAAAATCTATTTTTACCCTCTTTTCCATTCACAAACTCTTACTCTCTGAGTTTTGGTAATTCAGGAAGGTTATATTCTTAGCAAGGGAAATCCTTATTCCTAGGGCATTTCTATTCTGGGTCACCCAATGTTCATTGGAACAAGCATTGTTGTAAGTCAGCATGCCTTATGGCATCTGAGGGAGGCATGGACCCATCAGTGCAGTGATGAGACTTGCCCTGTCATTTCAGGTAGCCAGAGGGCCATTTTTAAGCAGGCCATGAGACACTGGGAGAAGCACACCTGTGTGACCTTCATAGAAAGGACTGATGAAGAGAGCTTTATTGTGTTCAGTTACAGAACCTGCGGGTAAGTAAGCTCAAGCAAGGCCACCTCAACAGAATCAGAACCAGCAATTGGATGGCTCATGAGTGTTGAATTTTCTCTGTAAAACCAAATCTTTCCAAGGAGCTGTGATAAATAGTGGCCTGGGGTTTGTCAGAAACTCCCCTTGCCCCCAATGAACTCACAATCCAGTGACAAAGTAGGCGGGTCAAGAAGACTCTAGAAAGATAAGGAGTCTGGATCTCCTGTCATGGGAGTAATTGAAGGAAGTGAGGGTGTTTCATATGGAGAAGTGGTTCTGAACCAAGCTATGGGCTCCCTCATGACATATATACATTTATGCAAAATTTTGCATGTAATTTTATGGGCTCCATGGGCTAACAGACTTCCTCCAGAAAACATAACAAACAATAAGACGCCTGGATTATGACTAAACTTATCTGTTAGGCCAGGCAATGTAAGTGTGATGTAATCTCCTACTAAAAGAGAAAGTTTCCCATACTGGTTCAAATACCTCAACCCAACTACATGGTATATGCATGAAATGACTACTGAAGAGAATGACCCAGAAAGGTTACATGTAAAAGGAAAGAAGGCACACAGGCAAACGCTGACAAAAAGAATATTAGGATCGTAATTTTAGTTATAGACAAGGCCTTTTTTGTTTTGTTCTTGTTTTGTTTTGTTTTTAAAGTCGGAAAGTGTTTTAAAAAAAAGGTGAGACACTTTATAATGAGAAAGAGTCCAAGCTACAGTGAGAATATAGCCATCATAAATCTTTATGCACCAAACTGTGCAGCATTAAGAGTCATAAAACCAGCGCCAGGGAATTCAAGGGGAAATCGACGGAAACACCAGCAGCAGCGACTTTATTTCATTTCTGTCAACCCAAGGAGATCAATGTCAAGTTGACCAAAAAATAAGTAGAGATTTGTAGATGATTGGAAAAATATAACTAATAGAGTTGATCCTATGGGTCTATCAGATTCTGCAATCTGATAACCCATCTTTTCTAAGTGCATGTTGAACATTTATACACATTGTCCATCTGTTAAGCATGAAGAACACCTCAATAGATTCTCAAAGGCAGAAATAGCATTAACATATTCTCTGATTGCAAGGCAATGAGACTGGACATCATAACAAAAGTAGAATAAATACCCATGCATTACATAATAAGTTAAAAGCTCCGTTTTTTTTTTTGTTTATACAACTCTTAGGTCATAAAGAAATCAGGATCAATATTATAAGCTATCTAGATGATAAAAGCCCTACAATTCTAAGTTAAAGAGATATGGCTAAAGCTGTGTGTGTCTGTGTATGTGTGTGTGTGTGTGTGTGTGTGTGTGTGTGTGTGTCCCAAGCCCACATCAGATTTAACAATGATAATTCTAGAAGCATTTCTTTTAGACTCAGGAAAAAGTCGAAGATGTTCTTGATCACCACAATTATTTTACACGTTTTGGGAAATGCTAGCCAATATAATTAGATAAGAGAAGGAAATACACACAGTAAGTATCAGCAGGAACAAGGCGATGTTTGCATTGTTTGAAGTTAATGTGACATGTACCCAAAACCCAGAAAAGCAATTGAGAAACTATTAGAAACAAAAGGAGACCCTGTTAAGGTGACTGATTACAAATGTAATAAACAAAAAATTAATTACTTTTCCTTATAATGAAATAATTTGATATGTTTTTATAATGGGAAAAATATCACTTTAATAGAAACATAATAAATAATATATCTAAGAATAAACTTAACAAAAATGCAAAAATATGCCAGACCTATAGGAAGAAAATGCTAAAACACTAAGGAAACTTAAAAAAAAAAAAGCAAGAATGGAAATGCATACCACTTCCTGGTATGGTGATACTCAACATAGTAAAGATGTCAGAACTTCCTAAAATAACCTATAAATGCATGCCATTGTGATTCAAACATCTACATTTTATGTATATGTGGGTATATGGGTATATATGTTTTTAGAACTTAAACAAATGATACTAGAGTTTATCTGGAGGAATGACCGTGTAGAAATAACCAACAGAGAAGGAGAGAGACAGAGGCAGAGAGAGACAGAGATAAAGAGAGAGAGAGGGAGACAGAGAGAGAGAGAGAGGGAGGGAGAGATAGAGAGAATACAGGGACAGAGGGATGAAGTAGGGTGGGGATTATGGGAAGAGATCTGATGGTCTATTCAAACGTCTAGGGTTTAAAATGCAAGTGAAGATGATAATAGGACCATTTGGAATGGAGCAAGAGAGTTTAAAATGATTATGCCTATACACAAATTTAGGTAGCATTTTAAATGAGTAAGAGAAACCTGAATTAGTCACTTGGGATATTTTAATACTGGGGTAGACAGCTCATTGTGAAAAAAATAAAGCTGGATTCCCACCTCACTTTGTACATCAGAATGATTCTAGCTGGACCAAAGATGTAAACATTTTTAAAAGGAAAAAGAAAGAAAGAAAAGAAAAAAAGAAATTTAAAAAGTATTCGAAACAAGAAATAACAGTGGATTTTACTTATAATCTTGGCATAGAGGTGGCCTTTCTAAGCAGGACATAAGAAAATGAAGACATTACATACGTTGAAATTTTAAAATTCTAAATGGTGAAAACAAAACCAAAACAACACATAAACAAACAAACAAACAAATGAGAAATAAAGTGAGAAAAATATTTTCAATATATTTGGCAATCAAAAGACTCATTTCCTTAATTCACAAAGGGTTCTTACATATCAATAATAAAAAGATGGACCACCCAAAAGAACATAGGGAGAAGATGTGATCACATAGTTCACAAGAACGAAAAATACAAATGTCATATAAAACATGGAAAACTATCCAGTCTCGATACAATGAAATACCATTTTTCACCTATCCAGTTGACAAAAAGAATTTGATAAAACCAGTGTTGGTCGGGTTGTGGGGAAATAGGGCTTTTTAATATATTATTAGTGGGCATATAAGTAGACACATTTGGGGATTGCAATTTGATAGTATCTATCGAAATCTCAAATGCATATACCCTTTTATCTATCAATCCCAGTGCTAGGACTTTACCCTGCCACAAACAGGAGTCAACCATTTCTTTGTTTTGCTTGTTGTTGTTTGTTTGTTTGTTTTCTCTTCCTTTCCCGTGAGGCTTTGTTTAAATAGTGAAAATTGGAATCAGCCTAAATGTACACTGATAGGAGCCTGATTAAATAAAATTTAGTACTTTGTTACTTTGAAAAGAATGAAGGAGGTCTATATGCACTGTTATAAAAAGATCTCTAAAGTAAGGAGGTAAACGGTAAAAATGAAGGACAGCATAAATAGTGCCTTTTGTAATTTAAAAAATATGTATATTTAATTTTACTGAAGGATGCCCAAGACACTATTAACAACGGTTATCTTTGGATGAAGAGATTAGAGGGGGTGAGAGACTTAATACTTCAATCTATTGAACATGTATTTTTTTAAGACTATTTGAGAGAGAGAGGGAGAGAGAGAGAGAGTGGGGGGAGGGACAGAGGGAGAGAGAATCTCAAGCAGACTCCACGCTGAGCGTGGAGCCCAATGTGGGGCCCGATCTCATGACACTGAGATCACGACCTGAGCTAAAACCAAGAGTCAAGACATTTAACCAACTGAGCCACCAGGTGCCCCTGATCATGTATTTTTTTTTTTCAGTGTTTGATAGAGGTTATCTGGGTGTTAAAGGTGGTGGGATTGTGGGCCATTTTAATTTTTTTCCTATACCTTTCTATATTAGGAATAATATATAATAATATATTAGGAATAAATGTTATTTGAAAAAATAATTGTGCCCAGAAGGGGAATCATTTCCAAGGCTCCTGTGATAAAGGTACCAAAACTCACGCCTTACAGAAACTCAGTTGACACCTTTCATTATCTCTTTTCCTTGTCATCAGAGATGATCTAGTAGAGACTTGGAGGTGCAGCGATCGGAAGGGGTATGGGCTTTATTTCAGGAATCTAGGCCTTATCTTTCTTTGGGTTCTCAAGTGGATCCATGACCACCAAAAAAGTGAACCGTTTTTGGAGGGCATTTCTGTATTGGGAGGGAACTTGGACAATGAGAGTACTTTCAGCTCTGAAAGTCTGTTTCTTTTAGATATACATGTGTGTACGTGCGCGCACACACACACACACACACACACTGGGGAGGGCATTAGACTCTGCCTATTCTCTGACCTGCTGATCTGGGTATTTCTGCAACTGTCCAGCTGTTGTTCCTACGTTGGGCGCCGAGGAGGAGGCCCACAGGCCATATCCATTGGGAAAAACTGTGACAAGTTTGGCATTGTGGCGCACGAGTTGGGCCATGTGGTTGGGTTCTGGCATGAACACACCCGGCCAGACAGAGACCAGCATGTCACCATCATCAGAGAAAACATCCAACCAGGTAAGGAGCCAGTATGGAGTCTGGAAGCCACTGGCCAGGAAGGTGGCGTCCCCCCGGGGCAGGCAGGTGTGAAGGTGAGGGGTTTCGGGGAGCTGACCTGTGCTCATTTGTTAAGTAAGGAGGCAGCAACCCTATTGTGCAGGCATTTGTACCCAGCACTGCCACTGTCCTCTGTGGCCCTTCCTGGAAAGTCTTGCCATAGCTTGTAGGTTATAGCACAAACGAAATGACTTTCACTTTGTAAAGGACAATGAAATCCAACTCCATTTCCTAACAGGAACAGAATGGACCAGAACACAGTTGCAGCATCAAAGCTGAGAAGCCAAAAAAGGAGTTCTCCTCGTTGCTTTTATAAGAGTCCCTTTTGCTGACTTCAGCAGCACATCTTTTTTTTTTTTTAAAGATTTTATTTTATTTATTCATGAGAGACAGAGAGAGAGAGAGAGAGAGAGAGGCAGAGGGAGGAGCAGGCTCCCAAGGAGCAGGGAGCCTGATGCGGGACCCGATCCCAGGACCCTGGGATCATGACCTGAGCCGAAGGCAGACGCTCAACCATCTGAGCCACCCAGGCGCCCCAGCAGCACATCTTTTTGAAACTGAAATACAATTAGGACATGAGTACATGTGAATGCAGTATTTCTGCCCGGGAATGCTCTGCCCCAAGGCAGATAGAATGTCTAGATTAAAAAACAAAAAACAAAAAAAACTTCTCATGCTAAATAATTCTATATAGAAGTCCATAATGAACATGAAAGTAGCTGACTGAATAATATGGTTGCCTTAAAATGCTTTTGAGAGTCTGAACTGTGAAAAATTTGGGATTGAACTTAACTCTCTGATTTTTCTTTTGTTCTTTCAGTAGCAAGATCAGAGATTTATTTGTTTTTTAAGTTTCTGAGCAATCAGATTGATAATGAACCTGTCTACAAACTTGGCATAAGAGTTTTGAGCGGCATTTGGGGAGGGGTTGCTGGGTGGCGGGGTTGGGAGAACCTACGGCCGCTCGAAGTTTCACATTTCCAGTCTGTTAAAACCAGCGCGAACGACCACACCCCTGCTATTTGATGGGGCCAAACGAGCTCTCAGGAGTTGCCATGGGCCCTCCTTTTCCCCCTCTGCCTCCTTTCAGGTACCTGCCTTGGTTTTCAAAGGCCTTAACAGAGTGTTGTGTCACAGGTCAGGAGTATAATTTCTTAAAAATGGAAGCTGGGGAAGTGAGCTCTCTGGGAGAGACGTACGACTTTGACAGCATCATGCACTACGCCCGGAACACGTTCTCAAGGTCGGAATCTATGCTTCTGCCTCATGTGTGTTTTGCTGTGGCTGCCGCAGGCTTGGGTCGGATTCCTGGAGGTCTGCGGAGAGTGGGTCTCTGCATGCTTCTCACACAGTTGGCCTGTCTGTCCTTGAAATACAGTGGCCTCTGGGCTGCAGCGAAATATAATCTAATCAGGTTCCCGCTAATAAGATTGAATCCCATTGTGAAGCTGGTGTTCCATCATGTCCTAATGTCACAAGCAGCAAACTGGAAAGGGGAAATTATCGAGAGGTTGGCCGGGATAATAACTTAGGGGCTGTGTGTAAAATTTCCAGGGGGTGGGGGAGTCTTCTAAAGCACGTCTTTGATGTAAGCCTGGTGGTGCTCACTGGTTCTCTCAAAGAGGTGTGGTTTATTGGAAGCTAGACTGTACGAGAACTGGGAGGGTTGTAAATCATGGATTCGTTTTCGAGGTGAAGAAAATGAGGCTCCAGCCAGCTTGAGGGCACACAGGTAACTGGGGTCGGAGTGAGAACAAAGATCTAGGTTTCCTGCCTGCGGGTCACGCTTGATGGTAGCCCCTGTATACTCAAGTATGGCCAGACTGGTGATTTACAGCCGGCATCGGCAGGATCTGTTTTGATGAGTTATTGCTGTGCTGGACTGGGTGTTAAGTATTTCCAATATTGCCCTTGCTTCTAGACCATATGAGTGTTTTGTATAAAGAAGTTTTCTCTCACTAGTCCCAGTGTTGTGGGTCTTTCCGAAACCCTTGAGTTAGAGGAGACATGGTAAATATTTTCTCTCTTGGCATTTTTTTCTGTTTCCTCTTAAAACTAGCTTGTTTGCTTTTTATTTATCTATTTGATCACTGGAAAAAAAAGATTTTTTAAAAAAGATTTTATTTATTTATTTGACCGAGAGACACAGCGAGAGAGGGAACACAAGCAGGGGGAGTGGGAGAGGGAGAAGCAGGTTTCCCGCTGAGCAGGGAGCCCGATGCGGGGCTCGATCCCAGGACCCCGGGATCATGACCTGAGCCGAAGGCAGACGCTTAATGACTGAGCCACCCAGGCGCCCCGAAAAAAAAAAGATTTGAAATGGTTCCCAGTATATACACAGAACAAGAAACAGATGTATGAGGAAACTTGAGGATGGGGGAGGGGAAAGTAAGGGTAGAGAGCTACACTGAAGGCCTGGAATCAACTGACTATTCAAAATACATGCCATAAAGTCACGTACACTTTTGTGGGATTGGCAGCAAATCCTGCCCTGTGCTTCTTAGCAGTTATAGCAAAGAGGGAAACAATCCACTTCCTGAGTCGCTATGTCCATAAAGATCAAAGGAAACCATTCTTTCAGGAGACACACCACTCTTGGGAGTGAACGGGGAACTGTGTACCCAGGGCTTGTTGGCTCTTGGGTAGGGATGCTGGAAGCATGCTGTTGATGAGGTCACAGAACTGGGGGAGAGATCCTCCAAACCTCCATATCCCAAGTTCTCAGTTGCAGGGGGAGTGGGGTGCTGTCCCTCTGGCCACGCAGCTGATTTAGCTGTGATCTCCATCCTGCATGCACCCAGCTGGGATCTCTCCAGAGCTCTAATGGGTGGAGTTTTGTCAAGGTCAGCATCTTTGAATTGGCACGGGACTGACTGACCCTGTTCTTGTTACTCTTCTCCTGGCTCTTTATCAGAGGATCATGTAATGAAGAGACCACTGAACTGAGAGTCAAAGACTAGGTTCCAGTCCTAGTGCTCTCACATACTGTGCTATTGAGGGATGTGTAGACCGTAATTGCAGATAGCTTTGTGCTGGGTCAAATCTCCACCTCCCTGGGTATCAGTTTCCTCATGAGAGGGTTGGATTAGATGTTCTCTGAGCCTCTTCCAGCTCGAACATTTCCTGTTGTGATTTCTTAATCTGGTGTGGATGGGTGAGGCTCTGACAGATGGGGTCACCTTCACTGCCATGTGGACATTCGAGGCTTCCTCTTCCACATTGGGAAACAGAGACTTTGAAGGACCTACCCTGGGTGGGGGCGTCTCTGGGGAGTCTCAAGAAACAAGGTGGTGGGCAGGATGAGAGACCATCCTACAGAGGTCAGAGTGGGATGCTTGGGTGTGGGGGCTGGGCTGACTCTCGGGTTGGGGAAATGGTGTAGGAAATACGTGGGTCAGACCACATCAGCCCTGGGGTTGCAGGCTGCTAAGTAGAGACAAAGTACTGATTTTGTAGAGAACCACTGTCAAGTCGGCCCAAGTGAGAAGGTTGTACCTTGGGTCTTGTTTCCATAGCTGTCCTAACTCTTATAATTTGTCTGTTAATTATTATTATACAGTCATCTACTCCTATTTATTTCTTACATCCCTCTCTCCCTAGACTGAGATCTTTGAGGGCATTCTCTTCTAGTTTCCAGCACCGACCATGGTGCCTGGCACAGATGTTCAATGAATACTTCTTAAAAATATAAATCAATGAATGAATCAAAGGAGACAGGGAGATCTGAAATGCTGGGGACTAGGTGAGGCAGGAAATTTCCATTATCCTCATGGATTTCTGTCCACATACCCACAGATGTGGTGGTCACTTCATAAGGACGATCTACAGATATCTCCTGTGAAGGGGGTTTGGGGATAAATTACTTCCAATGGGCTGTAGGAATTGCACTGCCTCCCTGGTGCCTTCCATGTGCCAATTACCATGAAAAGCTCTGAAACCAGAGGCCAGGGCAAGAATGCAGATAGTATCTTCTGGCACCAGCATTTCTTTCCTTTCTTTCTTTTTTTTTTTTTTTAAGTAGGCTCCACCCCCAGCACAGAGCCCAGCACGGGGCTTGAACTCACGACCCCAAGATCAAGACCTGAGCTGAGATCAAGAGTCAGACACTTAACCGACTGAGCCACCCAGACGCCCCAAGGTTTTATTTAAGTAATCTCTATACCCAATGTGGGGCTCGAACTCACAACCCTGAGATCAGGAGTTGCATGCTCCACCGACTGAGGCAGCCGGGCACCCCCTTTTCTTGTTTTTCTTTTAAGAAAAAATATTTTTCTTTTCCTGTGATCTGTAGCTCATAATACCATCCCTTTTGCCCCTCAAAGAGATAACCGTTATTAACACTGTTGTCAACGGGGAGCAGTTTATCAGCACAGACCAGTGGAAGCCCATGGACCAAACCCCTAAAATAATAGCTCCCCATCAAGGGGACCCAGAACTCCTCAGAGGGAGATGGGCGAGGGGCCGGTGCTCAGGTGTGATGGGCAGCCAGGTAGGAGCACAGCAGCTCCCCTGAAGGCCTCGAAGGGAGGCCGACGTCTCCTTCTGCCACCATGATGTCATTAGTGCAACAGGACAGTCTACCCCTAAACTAATGGCTCACAACAACAACTTATTTTTTTGTGACATTGTGGGTCATTCTGGCTCGTTTTCTGGTTTTGCCTGGGATGATTTCCACAGCAATAGTCATGTGGCAGCGACACCCGCCTGGGAAGTCCAGGATGGCGGGCGCCATGTGTGCTTGTTGTGCTGCCTGTCTGCCGGGGGACCCCTCGGTTCTCCTCCCTGGGGCCTCTCATCCTCTGGCAGGCTAGACTGGACTCTTCACTGCATTGGGCCTCAGAGTTCCTCCAGGACAAGCGGGGAGGCCACAAGACTCTTAAGACCCAGGCTCTGGAGCTTACAGGACATCACTGTACAGCTCGTTCCATTGGCCGAGCAAGGTGCAAGGCCAAGAATATGGACAATAGGAGGTGCAATTCATTATTTTAACATTCTACCACAACTACTTGCTTACCCCACCCCAGAGTTTGGAATGATTTTGGCAAATCTATTTTGTGGCAAGTGGATACCTTCATTGTCCTTTCTGCCAGTTTTCTGCATGGATTTTCAGGAATAAATTACTTCCAGTGGGCTGTAGGAACTGTAGGCTTTTTTTTCAGGAAACTACTTTGTTCAGTGGGACATTTATCAGTGTCCTCCGTACTGATGATCTTTCCTGGCCCACTTCTTGTCAAGTTTCACACTCCCTAACTCCACGTCATTACTCCTGGCTACACATCCCCTGCAGCTAGCCTGCACATCGTCTTTGAGTCTGTTAAAGAGCAGAAAATGGCCTATAAAACATATGCTCATCTGGAGGCAAATGCTCTTCCTGCTGATGGGAAACCCAGTCTTCGTGTGTCTTTACAATTGATCTCTCTCCTTCCAACTTCACTTTCTAGTTTATTGCAGGCCCTCCCTCCTCCCCCTTGGTTGGAGCTGGGCTGTGGGAGTGATGTCTTTGCAGCTTTCGTTGGACAAGTGTCCAGGAGCTGAGGAGACAGTTCTGTGGTACAGAGGTGTCTTTGTTTGGAGAGCTCAGAGCTGACAGCTTTAGTTTAGTGGAATGTCAATGCTAAGAGTTGTCCTACGTAAGAGGGATGTCACTGCAGCGGTTCACACAAGGGACACCTCTTGTAGTAAATACCTTCCAGAGCCTGCCGCTTTGCTGGCAGCTCAGGGACAAGTCGGGGAGGGAGTCCCAGCCCCCAAATGCTGTCCCGAGTGTGGGCTGATGTTGTTCCTGCTGTTTCGGTGTCTGAAGTCTCCCACATTAAAGCCGACTGTTTCTTGGGCAGTGGGCAACATTGGCTGGAAGGAGAAGGATGCGGAGATGGGCTCCAGGCCTGCCTGGGTTCCAGGGCTGGCTCTCCATTACTAGCTCTGGACTCTGTGAGAGACACTTAAGTTCCGCAGGCTTTTTCTCACCTGTGGGGAGGAAGCCCTAATAAGAATGGCACCCACACAGCATGGCCCTGGCAGAGTCACCTGTGTGCCGTGGGCTTCAGCGGGGTCGGCTGGCCCAGGTTGCTAAGAGATTGTGGTGAGCTTTACATTTTGTGCAGCAAAATTTCTTTCCTCGGGGGAATCAAGAAAATAATTACAAATGAACACATTTTACGTTAGGGCAGAAGTGCCTCTTTTTAGATTTAGTAGGTGATTAAATTTAGAATTTTATGGAGAGTCATTTCTTGTGGTTTAAAATGTGGCAAAGTCAGTGAGGGAAACCAAGGATTCCACTAAATTTTCTCTAGAAGGCTCTGGACCCAGAGATGAGGCAGTAGGAATTAGAGAAAGATAGGCCAGGTGGTTAAAGTTTGGAGAAAGGGATGCTCCAAAGGAAATCAGCAGATGACCCAGGCTCCTGCATGCTTCCATTGGAATGAAAGTGAGCTTGAAGTCTGACTTAAAAAAGTATATGCAAAACCAGAAAGATAATCAAACACGTAACCAGCAAGAAATAGGGATAATAGGTTTTCCAAGGTAGTGCAGAATTTAGGGGAGAGGAAATGTTGGAGAGAGAGGAGGGGAGAAAGTACACAACAGCTAATATATAGGTAACGTGCATTTTCACATTTCCTTTGGGTGTACATTACTTTGCAAGATTTTTTGAAGACACTGCCCTACCTTGGTTACATAATTTAATTCAAAAAGCATTTCTTGACCTGTTAGTTCCAGTCCCTGAGGGCATAGAGATGAGGGTCTTGGTCTCTCTGCTTGAGGAACTTACTATTTAGCAGAGAAGACAAATACCTTCATCCTTCAAAAAAGACACTAGAGTATGAGAAGAAGAGACTAGACGTGTAAGGCCCAGAAGCAGTCCAGAGAAAGGAATGAGTAACTCAGGATGAGAGGGATAAAATGGGCTCAAGAAGACTTTTAAGAGGGAAAGCCGTCTGATAGGGTTTTGGTGAATGAACGGGAGTTTGCTAGTGGACAAGAAGATGGGCAGTGGGCAGCCTCAACAGAGGACAGCCTGTGTAAGGGCATGTTTGGGGCTAGCAGAAGTTCAGTGTTGCTTAAGATACCAAGTGGGGTGGAGGTGTCAGAAGTGGCTGGAGAGGAAAGCAGAGGCCAGTGAGCCAAGGGCCCGGGGATCCACGTGGTGACTGGAGATCAGGGGGTGCTTCTAAGCAGAGAGGACACAAGCCTGCCCTTGCATTTCCGGACGATCCCATTGCAGCATTAAAGGGGTGGCACAGAGGTGGCTGAGTCCACAGGGAGGGAGGCCAGTTAAGATACTGGGGAGAGCTCAAGAAGGGGATGTTGTTTGTCTGAGCTGAGGTCTGGAACGAGGAGGAAGGCATGGATTCAAGGCATGACAGAAGGTGCCATGGTGCCTTTGGATTCCGTCTTGGGAGACAAGGTTCATGGGGTGAGCGTGGATATGAGACCCAGACATAGTGTGGTAGAGGGGTCACCAGGCATCTGGGGCTTAGCAGGTGATTCTGGGGGTCAGAATCAGAGAACTCTCTGTGAACCTTTCGGTGGTGGCAAAAACCCAGAGGAACCAGTGGAGCAAGTGAGGTGGAAGAAGACAGAAACTCCAGGGAGAGCCCAGAGGGGGAAGCAGAAGTGGATGTTCACTTGCTGCTCAGAGACAGTGGTGCCCTGGGAGCCAGGAGACAAGAGGCTGAGGAAGGAAGGAGCAGAAGAGTGTCAGTGCTGTCAGGGAGGGCAGGTGGCGGTTGACAGGTGTCCACCGGAGTCGTCAGTCGGTTGGTGGCTGCAGACCGTGGCGGCGCAGTCTGATTGCAGTTGCTTTGAGGAGTGAATGAGAGGTGGGCAGCCAGACAGATGGAGACAGTTCTTTCCGGAAACCTGGTTAAGAAGGGAGGGAAGAAACAGGTAACTGGAGAAGGAACTGGTTCGGAGGGAGGCCCTCCCTTCCAGGAGAGGCCCCTGCATCATGGGTCTGGAGGCAGAGGAGGAGGCTCAGGCAGGGGTCCACCAGGCCCATGTCATGGAGGTGCGAGCCCAAACTCAGCCGGGCAGCCTGCTGTCTGCTCCTCTGTTTTGGTCATTTTCGATTTCCTTCATGTGGGAATAGAATAAGATGTTAGAGCTGGAAGGGACTGCTAGGACTGTCTAGGCCACTCTCTTACTGTTAGAGAAGTAAACTGAGGCTCAGGGAGGGGAAGGGGCTTGTCCGAGCTCACCCAGGTGGCCGAGCCAGGCTGTACATGGAAATCTCTAAACCAGGGCTCTCTCAGCTACCCTTCGCTCTCTGCCTTCATCTCACTTTCCATCTGATCATCCCCATTGCCAGAAAGCCCCCCAAACCCTGATTCCCATTATTCACCAACCCGTCAACCAGGACTAACTGACCAGCCCCTGAGAGCCTCACACTGTTTTCCAGCCTCTCTCTGGAGCCTCTCCAAGACTTATCCATGCTCAGTGGTGCCCGTTGCACACCTCCAGGGAGCTCCACGCACGCCTAAGTCTCTCTGAATGGTGCTCCCCACAGTTGTACAATGTGGCAGCCCAGGGGCCAGGGACATCGGTGCGGTTATGGGCAGGGAAATAAAGACTGTACATCCCGGCGCGGCCAGCCAGACAGCCTTGACTTTTCTCTCTCCTTTCTCTCTCTCTTTTCTTCCTGTAGAGGAGTTTTCTTAGACACCATCCTCCCCCGCCGAGACGACAATGGCATCAGGCCAACCATTGGCCAGCGCGTGCGGCTCAGTCAGGGAGACATAGCTCAAGCCAGGAAGCTGTACAAATGCCCAGGTAACTGAATCCTGGGGAGTCCCGGGGCCTTGGTAGCACCCTCAGAGCATGACTCAGCCACCCTCTGCAGACTCACCCCCTTGCTGGGAAAGCGGCTTGGGGAGCCTGACGAGGCTGCTGTAATTCCTGGTGTGCGGCTCTCGGGAAGGCTTTTAGACAGTGTAGGAGGCCCAAATGGGGGAGGTCATTGCCGGTAGTGACACGAAGAACAGGTCTGGGAGCTCATGGCTTCATTTGTGGGAATCTTCAGAATTCTCTGGTGCAGCCCAGAGAGTCTGAAGAGGAAGAAGCCCTAGGGGAACAATAGGGAACAGGGACCCAATGCAGTGTGTGCCCCATAACTATAGAATCCCTTCCCCTTCCTATGGGAGTAGGAGATGTGGGTTTGCCGAAACAAAAACCAAGGGTTTTGCAGGAAGACCGTGAATGAAGGGCAGTGTTTATAGAAGGGGGGGATAGTCAGCCTTCCACATCCTCAGTGCTGTAAATGAGGTTGTTTCTATGGCCTTGGGGCTTTCCTAGCCATCCAAAGTGCTGGTCGTTGGCTAGAAATCTGACATCGGAGCCTGGACAGTGCGCTGGGGTCTGCGGAGATGTCTGCTTCTCCACCCACCCAAAAGCCCCCTCCCCTTGAATGTACCCACTTTGCCTTCCGTCCCCTTGGCTTCAGCATCACCTCCCCCCCCCCAACCTGCTGCCCTGGGAGGGAGCTCACACTGGCCCCTTTAAGCTGTTGAGCTTCAGTGCTAAGCATTAGTTACAGCAACCAGGGTTTACCACTGATGGGAGAGAACGCAATTCAGTAGTTTGGGGAGGAAGAAGGAAATTCATTACCCACAGGTCCAGTAACAGAAAATCTAGGCTGTCAGCATGCGAAGGACTCTGTGGAGTTTGGTCCATCGCAAAACTCTAGGAAATATGTCCATCCAGCTATTAGTCATGTGGGGGCTTGTTAGGGCTGAAATGTAGGACACACATATCATATAACCTTGCTGAACTGAAAGAGAAACCTTATAGCATTCTCTGGGAAATGCCATAGTATTTATTTAGTTATAATGTATATGCCTTTTACTTCCCCAAAGGATTGGAGGCAGCTGGTAAATACCATGGAGCCGTATAGTAATGTATCTATTCTTGCAGAATGTTGATGATTACTCTAAAATAATTTCCCTGGAACCCTTGGGGGTGTTGACTGCCGGGCATAATCCTCATGATGCCTGGCAGTTGTTCGGTAATGTGATATTGAAGCCCCGACATCCAGGATTTCCTGAGGCTGATGACGGGCCGCTCTCTAGCTATTCCTTCCTGTGGCTCCAAAACTGCAGCTTCCAGTAATTTCAAGTAGTAACTAAAAGCAGGGTCTTTGCGGAGTGGAGGTTGAATTGCATGTAGGCAGATATGGGTAAGGATGCTTGTTTCCCACACTTTGGGGGTAACCCTTGGGAAGAGGGGCAGGCAGCAAACCAACGTCTTTGTCTTTAGGGTCTGAGTCCCTGGGGGTCAGGAGGTAAGGAACCTGCAGCTCCCAAGCTTACTCATATGAGGTACCTTTTTTTTTAAGGACAAATTAGAGGAAATATTTTTCACATACATAAGGACGAGGTTCTAGACTTATGACCAGGCAACCCTCAAACATTCAAGGGCGGAATAGCTTCCCATACCTCTGGTCATTTTTGTGTTTTTTTGACGGTTTATTTGGTAGCTCATTCAGAGATCGGTAGAAAAAGAAGAGGCAAGATTCAAACCAATAAGTTTCTCATGAAATGAGTTTCCAAGTGTTTTCTTTGTCTTGTTGCTTCACCGACTTGTACTTTTCTGTGCTCACTGCCACAGATGTTATCAGTCGTAATTACACTGACCGCTATGTGTGGCGCAGTCACTGTGTGCCAAGCACCGAGCCGGTCCATGTCATTAACCCTTCAGGCAGCTCCTGCCCATTTTACAGACAAGAAAACTAAGGCCCAGCAAGGCTGGGAAACTTGCCCACCATGCTCACGGCCATGCTCAATCTTGAGAGCCTCAGAAGGAACCCCTGGGTCTTACTTTTTGGTGCCCAGACCCTATTTTCACTTTTATTAGCCAGAAAAAAATTGTCGATCTGCCTGACATGGTTCTCACCGATGCATCCCGAGGGCTTTGGCTGGTCAAGGGATGCTGCTTGCTCAGCAGCCTGGCACAGGGAGCTGCTTAGGTGGGGGGCGTGTCTGCACAAATCACAGTCATTGTTTTGCTTGTGCAGCGTGTGGGGAGACCCTGCAGGACACAACAGGAAATTTTTCTGCACCTGGTTTCCCAAATGGCTACCCTTCTTACTCCCACTGTGTCTGGAGGATATCGGTCACTCCGGGGGAAAAGGTAGGTGTGAAACCACCTCAGGAAATGACATAGCTTTCTTTAGTTGGGTAAGGTGTGGGGCATTGTGCTCTCACTAATAGTAGGAAAAGCAGCTCTTACGCTGTGAGCACCCACTACGTACCAGCTGCTGTGCTAGCCTGCCAGACATTATCTCTGGACTTTCAACCAGGATCATACAAATGGCGGCCTAGAAGCAAAATGTCCACATGAATTATAGATCAGGCTCACGGTTTGTAAAAAGTAGACTCTATCCTTCTTCCTTGATAAATACACCATCAGAATGCCTTGGAAGGCGAGGATCCAATTGAGAATTCCTTAACACCTCAGAGTGTTGCTCTGGAAGGTAGCAATGTGGGGAGAGCTAGCCCCAACCCACAGCTGGCCCCTCCTTCTCTTCTCAGCCCCCCATTTCATCTCAGGAGCACCCATGGCGACACTCCAGCCCACTCTCCCAAACACTCCGCACTCCTACCTTGCAAACAGCTATTCCTCCAGTAGAAGCGGGCTGGTTAGATGTGCTGACTACCTCTGGGAGTGTGGATTCAGGGCAGAGATCTCTGCATGCTCTGGAAGTGGGCTATTTGGACAGGAACTCCAGGGTCCTGGGCACCTGGAGTGAGGTCTAGGAACTATGCAAGCTCTGGGTGAGCACAGTCCTTTGGGTCTGAAGATTCCATGATTCCCTCCAGATTCCCTCTAGAGCTGAGCCAGGGCAGCAGCTTCTTTTGCCCTGGTCCAAGGGTGGTATGTTCTCAAACCTACTGCAGGATGCATCTCTTCATATCCATTATATGGATAAAGAATTTGAGGCTCAGACATTTAAAATATTGCCCAAATTCACAGTAAAATATAGAACTGGGACCTGGGGCTTCTGCACTCCTAAAACTTGTGTGTGTGTGTGTGTGTGTGTGTGTGTGTTTTCGCACCTCCCTTCAAATCCAAGACTAGACGCTGCTGTCTTTGAGATGACCTCTCCATCCCTTAGGTCAGTCTCCCTACAGTCATACCTGCTGAAGCCTGTCTCACAATATCATGACTGCTGGTTTATTTGGCTGTCTGCCTTCTAGACCTAAACTCACTGAGGACAGAGCCTGTTCACCCCGAGGTCTCCAGCACCCAACACAGCCCATAGCACATAGTCACACAAAAAGTATTTGTTGAATGGGCATGTGAATAGATGAGTGGCCAAGTGAAAAACCTGCATCACCATGGGGGTGATGGATTTTCGGATGCCTGTAGCCAACCTTCAGGTAGTCCTAATTCATAACTGTTGAAGATGTCCATTTAAATGTTTTCTATGGCCTGGGTGCTTTTCTCAGCATATTATGTGGATTATTTCTTTTAATCCTCAGAACTTCTTGTGATAGGTGCTATTAGCACATTAATTCTTCAGGTAAGGAAATGGACTTGCCTAAGTCTACTCAGTTTGTTGCAAAGTTGGGATCTGAACCCAGGTGAGAACCTGGATGCTTAGCCATCATCCTATATTATTTCACAAAGGGGTCAGGCTAATAGGCATTTGAACATGCATTCACACACACACATGCTCACGTATACGTGTGCTCACACACAACACCCACAGGCAACTCTTCCTCTGGCTCTAAGCATTTATGACAGTGTGGTTGTCATCTTGAGCCTGAGAAACTCCAGGCTTGTCTTCCTCAGGTGCATGTACCATCTCTGTGCCTGCTGGCAGCATCGGAGAGAGGGAGGCCGGAAGAAGGAGGAGGAGGTGATCCAACAATCCCCAAATCGTTGAATTGCCTGACAGAGCAGAGGCTATGTGATGTGTTTGAACTGCACAAGATTCATCAAGCCTTAATTATTATTGCTAACTGGGGGGCAGGGAGAATATAGAGCATTGAACTTCCTGTACCAATTATTTCCATTTCTGCTTCACCCAGCCTTCCCCAGAGCTGCTGGTAATTAGCAGACTTGATTGATTCAAGTATCACCTCTTGTTTATCACCTCTTCTCCTATGGTCTTTATGGTTCCCTTACATATTTAAAATAATTAGCCTGAATAATTATCCCGTTCAGTTCGATCATGAATGTGTTACTAAGGAAGTTGTAATAACATTTTCTTTCTGAAAATTTGAAAAGCTAAAGAATTATATTGCAACCAGCTAGTCAATATGACTGAGCCCTTCTGCCTGAACATGAGCACAGTGGGAGATAAAAAAGAAATCTAATTTACAATCCCTGTCTTCAAGAGACTTAGAGTTTAGTTAGGGTCCCCCCCGCCTTACCTCTAGGGAGTCTGATTTCATTGAAGGAGGGGCATTTGGTTGGCCCAGTGTTATGTTTTGCACTTTTGAGGTGGTACTAATCTGTAGGCAGCGTTGAGAACCACTGGTCTAGTTTGAAAGAAGAGTGACATCTCACACACACAAACACACACACACACACAGTATAACACAGGAGAGGAGCTGGCCTGTTATTTTCTGGTCATCCCTCTTCATTTCATAGGAGATCAGAGGGCTTTGTGGAAGAAGGTGCTACTTGTCCTGAGACCTGAACATTGGGTGGGATCGGCCCAAAGGAAGGGGTGGACACTCTCAACGCTAATTAAGACAGGCAGCCTGTGAAGAGCACTTAGGGTATCGGTTTGTGGAGCACTAAGTGTGCACTCAGTGTGCCTTGATTTTTTAAAGTTGCATTTATTGAGTGCCCATTATGTGTCAGACATAGCATGATACACTCAATACACAGTTTTTCATGCAGCCCATCAATAACCCAATGGTGTGCGTGTTGTTCCGCAGATAAGGAAACTAAACATCCAAGCAGGCAATTGAGCAGTAGAGCTAGTAAGTGGTAGTCTGATCGCAGAGCTAGTAAGTGGTAGAACTGAGAAATCCAGATCTGCCTGACTCTAAAAACACCTGCTCCACAGTCACTATAAGAGGCCAAGGAGGGGGACCCGAGGAGGGAAAGGCTGTGTCCATTCAGGCAGTCAGAGAAGGACTCGGGGAGGAAGCAGAGGGCATTGGACCTGGGCCTGGGGAAGCTTCCATTAGCAGGATCCCTGAGGGCACGCGGGGAAATAAGGTCACATATGATGGATGCTGGAGGCTCTGGAAGGTAAGCAGAGAGTTTAATTAATGAGACGGGAGCAGGGAGAGCCACTGAAGTTTTCTGAGCATAGGGGGGGATAAACCTGAGATGTAAGTGCAAGATTGATCTAGAAGCCCTAGGGCGCAGAAGGGGCCACGACACGGCGGGAAGGAGTTCAGGAATCGTGGCGGCAGGACCGATGGGGACAGGGCTGCTGAAGGGGCAGCCAGACTGGCTCGCAGCAGGACACACAGACATCTTCAGGGAAGGTAGTCTGTCAGCATCGGGGATAAACAATAGGGGTGAAGTAGAGATGACAGCAAGGGGCTGCACCCCAGCGCCTGGTGTCACCTGAGCACAGGGAAGCTGGAAGGGAAATGCTGCTGCGCTGAGGGGCCCTCACAGTCACCAGGGAGCGGGGAGGACAGGAGCCAGCTGAGGCCAGAGAGCAGCGGAGAGAGGACGGGTGTGCTGAAGCCCAGAGAGAGGAGGTTCAAAGCAGGGGGCCATGGAGGATGGGACAAATGAATAACAGTCCTTTCAATCTGGACGGGAAGGCGCCGGAACCTTTGACCTGCAGCCCTCCAACCTGGGGCTTTGCTTAGAGACAGAGGGACCTGGGGCTGCCTGAATATAAAAGAAAGTGGCCAGCAAACAGAGGAGAGAGATGAGCTGGCTCAGGCAGGGGCCCTGAATGGGATAAGGCCCAGGGTCAGGGCTGCAGTGACCAGGCAGGGCTGCCTTCAGTGAGCCCCTGGTGAGCAAAGAGAGCGGAGAAGTGATGGTGCAGGGACATGCTGAGCGTGGCAGACATGGCGTGGGCACCCTACATGGCGGTGATTGATGGTTGGGGGCAGAAGGAGGGATGCCCGAACTCTGCTCTGGGCCATCTGCCAGGGGCGCCCCAAGCTGGAAGGGTAGCGGGGTTGTGGGAACAGTACCTGTGTGCCAAGTCCACAGGACCACCCAGCCCCTTCCACTCTTTGTGGATGGGGCGTCCACTGAATGGCCTCAGCATGTTCAGAAGAACTGAACCCTTCCTTCCTAGTCCATCTGAACCCCCAGCTCCCCAGCCTTCACTCCTCTTCACCCCCCACCTCCCCACTCCAGACACACATAGCACAACCTACACAATTCCCCAAACTCTCCTTGCCTGAGCTCATGTCAGTCCCTCTCACCAAAATGCCCCCTTGCCCTGTGTCTCTGCCCCTGGGCCCCTATTCCCCTTAGGTAAATGTCATCTCTTCTGAGAAGCCTTCTTCAGTATCCTGGGCAGCATCTATTCCCCCCTCCTCGGGGCTGCAGGATTCCCTTTCTGTGCATCCCTCTCTTTTCAGCATTTATTCAAGAGTGTTCTAACTGGCCCGACACATCTGTGTTCTTTGAGCTCTCTAAAGGCAAGAACCCTATCTTACTGATCTTTCAATCTCAATTGGCCAACACAGACAGGCACATAGTAGGTGATCAACTAACAATGGTGAGATGAACGAATGAAAGAATGAATGCAAGAATGAACGAATGAACAGCCTAACTATAGGAAGGCTATTGGATACACCACGTCTCAAAAGAGTGAGGTCATGGCGGAGGGGACACTGATCACGGTGGTGTTCAGATGCACTCAGGCTAACCCCAGGCCCTTTGGAATGATTGATGATGTTATAAGATCTTTTCGTATCTCTGAACTTCACTGACCCCTTACCTCCTTCTAAATCCCCAGGCTCAATGCATCCCGGCCCATCTTTTTAATGCATCCTGTTTTCTATAAACCACCTAGTGACTTCAAAAGCTCAAGTTATTCCCCAGGACAGAACCAGAGGACCCATCTCCTCTGTTTACTCCCCATCCTGCTTAAGGTTTATTATTTAGTGTCACGAGGTTTCCTGTGAGTGTGTCTTTGTGAGGACACTCCTACTGTGGTCTGAGAGCTCTGTATGCTAAGAGGTAATGTGAGAACACAGGCATGCAAGATGTGTCTTCAAAACTCCTCGGGCTCTGCTGCCAAAGCTCACTTTACGGTCACTCTTTACAGATCATCCTAAACTTCACATCCATGGATTTGTTTAAAAGCCGCCTGTGCTGGTACGACTATGTGGAGGTCCGGGATGGTTATTGGAGAAAAGCCCCCCTGTTGGGTGAGTTGACTTGAGAAAGCCTTGGGAGAGGGGTGATGGGCTGTTCTGTGTGACGCCATTAATGTGTGGAAGGGCCCGTCCTGACAGCAGTCACAGGAAGCTCTCAAGGGTCGGTGTCATTGTAAAACTCTGAACACTCCATTTGGCAACACATGTTAAAAGCTTTTAAGACTGAGATGGCCCTTCAACCCAGCAATTCTGCCTCTTGGAATGTATCCTAAGGAACCAATTAAGGAAGTGTGCAAAGTTCTAGCTATCGGGATGTTCTCTGGAGCAGGAAAAATGGAAAACAGTCTAAATGTTCAACAGTACGGGTTCGCTGAAAACATTGGGATACATCTTTCCAGGGGAAAACTATTCAGCCACTAAAAATAAAGGTGGAAATGCCTACTTATTGATACAGAAAGGGATTCCTGTACGTTGTTACACAAAAAGATGTTACAAAAGAAAACATGCAGTTGAATTCCATTTTAAGAAAAACACATGTATATGTATATTTTGCAGGTTTTGCAAACTCAGATGCCCTCAGAAATAAGGCCTACATGAGGGTGATGGGGTTGGCATAATAAACGAAGAAGTGGTGGGGAGTGTGGCAAAGTGAACAGTGAATATCTTGACCAGAATTACTCAAAACAAAATTAAAATTAAAACATGTACAGGTTGGATTCAACTGGAAGAAACCATTTTGTGATCTACAGTATAAATATCAAGTAAAATTATAAACATAAGTAAATAACACATAGTGGTTATTTCAGGATGATGGACCATTTTCTTAAAAAATTTATTCTGGGGATGCCTGGGTGGCTCAGTTGGTTGGTTGGGCGTCCAATTCTGTTTTTAAGATTTTATGTATTTATTTGACAGAGAGAGACAGCGAGAGGGAACACAAGCAGGGGGAGTGGGAGAGGGAGAAGCAGGCCTCCTGCCGAGCAGGGAGCCCGATGCGGGGCTCGATCCCAGGACGCTGGGATCATGACCTGAGCTGAAGACAGATGCTTAACGACTGAGCCACCCAGACACCCCTAGGTGTCCGATTCTTGATTTCGGCTCAGGTCATTATCTCGGGGTATGAGATAGAGCCCTATGTCGGGCTCTGCTCTGGGCGTGGAGTCTGCTCAAGGATTCTCCCTCTCCCTCTGCACCTTCCCCACCCTCTACCCTGTATGCCCTGTTAAAAATTTGTTTTATTTTGTTTTTCCTGGGTTAGCTATATTTTCTAATTTTTCTACAGTAAGCATGTACCCTTTCTGGGAGATGCACAGTGCATGAACTCATATGTGAAAAGGCAACTTGCACCTTTCAGCGAGAGGCAGTGGGCAGGTGGCATAAGGAGAAAGGTCAGTTCATTCAGGATTGGTCACCAATCTGCAATCTCCCATGGGTGACCCAAAAAGATGAAAGTAGAGAACCAATTGCATGGTGTCCTGGGAATGGACACAGGGACTCATTTGGCTCAGGAATAGCAACAGCGGAGCCAGGGAGGGAGGTAGATTTAAAGGAGCCAGATGGAAGGGTTTTGGGTGATAGTGGATTGTCCTCATTTTTAGAGCAGTAGTAGGGTGGGCTTCCAGGTTGACAAGTCTAAGCCCTCGGTGAGATCTTTGTCCCTGGCGTATCCTCACATGGGCAGAAAAGACACACCGGTTATGCTGTGAATGGCTGGCTTGGGAGTGAGCTGCTGTTGGAAACAGGAGGAGAGGAGGAGAGTTAAGCTGGGGAGTTCCGTGGCCAGACCGAGCCTGACTTCAAGTCAGATTCCAGGTAGGTCAGAAGAGATAGGGACAGAGGGTCTGGCTGGACCTGAGGGGTCCTGGCAGATACTAAGCTCTGTATTAGGTTCTCAGCCAGGTCAGCTTTCATTGGGAATAGCACCTAAACCCCTTCTGTCCTGAGGACCGTGAGTTTAAATTGCTAGAGGTACAAACAGATAAGAATTTGTGTGCACTTGCGCTCAAGAAAGCAGCCATGGCAGGCTCTGTGTGGGGGTACCAGGTTACCGCCATCATCAGTGGGGTAGTTTGCCGTCGCAGTAGGCAAGCCGAGCATAGACAGGAGTGTGTATGCTATAGGACAAATGGGTTTGGTTACCCGATGCCAAGGTGGAGGCTGCCTGCCCTGGATTTCTGCTTCCCGTGCATGCTAGCAGCGAAGGAGGCATGGCTTTAGAGGTAGTACTGACTGGGTGTAGCAAAAAGACGGAGGGCGACATTCTGGGTAGCAGAGGTTCCTGAACCTGGCCGGACATCAGCATCAGCATCAGCATCAGAACTGTCTTTGGGCATCTACAGATCCGTAAGAGACTACCGAATCAGAATCCCCATGAGCCGGGTCAGGGAATGATCCTGCTTCTCTGTAAATGTATGTGCTTGGGTACTTGTTAGTACCACATACATAGAAAGGGGACCGCAAGGGTGCTTATCAAACAACCGAAGCTGGTTACCCCTGAGAAAGGCAGCACAGAGGTGCTGGGCAGCTTGGTGGTTTGGTTTGTATACTTCTGGATCGTTCTACATCTTTTACAAGAATGCATTCAGGTAGTATTTTATAATTAAACTACTACGACAGGCTGTGTGGGAGGAGTTTCAGTGACAACATGGACTCATGGACCTCTCGACCTGGCAGGGATCTTAAAGTCTTATCTTGATCTAGATATCTTATCCCCACTTATCCCACACCTTCCCCAGAAAATCATGCTCCTCGAGTGTGGACCAACTCGCTAAGTCCACACAGCTAGCTAGGGGCTAAGATGAGACCAGAACTCAGATGCCCTGGTCATGGGGAGTGGGGACTGCTGCATCTGAGAAGTGTATCCCCATAGGATGGTCAGATAAGATGCATGATTCAGTGTTTTTCTGAAATTCCAATGTGACTGGCCTTCCTGTATTTTTGTGTGCGAAATCTGGCAACCCTAACTGCCCCCCACCCCCCCAGAGGAATGCGGTAGACTCAAAGGGCTCAGGGGAAGCAAGCTCTCCATTACTGAAGTTCCCTAGAGAGGGCCGAGACACGCTCCTGAGAGTGGGCACAGCCAGAGACATTTCCAGGGATTCCCTTTTCTTGAACTTGAAACAAGAATTTTCTCAGCGCAGATCCTGGCGTTTCTGGTTACACTTTGATGCGTGAGTTGGGGCTTTTGCCATTCGTTGTTGTCAGTGATGGTTTGTTTTGTTTGGGTTTTGTGTGAGGTGTTTTTTGGCTCATATTTTACACACTTTTGCAGTGTGTGTGTGTGTGTGTGTGTGTGTGCTGTGTCGCAGCCAAGGCATGGCCCAGTGCCTGTAACCGTCATTCTTCGTTTGCAGGAATTCTCCTTTGCCAACTATTTGGCCCTGCTCTGATGTTTCCAAATGCAGTTGTTAGTGCACTTTTGTGTTTGGAACAAGTGCATTGTGTGGGCCGAACTGGTCCCTGGGAGGGGTCAGTGCCATGAAATCTGCTGGGAGGAGGCAGGTCAATGCCCCTTTGGCAGGAGGGAGAGCGGATTAGGGTGGATTGTGAAAGTATGCATCTTGCTCTGAAAAACTGTGCATTGCATATTTTCCCAGGGCAGTGTGTGAAAATCCAGGCATAATGGACGCATAACTTTTTATGAATGAACCCTTTATGACTCCCCATGGAGCCCACTTGTAGTGTCCTCATCTGCATTTCCTCTTCTTGATATCCTTATTAAACTCCTCCTCCAAAGCCAGGAACCAGATTCAGTTTAGGGATTTGCCACCTTTTCTCTAGTCCAGTTTCTGCCCAGCCTGTTCATTCTCTTGGAAGGGGGCTGTTTGGGACCCACCGTTTCACAAAGTGATTAAAGAGAAATGTAAGTAGAATGAGAATAGTTCACAGCTGGTTAAAGGTATCAAATTGGTTTTTCTATTTCAGGGGTCACTCATGAGACTGCACCTGAAGTGGGGAGGAACAGGGCGGGGGGGGGGTGTGGTGCTACAAAGAGAATTTACCAGTAAACTTAAATACTGTCGTGTTAATTGGATTCCCGTCCCTTATTTCTGCCGGAGGAATTACTCGAACAATGCACTTTTTTATGTAGAACTGTCTTTGGGCATTCTGTAACACTGCCATGCACACAAAAGCCCCTCTCCCCCCATTCCCTGCAGTTGAGCGGGGGGGAAGTTCAGAAAGACCAGGCCGGCCAATCGGTGTCGCTTGGCCCCACTCCTGGGGCTCCCTGGGCCGGGGCAGTCTCCCAAATGAGCAGAAACGATGGCGGGAGTCAGACAGCCAGACTGGCATTGCCACAAGCTCACTGTATGGTTGGAGGCTTTGATCCTTGTTCCTAAATGTCTGTGTCCAAACGGGGAACGATGTGTACGTTCCCAGAGAGCAGATTTCATGTCTGTTCATCCAAAAGCGGACCGTGTCCAGAATCCCACCCCAAACAGAGAAGTTCCTTTTGAGGATGGTGGCCGTGGTTGATGAAGTAGGAGGTAAAGTTGATGAGGAAGGTCAAGATCCCAGACTGCCGAGGTTCAAGTCCTGCTTCACTTACAACTTTGAGTGTAACTCAAAAGTGCATGTAACTCAAATTCTTCAATCCTCAGTTTTCTCATAACCTAGATTACTAATAGTACCTAATTCAAGGGGAAGCAGGATGCAGTTAGATCATCTGCGTAAGGTGCTTAGGACAGTGTCATGCTCGCTAACAAAGGGCTTTCGTTAGAACCATTACGGTGGAGATTAGAGTGTTGAGAAAAGAGTCAGGGGACAAAGTAGAGGGTTTTAGTTAAGAATTACACAGTGATTGGGGGAGAGAAGTTACTTAGAAATAATCTGTAATTTATCCTACCAAGTCTGGCTTTGCAGTAATTCCTCCCTCCTCCAGAGTAGTGAGCAGACCAGGGTTGTCCTATGGTCCAACCGTAGGTGGTTCATCTCATCCGGTTGGGTTCTTAGGCAGCAAGGCAGGTATGGGAAGTCCCTCTCTTTTTTGGAAACAGTCTCCAGTGGCTGTGACAGCTGGGGTTTTAAAAGGAGAGATTTGGACTTGAAACTTGGTTTGGCTAAGAAGGAATTCCTTTTGTGACCCCACGTTGTTGCAATGCTGTTCAGCAGCCCTGTCTCCTCACTGGTAAGCAATACTTCCCCACGCTTACGTGGTGCTTCCAAATTAATTGACACTCATTGGCCATGCCAGAGTAACCATTACTGAAAATTTATAGGCTTCTGATGGATTGTTCCTTGCCAAATTCTTGGCAGAAGTTTCAGCTCATCTCACTTAATGTTAAGCTCACCAAATCCAAAGAGCTGCAGGTGGCCAGAATCGGAAGGAAGCAGGAGATTAGCGGCTTCTACCCCATGTCTCCCCAAAGAATGTATCCACAGTTGGCCATCAGGAAATGTCCACAGTGGTCTTTATTCCTCCCCAAACCTCACTCCCCCCATGTCTCAGAAGGGAAAGGGGAATTATAACTTCAAGTGGTGTTGGCAGTAAGGGAGTGCCCACTAGATATCTGTTGAATAGACATAAAAAATATTGAGATATAATTCACATATAGTACAACTCACCATTTAAAGAAAACAAGTCAAAGATTTTTAGTATGTTCACAGAGTTGTGCAACCAACCATCATGATAATCAATTTTAGAACATCTTCATCGCCCCAAAAGAAAGCACATCCATACTCATTAACAGTCACTCCCCATTTCCCCAATATTAAATGGATTTTTGAGTGACTCTACAGTCAGTGCTTGAGAGAACCATGACTTCCAGTCCAAATAGACCTTGACTGGTCTGTGTTGTGAACTGATCAGTACAACTCAGCTCATGTCCCACCCCAACCCCATTCCTATCCTGCCGTTGGCTGCCATCTTTAGATGGCCTTAGGAATTATAGAGTCAAGGATTACTATACACTGGGAAGGCATGGCCTTCGGCCTCTTCCTCTGTAGAAGATCCAAATTTCAGACTTGGATCTGAGTGTCTGAGGAACATACATTATTTGTATTTTTTCAGTAACAGAATTTCAACAGCAATTATGAGCCCCTTTCTATCAGGTAGTGGGAAGTTAACTTCAGTCAGATTGTGTTTTCTTCCCTCGAGGTGGGGGTCCGATAAGGGATATACTTTCTGCCAAGGCATGGTGGCAGGGGAGGCATCCATATTGCCATCCCAGCTGGCTTTGCTGGATGTCCTCATGCCTGGTCTCCAGCCCTCTGTCTGAGCAAAGAATCATAAAGTGGCTGCTGGGCCTCCTTCTTGTCTCAACTCTAGGCCAGTTCAGATCAATGCCGAGCCCATATCTCCCTAGAAGACATTCAGTGGGTGATGTCCTGTGGCTCCCCACATCCTCTGGACTATGGGAAAGTCACCTCCATACCCCCTTTGCCTGAAGAACTCTGCATGCCTGTCTACTGGCCTAATGTCTGGATGAACCATGTTGATGCTCCTATTCTAACCCCAGGTTCATGGGGATCTAAGGTCTTGTTGCCCCTTCAGGCTCTGCCCAGTGACTGGGGGCACAGTTCTGTCCTTCTTCCAGATCCTTTTTTATTTTTTTTAATTTTTATTATTTTTTAAAGATTTTATTTATATTCGAGTTAGTTAATGTAGTAGTTTCAGGAGTAGAATTTAGTGATTCATCGCTTGCATGTAATACCCAGTGCTCATTCCATCAAGTGCCCTCCTTCATGCCCATCACCCAGTTACCCCATCCCCCCGCCTCCCCTCCAGCAACCCTGTTTGTTCCCTATACTTAAAGTCTCTTAATGGATTTCCTCCCTCTCTGTTTTTAGCTTATTTTATTTTTCCTTCCATTCCCCTATGTTCATCTGTTTTGTTTCTTAAATTCCACATGTGAGTGAAATCATATGGTATTTGTCTTTCTCTGACTGATTTATTTTGCTTAGCATAATACCCTCTAGTTCCATCCACATCATTGCAAATGGCAAGATTTCGTTCTTTTTGATGGCTGAGTAATGTCTGTCCATGGACATCTGGGCTCTTTCCATAGTTTGGCTATTGTGGACATTGCTGCTATAAACATTGGGATGCAAGTGCCCCTTCAAATAATTATTTTTGTATCCTTTGGATAAATACCTAGTAATGCAATTGCTGGGTCATAGGGTAGCTCTATTTTTAACTTTTTGAGGAACCTCCATACTGTTTTCCAGAGTAGCTGCACCAGCTTGCATTCCCACCAACAGTGTAGGAGGGTTCCCCTTTCTCCACATCCTTGCCGACATCTGTTGCTTCCTGACTTGTTAATTTTAGCCATTCTGACTGGTGTGAGGTGGTATCTCACTGAGGTTTTGATTTGGATTTCCCTGATGCCGAGCGATGTTGAGCACTTTTTCATGTGTCTGTTGGCCATTTGGATGTCTTCTTTGGAGAAATGTCTGTTCATGTCTTCTGCCCATTTCTTGACTGGATTATTTGTTTTTTGGGTGTTGAGTTTGATAAGTTCTTTATAGATTTTGGGTACTAGCCCCTTATCAGCTATGTCATGAAAATATCTTCTCCCATTCCGTAGGTTGCCTTTTAGTTTTATTGATTTTTTTTCCTTTGCTGTGCAGAAGCTTTTTATCTTGATGAAGTCCCAGTAGTCCATTTTTGCTTTTGTGTCCTTCTCCCAGATCCTTAAACCCATCCAGGGTCTCTATCATCCTTTTCCATCAAGGGTCTTAGCTCAGGGTGGGACAGCATATGGGGTCCTTCTAGAGGGTCCGTGGTCCCCTCTCTAATCCCCTCTGTCCCTGGGTCTGTCATTCATCTGTCCTAGCAATCTTTCTAAGACTACAAGGGTGAAAATGGAAGAATGTGCTCTCACTCATTGAGTCTTCTTCCAAACCTTTGTAATTGTGACTAGGCTTGTGAAATTCAAGAGCCTAGAAGATTTGATTTTTTTTGTCATATGTTCTCTGGCATCCCTTTTCTGAGGCAAGGAAGGCAGAATGTCTTCCCAAAGGCATGCCACCCCCCCCCAAAGAAGGGCACATATGTAGTAGGAAATACTGAGGGAGGAAATCTTCATCATTGCCTCAGACCATTACCCGCCATGCCTGCAGCACCCGTACCCAACCCACGTGGCAGAGGAGGGGGTGCCCGGGCTATACTCTGGGTACTTCAGTGACTGGAGTCTGGAATGCTCTTGAAGTCGGCCTGGAAGAGACACACAGGCTGCGTGACCGCCTCCTTCCGTCCTTTGTTCTTGTATGCGCGACAGGATGGGTCACCACGGCCAAGGTTCCTGCTCACCTGGAGCACCACTGAAGAAACGCCACTTCCTGTCGGTCTGTAATGAGTTTCTTGTTGCTGGCTGCGGCAGCCTGACCAGTCTTTTCCACTTCCCAGGTAGGTTTTGCGGTGATGAAGTCCCGGAGCCCCTCATCTCCACGGACAGCCGGCTCTGGGTGGAGTTCCGGAGCAGCAGTGGCATCTTGGGCAGGGGTTTCTTCGCAGTGTACGAAGGTGTGTTCACGACGACAGAAGCCCCCTGGGGAGCCCTTGATGTGCTCTGACCTTCACATGCAGCGCCCCCCAGACACGTGTGGAAGCTGCCAGAGCCAGGAGGGTGGGGGTACCCCCCACAGGGGCTGGGCTGAGGCATTCCCCCCCCCGCCCCCGGGGCCCCTTCCTCCGCACTCTGGAAGCAGAGGGGCCAGCTGTGCCTCGTTCAGGACAGGTGTCGTCTGCCTGTCACCACCCCGCTGAACTCCATTCCAGTGCAGCTGCGTGGTGGGGCCTGTCCAGGGTAGAGAACCCCGAGCCCGGGAGAGCAGCCTCCGAAGAGCTGTGTGAGCCCGAGCAAAGGACCTAACCTCTCTGGGCCTCTCTTTGTTTCATTGATGAAAAGAGGACTTTGGGCAACATCAGGATATTTACAACTACATTTCTTGAAAGGGCCTCCGAGGCCACCTTGGTGGTTGAGTTGAGGAAACAAATAAGTCTGGGCTCCAGGCAACTGCCCCCAAGGCATTTCTGCTAAAGTTTGTTCCACATATTGGGTAAATTGTAATTTTGGAGAGGCCAAGGTTTTGTTTTTATAAAAGAAATAACCTGTGTGTGTGTGTACGTATGCACACACATGTGCGTCCTTCTGTGTCAGTGGTCCCCTACCCTCTACATTAGAATCACTTGGGGAACTCACTGCTACTTGGAGCTCCCCCAGACCCCATGCCTCAGAACTTGTAGGGCTGTGGCCCCTGCTTCCACAGCTTGGAACATTCCCCAGGTGATCGTGATGCACAGCAAAGGTGGAGAACTGCTGCCTTACCTGGCTATTTTCTTTATATGAAAAAAAATCCAGAGCTGCAAACAAATGAAATTGTGCCTTTCCGGAGGCACAGTCTCAGTTGGATGGAGATGAAAATGTTGCCACGTGGAGCCACCTAGTGGTGATAGGGTGGCCACTCATTTCCTTCCTAAGGTCTGACCGGGGACCCCATTCCTCCTCTCCTGGCTCTCTTTCTAAAGCTACGTGTGGGGGAGACATTAACAAAGATGCTGGTCAGATTCAATCTCCCAACTACCCGGATGACTACAGACCTTCCAAGGAATGTGTTTGGAGGATTACGGTTTCGGAAGGGTTTCACGTGGGACTTACCTTCCAAGCTTTCGAGGTGAGTACTGCTCGGGTTTTCTTACCAAGGATGAAGTAAATGTCAACTCTGCTAGTCACTCTCTGCTCCATAAAGATGGGTTTCCATTTTGTGAGTTGCAAACAGGAACCTAAGAGACCATTTCAAGCTCACGGTGCATTGTACCTGGACATTTGGCATCAAAATCTTTGCAAACTTTGAAATTGCGTCCACCTCCTTTCTGACGGCCGCCCAGGGGAACTGAAAGTCTAGGAGGGGATCCCAGGAAGTTGTGCAGAACTGTTCTTCCTTGTGTATCGTCTCTTAGTCTGCACAGTTTGGTTCTCCCTGGGCTTCCACAAGTAGGGGACAGCTTGGAGGGCCCAGGACACACTTGGGTCCTTCTGCCTCCTGGTTAGATTTTTGAGAGTGTTATTTAAGTTCCCTTCTTACATGAATAAACAGGACCATCCGTCATCTTCCACGTTGCCTCTGTTTCTCTGTTTAGATCGAAAGGCATGACAGCTGTGCATATGACTACCTGGAAATCCGCGACGGCCCCACGGAAGAGAGCGCCCTGATTGGCCATTTTTGTGGCTACGAGAAGCCGGAAGATGTGAAATCCAGCTCCAACAGAATGTGGATGAAGTTTGTGTCCGATGGCTCTATCAATAAAGCGGGCTTTGCAGCCAATTTTTTCAAGGGTATGAATTAGCAGTTTTTTTCTATTTTTAGTCACAGGAAGAGGTATTGCCCCCCTGGCTTAAGAATCACAAAACCCATATGGAACCTTAGCATCAAACAAGCCTCCCTGCAGGGAGAAGGCAGTGACCCATTTTGAGCTGCCTCTAACCGGGTTCACCACTGACTCAGGAGCAGGCATGGCCTGGGCTGCTACAGGGCAGAAAGTTCTGCCACTGCACTTGGAAACTAGATTTAATAAGTTTACCAGGTCAAGTTAGTAAACCTCAGGGAAACTGACGTTGATAATAAATATTCGTGTAGTCACTCTCATTAATTGAGCACCTACTCTGTGTCAGGAACTGTGCAAAGTACTTGGTGGACATGATGTCACTTAATTCCCAAAATAACCCTTTGCATTGGGTTTGGATCACGTTTGACTAGGGTTGAGAAGAGTTGCTTGGGGGTCACCCAGATAGTTAAGTGACAGATCAAGAATCCAAGTGCAGTCTGACTCCTAAGCCCAAACTCTTTCTACAGCGTTGCCTCACATTCCCTGATGTGGGCCAGAGAGGCAGCCTCCCTCTTCAGCTGCTGACGCACCAGTCCCCGGCCTTCAAGGGGGTGGGAGTGGGGAGGAGAGCGAGGGGTGCTCAGGGAACAAGCTTCCATGTGGTCTTGGGGACCTGCTGTGTTGCAGAGTCTTGAAAGTGACCCAGAATGGCATGGGAAGCCCGCATTCCTGGCCTCAGCAGAAGGGGCTACTCAGGACTCCTTTGTCGGAGCAGGTCTCTCCTCTCAGGCTCTGGAAGCCCCTCAGACCACACTGTAAAAGGGAGGCCTGGATAGTCCCCAGTGCATTGTGACCGGGCGTCCAGCAGCGCACCAGCACCCACCGAATGATGTTAGCTAATCCACATCTGAGGTCTCTCGGTCAGTGGCACCACTCACGTCCAGGGAGAAGCTGCTTTCCCCTCCTTTCTTCCTCTCCAAGGACTCCTGGCTGTGTCAGCCCAGAAATCCTGGTCCCTCTCTTACTCCCACTCTCTGTATCTGCCAGCTCTTTAGCCCTTTCTCGCAGGTTCTACCTAAGTGCGTGGGTGTCAGAGGAAACCCTCTCAAGCCGTGAGCCTGAGCAGGCAGCTCTTCGTCCTTACCGAAACTTCAGGTTTCCTCTCTGAAACAAGGGGAAGAAATCTGCCCATTTTACCCGACCCGTCGTGAAGCCCCACTGAAATGATGGCTGTAGAGACACTTTATAAGCTGGGAAGTGCCCCACAGGTGTGTGGGGTTCTTCTTCTTTGGTCTCGAGGCATCTGGAAGAGCAAAACCCAAGCAGAAACAGAACAAGAATCACAATGCTGTGGATAATTGGAGGAAAAAATTGAGTCAATTCTTTCCCAAGTGAAAAAGCCAGGCTGCAGCAAGTGTATTTCAAATGCAGGTCAGCTTGTGGTTGAGATGCCTGGAAATTCACAGTCTGCGCACCGCCCCCCGCCCCCCGCCGCGTCCCCCACCCCAGCCCAGACCGCATGTGACCCAGCAGCAGCCACATTTGCTGGGTGGCCTGAAGCAAGTGACCCAAGTTCTCTGAACCCCGAATCACCCACTTCTAGAAATAACATACGAGGCTAGAGCAGAGCTGTCAGGAGAAAATGAAACCGTGTAAGCAAATGCACATTGTCTAATGGTTAGTCCCATGAACTGTCTTTGCTAAAGAAGGAGTCTTTGAGGTGGTTATTGTTATCTCAGGCAAAAAAGGAAGTGACGATTTCTTCTTGCTATCACCATGTATCTGTTTCTTGTGGCTGGTGTAACAATTTACCACCAACGTGGAGGCTTAGAACAACAGAACTTTCTCATCTTCCGGTTCTGGAGGTCAGATTTCCTTGCCTTTTCCCACGTCTAGAGGAGTCCCCCACATTTCTTGGCTTGGGTGCCCCTCCATCGTCAAGCCAGCACTGGACAGGTGAGTCTTTGTCCTGCTGCGTCACACACGTCTGCTTCCACAGCTGCATCTCTTTCTCTGCCCTTGACTGTCCGCCTCCCTCTCTCAGGCATAAGGACCCGTGTGGCGACATTGGGCCCACCCACAGAATGCAGGATAATCTCCTGTTTCAAGATCCTTAATTTAATCGCATTTGCAAAAGGCCTTTTTGCCAAGTAAGCTAACGGATTCACAAGTTCCAGGGACTGAGATGTGGACGGCTCCAGGAGGCCAGATTTTGCTTCCCACATGTCACGGATGATTAGAAGGATTTATTCTAATTGTGTCCTCCTCTCTGACGTCCACCCTCCGCTCTGTAAATTAGGTGTTGGGGAGTTAGTAACCCAGTGGCACCAACCCACCCACACCTCATTCCTGGTGCTGCTTCTAATCAGTGATGCGTGTTTTCGAGAGGACCAGCTAAAACTGGAGATCAGGGTTACCAGATTAAAGGAAAAAAAGGGATGTCCAGTTAAGTTTGAACGTAAGATGAAGAATGATCTTTCAGTATAAGCATGTCCCAAATATTGCACACGTGGCTAAAAAAATGATTGGAAATGTTCATCTTCAATTCAAATTTAGATGAGCCCCCTGCGTGTTTTGGCGAGGCCAGGCGAGGCCGCAGACAAGCGTGGATCCCTCTGTGAGGCTGGGCTGGTGTGTAAAGCACTGACTGGCTGGCTCCGGGTACCCACGACAACCCGCTGAGTTTGCAGTTGGAAGATAGCATCTTCTCCTTCTGCCACAGTCAGCATTCATTCAGCAGTCATCCAGCCATGTGTCAGGTGCTGTGCTAGGCGCTGGGGACACAGGAAGGCACAGTCACTGTCCTCAAGAGCTCAGGCTGGTGAGAGAGGACTAAGGCAAAAGGGCGGTGGCCGGGCCTCGGACGTGTGGACCTCGGAGGCACTCAACCTTGGGTGGGGGGGTCACTGTGCCCAGCCTCACACTTCAAGGGCATTTCAATTCTCAGCTTGCAAACTTCTCTTTAGATGCCCATGAAGGTGTTAACCAAAGCCCATCTACACTAACTTAATGCACAGGCCTGGCTTGGCGTCTCTTTTATGTCAGTGAGCTTGACCCCGAATCCTAAAAGAGGAACCAGGACTAGTGGAAGCCTCGGGGGGCCTCTTAAGGGAAGAAAAAGGACTCTACTGAGTGTGCCAGAAACCACGTGAGTGATCTCACTTTCTCTTCAGAACCACCCCATGGTCCACATTAGTATCACCCTCCTTTTACAGTTGAGGAAATGGAAGTTCTGAGGGGGCAGAGCTGAACAGACCCAGGATCTGCAGGGCCCCCCAGTGCATTCTTCCCGCTACAGAGACGTGCAAGTCCCTGGCAAGTCAAGCGAGGGGCGTTCAATTTTTCATTAGTGTTTGTGATTTGATTCTGAAACTTGTTGCCTTTCCGCCCTCCGGGTCCCATGGGGGCATGGGGGAAAGGGCTTTGGATGTGGTGTCTGAGGTTTGGATTTTTGTCCTGCCTTCATCCCTCAAGGTGTCTGCTCTCAGGCAGGTCAGTTTTCCTTTTAGAGACTGGGTCATACCTGCTTTGTTCTCCACTATACTCCCGGAGCCTAGCCCACACAGGGCTCAGTAAATACTCACTGGGCAGGGAATGACCAGATCAAAGAGTACATGAGGCTCATGTTCCTCACCTGTGGGTTGGGCTTCCTGCTGCTTTCTCTGCCTCCTTTTCGGGGTCCCCAGGAGAAAGAATGAGGCGAGACCACAGTCTAGAGCAATGCTGTCCGACAGAGATAGGAAGCAAGTCACAAAGGAGAGCCATGTAATTTTAAACTGTCTAGCAGCCACCTTATCCCTCCCCCCAAAAAGAAACAGGTGGAATTATTTGAATATATCTTATTTAACCCAATATATCAATTTTATGACCATTTACCAGCAGCACTGTCATTTTAATATGTAATTGATATACACAACATTAATGGCATATTTTATGGGTTTTTTTCATTCTAAGTCTTGGAAATCCAGTGTCTTTTTACACTCACAGCACAGCTGAATTCAGACTAGCTACATTTCAAGGGTTTGACAGCCACACGGGCTGATGGCGACCACATTGGTCAGTGCAGGCCTTGGGACTGGACACGGCCAGCTTCCTCTGCCCAGCCATTTTCCAGAAAAGCCATCAATAGGCTGTCCTGGGAACACACAGAGCCCAGTGCATGTGTCAGGACTTCTCCAGTGAAAGAAACTGGAAGATAAACTACAAAGTCCATGCGGAAGAGTTGAACCAAGAGAAAGAAACTTGCCTTGGTGCCAATGGGCAGGAGGCTCTGCCCGGAGCCCAGCTGGAGCACGGCACTGACCAAGGTACCAGGTGGCCTCTGCGTCCCTCTCCCGATGCCAGATGGCAGTGTCCCTCAGAGCCCACCGGCCTGGCAGCAGGCAGAGCTCATCTCCCCTTACTTCCGGAGATGGTGGCATTTGCGGGTTGGCCATTTTGGTCGCACACTCCTCACATAAAGAATATGATTTCACCTTGATCCCCACACCCCTCTGTCCCAGTGCCAAAGGACCACCATGGGGTGTTGATGAGGGGGACTGGCTTCCTGCAGGTGTTTCTTCAAAAGCTTATGGATATGCCCTGCCTTCTCATTCCTTAACTCTCTGCAAACAATTGTTGGCATCCTACCTGAGCCATCTCATTATCTAAGCAGGGAATGGTTCCTTCTGTACTAATACGGCTTGAAGAAGGCAAAGAAGACAGAGCTACCACTTTGCAAGGCTGAGCCCTACCCTTTCAGCTTTTACTCCTACCCCTCATACTTTCCCAGATTTTTCTAGGAGGCTTGGCCTTGACCACTGTAGCCCAGAGCAAGCGTGAATCTATGGGCTTGGAGCAGATGCTACTTCATCACAGTGTGGAGGTGATTCCAAGGACACCCAGGCTCCCACGGAGAGCAGGGCACCTAGTACACTTCCACGCCATCCATCCAAGTTGGAGTAGGGTTGAAAATGTCCAAACATCCCACTGCTCTTGCTGGAGGGAGCTCAGATATAACTCTATAGCTTTCACCCACCTTCCTGGGCCAAACAAACATTCCCCCCCTTCTAGTCCCTAGAGGAACTATATTCCCCTTGCTTTAGGCCCAAATCCAATCTACCATCCTCTCTCAACCCCGCATGGTTAAGATGGTACCCGGAAACTTGTTCATCTGTGGTCTTCCCTTTCTTGCCTATGACAAACGTGTGTCCTTCCCATAGCCATATCATCTTCTGGCATCAGAGTCTCCCCCCTTGCCCCCGACTCGATCCCGTGTTTATCTTGGTCTATTTTGATGGGCTTTCCCCATCATTCTTTTCTGCCCTCCCCCTGCACCCACCTGCCAGTTTCTTGACTCTGCTGTGCTGCCTTCCTGCCCATCTCTTCTTCCTCCACTGGCCCATCTTTGAGGCAGTGTCCTTCTTTCTGTCTCTGCCTTGTCCCTCTCCCTTCCTCAGCCTGTACTACTCTGCTCTCACCTGACTCAGGTATGCCCAGGTAACCTTACCCTGTTCACTGCCCTCATCATTGTGCCTCTCCACCCACTGGGATTTCGAAAGCAACCTCGCTATTGTCTGTAGTGAGATCTATTGTGTATTGGATGTCTATATGCTAAGGACTTCACACACATCATTTTCAGCCCCCACAACCCTAAAAGCAGGTGCTACTCTCATTTTAAAGCAGGGGGAAGGCTCAGAGAGGTTAAATCACCCAATTTGTTGGGGGCAAGATCCAGTATGGATCCAAGTAAGGTCTGTCTGGCTCACTCTAGAAGCCAGGACTCTCCATTTTTCCTTATTGTTGATTCTCCCTCCTATACTTTCTAGCAAATGCCAAAGAAAGTGCTTTTCCTACTGTAAAGCAATAAGTAATTGCAGGATTGTTACTATTCTAGCATACTTCATATTTCATTTATTTGAGGCCATGGACAACTTCAACCCCCTGCCTAGAGCATGTCTCCTACACTCAGTTCCCCTACTGGTCAATTTATTTAAGCTTTGGCTGAGCCCAACAACACGTCACTCTTAGAATTACCTAAGTTTATTGCCCACTATGTGCAACGATGGGATATTCACATGCTGTTCTTTACCCAGTGAAGAGCGAGCAGGTAGACAAGTGTGTTGTGCACTGTAGACAAAAAAGGCTGGAAGGAAATGCGTCTGTTTGAGTGGGGAAAGGGCAGCACAGAGGGAGTCAGCCCAGTCGAAGGGTTTGCTTGTGCTGCAGGACCAGTGGAGGGACATTGCAAGGGGCCAGAATTTTGACAATTCACATTTCAAAGGATAAGAAATACTTTTGAAAAGCAGCGAGAATCCTATCTCTGGGTGATTTCAAGCAGGGTCTGCAAAGCCATCCATAAGAAATGTTATTAAAAGGATCGCTGCGTGAGGGCAGGACTGGGGGTCTTTCCGGGTCTTTACCAACTCTAAGATGTCCTGATTTCTCCCATTTTGTGTGTAACGTGGGCTTTGAAGATTTTGTGGCCAACCCTGTGCTTGCTCTCTTCCTACCTTCCGTGGTGTTATGAACCAATGCCACCCCCACCCTTTCTTCCTCCCAGATTAGGCTTTTTTGGTTTTGTCTTGTTTTGGAAGATGCCTCAGGGTTTTGTTGTCCCTTCGCTCAGCTCTCTGGCTCGGTGAGGCCACAGCCTCTCCTCTCAGAGATAGATGCACCAGAGCTTGGCACCAGAAAATGATGAGTTTTTCCTTTTATTTCCGATCCTCTTCTTGGAGATGCCCACGGCCTGGGTTTTTCTTTCCTCCAGTGATGCATGGGCTGACATTTCCGGGCAGATTCTCCAATTACCCCATGTTCCTCCTCGGGACAGCTCTCCTGGCACCCTTACCTGCGGCAATTCAACCGCCCCAAACATATCACTAGACACTGGTCAGCACCGAATGCCATCCAAGTCCCCTGCTAACTCAGTCTCTCTGTGACCTCTTCCTGCGGTTTCTCCCGGGAGTGCTGGCTAACCTAAGAGCTCAGTGTCTTTAACCTTGACGATCTCCCTGGGCACACCGCTTCAGATTGTTTCTAAAGTACAAAATCACAAGTTCTGGTTCTGTCTCTAGAAAATTCTTCTACATCTTCATCTAGAAATGTGTCCCTTTGTTCTTATCCTTCACCTAATGTCCCTATGAAGTTCTGTATTTGAGGAGAACCCCAATTCCATAGCATTAAAACTGATGACATTTTTGGTGAGAGACCTCTGAGATTTTTTTAAAAATCACACTGTGTACCCTGACTGAACCCTTCAAAGAACAAAATCATCCAGGCCTGATCTCCTCCAGAGGAACCCTACTTCTGCCTAACAAGTTACTCTTATGTTCTCAAGACCTCCCCTTTGGCTAGAGCTGCTGAGGGTTTCTGAGACACGGACGTGAGCCTCCCAGGGAGGGGGTCACCAGGAGCCGTCCTTGTTCTTAGAGGACATTTGCCAGGCACGCGGGGATGGGGAACAGGATGGGGGGCAGACCAGACGGCTTTGTGATGATTTAGCCGGGGTCCCCTTCCTCTCCAACAGAGGTGGATGAGTGTTCCTGGCCAGATCATGGCGGGTGTGAGCAGCGCTGTGTGAACACTCTGGGCAGCTACAAGTGTGCGTGTGATCCTGGCTATGAGCTGGCTGCTGATAAGAAGATGTGTGAAGGTCGGTGTTGGACCTGCCAAGTGAGAATGGGAAGGGATAAGGGGCAAGTCTTAGGAGAAATGGGGATGAGATGGGGCCGTGGGCTGGCTGCGAGGTGACGTGATCTGTGATGGAGGGTGCCCCTGGCTCTTGGAAGGAAAAACAGCTGCATCAAGTCACAAATGTGAGAGTGTTGCCCAGATTATAAGAACTCCATCCTAGACACAGTTCACACGATTATTCAGATAAAAAAATGAAAGCAAAGAAAAACCATGAGCACTTTCGCGTGACGCAACTAATTGCTCATTTCATTCATTTCATTTCTACGGGGCTGGTGTTCCTTTTTCCTTGCCCACCTGTATGATGCTGCTTGTTCATATAAGCCAGGTGAGGCGCATAGCTTGCTGCAAACATTCCTAAGTCTCCTTTGGTCCAAGTCATGTGGAGCCCCCAACTCTGCCACTGAGTGACAGGTAAGCACAGATGCATTGTCATCATTTTACAAAGCGGTAAAGACTTGTCCTCAGCGTCATCCCTCCGAATCCTCAGTTGAAGCAGACTAGAAGAAAGGATGCTGGATTAATCAGTTCAGATTGTCAAACTTTTTTTTTTTTTTTTTATTAAAGAACACCAGGGCTTATTGCTGCTTGGGGGAAATCGCAGTCACTTGGAACTAAAACCAAATGAATTTTGCTTCTGTTTCTCCCGTGCAGTGGCCTGTGGTGGTTTTATTACCAAGCTGAACGGGACCATCACCAGCCCTGGGTGGCCGAAGGAGTATCCTACAAACAAAAACTGCGTCTGGCAGGTGGTGGCCCCTGCTCAGTACCGGATCTCCCTTCAGTTTGAAGTGTTTGAATTGGAAGGAAATGATGTATGCTTCTGCGCTCTAATTGATTGTGTTGGGATGTGGCTCAGGGCTGCAAAGCAGAGAGGGGCTCAGCAGGCGGGGAGGTCGCTTCCTGCAGTCAGGGACTCTTTGTAGGGCAGAGTCTGGGGAGTGTTTGGTGTAGTGGTTTCAGCTGCACACCCTCTGCAAACATGATGTTTTGGTTCTCTTGTCACTGATAAATCCAAGGAGAATCAGGACCAGAGCGGAGGAGGCAGGTCTTGGGGGTGGGAGGTGGTCAAGACAAGTATGTCCCCTGGGTTAGGAATCTGAGGGTTAGCGTCCAGGTGAGGGGAACGGAGGGGGTGAGATGCAGCCAGGGACCAGGATGGTATGAATTGCTTGTCCCCTCCCTTGGGCCGTGGTCATGGGATGACCAAGTCAGCCAAGGCCCAGGTAGAGCCCCCCCACCCAAGCAGAGTGCTAGCATGAGTGCCCCATGTCTGCACCTTGGGCCAGAGGGATCCCAGTAAGTGTTGAGAGGACCCTCCCACTGGACCTGGCTGAGCCGGTCTGGCCACTGGGCAGGGCGCGGCATTCAGGAAGGGGGTCCTGCAGGGAGGCTGGGGTGGAGCCGTGGGAGTACCAGGGGGCTCCCCACGGTGCTCCCTTGCAGGTCTGCAAGTACGACTTCGTGGAGGTACGCAGCGGCTTGTCCCCCGACGCCAGGCTGCACGGCAAGTTCTGCGGCTCTGAGATGCCCGAGGTCATCACCTCCCAGAGCAACAACATGCGTGTGGAGTTCAAGTCGGACAACACGGTCTCCAAACGCGGCTTCAGAGCCCACTTCTTCTCAGGTGTGTGAGAGTTTGGAGGCGAGGTCACGGGTCTCCTTGGCTGTGCAGGCTCTCAGGCTCTGGGGCACCTGCCCACCTCTCTCTGCCCACCGCCCCTACCCTCGCAGTAAAATTTCCACCTTGGAGGGGGCGTGCCTGGATCTGGGATTTTTTATATTGCTGGTTATATTATTACAGGGCTGTCATAACACACTGCCACAAAGTGCATGGTGTGAAACAACAGAAATGTATTCTCTCGTGGTCGTGGAGGCCGGAAATCTGCAGTCAAGCTGTGGGCAGGGCTGTGCTCCTTCTAAAGGCTTTGGGAGAATCCTTCCTGGCTTCTAACTAGCTTGTGGCCCCCATACTTAAGTGTTGGGTGGGCTTCATCTCTTTATTCTTTAAGGATTCTTCGTTGTCCTCATGAAACTAAAACACCAAGTGTTCAGTGACACGTTACCACAGGGTTTGGTGAGGGCAGGGAGACACCACTGACCCCCGGAGTTATCCCAGTGTTGGGGGCTGGGGAGGGAGGCCGGTCCTCGGTTATAGCAGCAAGAAGCTGGCTTGAGCTACAAGAACCAGAGTGACAACAGCTAGGACTTGAGTTCGGACATCGTAACAAATACAAGCTAACACTTACTCTCAGCTAGATGCTGTTCTAAGTACTTTCTCTGTACTAATTCATTTCCTCCTCCCAACAACCCTATGACGTGAGGACACATACTGGCTCCATTTTACAGGCGAGGCTACTGAGGCACAGAAGTCAAGGACTGCCCAAGGAGACACAACAGCTGGTTGTGGTAGAGCAGGACCGGCACTCGGCAGTCTGGCCCGGGGCCCGGAGGCCTACCTACTCCACAGGCCGGAAGTGGCGTGGGGTCAGGGAGGAGGAGCCGAGGCTTCCAGGTCACACAGGCTGCTCGCTCACTGAGTGGCCCTGGGGCATGTTAGTGTCCTCAGCCTCAGTTTCCTTACCTGTAAAAGGGGGGCATAGGCACCTGGCTCCTCAGGTTGCATGCTGTATAGAAAGTGCTTCGGGAATTGCCCATCACATAAATATTCAATACACGGCAGTTACTTTTATTATTGTTACCGTGACTATTCTTAATATTAGCCTACCCTTTAAGGAGCTCCTTGTTCTGGCGGGCAGCAGGGTTAAAGGACATATATGCTTTATGTGTTAAAGGACATATATGCTCATTCAAGTGCTTTAGGAGCGTGGGGAATTCAGTATACAGCAGGACCAGGTACGATCCAACAGATGCTGCCCCCACCCACCCCAGGAGGGGGACTCCCCAAATCAGGGCACTCTGGGAGCCTCCCTGGCAGAGGCTACTTCTGAGTGGAGTGCTGAGGTATGAGGGGATTCCCAAGGTGGCGTGTCCCCTGAGAGCCTGTCGATCCCCCAGACAAGGACGAGTGTGCCAAGGACAACGGCGGGTGCCAGCATGAGTGCGTCAACACGTCTGGGAGCTACCTGTGCCGGTGCAGAAACGGGTACCGGCTCCACGAGAACGGGCGTGACTGCAAGGAAGGTGAGGCTGCACTGGGAGGCCAGGCTGACCGTGGCCGCCGTGCGCACGGATGTGAGGGTGAGCAAGGGGCCCCCCTTGTCTGCCTTCCCTCCTGCCGAAGGGCGGTGTTCCCCAGGGCAGCACCCTCCTTCAGGAGGATTCAGGGCCCGCAGGTACCCTCATGGGGTTACTATTGCAAAGCGGGTACACCCCCAGGCTCCTGAATCAGACTACCACCTAGGTTTAAATCCTGACTCTGCTACTTAACCGGCTGTGTGACCTTGGGCAGCTTACTTAACCTCTCTGAGCTTCCATTTCTTCTATTTAAAAAGGGACTAAACAGACCCTCTTCTTAAAGGTGTATGAGGAGTGAATGAAAGCGTGCCTAGAAAGTATTTCAGACAATCTGGCATCTATTAAGCACTTGACAGGTCAATAAATATCAACCATCTATGTCATAATATTTTTTATCATTTGCAGGTCTAATAGTAAAATAGAATTCAAAAAAGATTGCTCCCTGCTTCATTTACTACTGGAAGTTCAAGGCCAGATGCCTTTGAATGTCCAGGCATTCTGGAAAGAGCCTCCCTCACCCTGCCCTGTGAAGGGTGTTTGAGCATCTCTGATAAGCACACAGGCCTCTAGGCCTTGGCTCCAGCACAGGGCCCTGCAGAGGTGGTCAGAGGGAGGGAAGGGATGAAGACTTCATGCCCCCTCTCTGGGATAAGCATTTCAAAGGTAGGAGATTTGACGGGGATGCACAGAGTCTGACCAGGCCTTCAGGGGTGTTACAGCAGATGAGCTAAGACAGCTTCAGAAGCAGGGTGCGGCCACCCTCCAAGCCCATCCCTGTGACATAGACATGGGCCGTCGTGGGTTGGTTGGGAAGCAGGTTGGAAGAACTTGGAAGGACCCCTCATTCTGGAACTTAAAGGTCTTTGTCGGACTCTTGTGAGGTGGACTGGGCCAGAACAAGGCTTGCCTCCTGTGGCGTGGGGGAGGCCAGGAGGGATTTAACCCCACTAAGGTCCCACCAGCCGAACAGTGGCTGCCTTCCTACGGGCTCCTCCAAGGGGTGGCAGCCAATGTCCCAGATGCTGAGCCCCTGCCCCTCTGTTGGCATTTGTCCCCTGTGTGGCTGCAGAGTGGGGGCAGCATTGAGCAGGAACCTCCCTTCAGCGGCTGCCTATCCCCTCCCACTTCCCCTGACCTGCCCTCAACTGCCCCCTCTGGCACCTTGTCCTGCAGCCGCAGGGCAGCGTTGGCAATGGGGGTGGTGAAGTGATGGGTAGTGATGAAGACCTTTGTTGGCACTTGCTAAGACTTGTACATGTATTATCTCATTTAGTCCACATATCCCCCGACAAAGTCGGCACCCCTTTTACAAATAAGGACACCAAGGCTTGGGTAAGTGCCCAAGTCCCACAGCTTTCAGGCGGTGCAACCCACATCCATGTGGCCCCAGTGCCTGTGGTCTCAACCGCCACCAGGAAGGCGGCAACACCAAATAAACTCTCTGGCCAGAGGACACTTGACTCAGGCTGAGCCCTACCCCCACATTTGATCATGACCCCATGACAAATAAGAATGAGAGACGGAGACTCCCCCGGAGGGCCTCTGGTGCTGCCCACAAATGAACTGCTTCTCTCTGCATGTGTCTCCCCACCCCCCTCCAGCTGGCTGTGCACACAAGATCAGCAGTGCAGAGGGGACCCTGGCGAGCCCCAACTGGCCCGACAAGTACCCCAGTCGGAGGGAGTGTACCTGGAACATCTCTTCCACCGCGGGCCACCGGGTGAAACTCGTGAGTCATTTTCGTAGTTGACGGACAACACGGACTTTGGTTTCAGACAGACAGGGGGTTGCGTCTCTGCTCTGCCCCTTCCCAGCTCTGAAACTTGAGAAGGTTATTCAACACTTCCAGAACTTGGTTTCGTTATCTGGAAAATGGGGATGCTAATGAAGCCTCCCTCGTGGGGCGGCTGCGCACAATTCAGAGGTGGTGGTAAGAAAAGCTCCCTAAATCGCACCTGTTCGCAGCGGTACCGGTCCGAGGGGGCGTTCCCTGCACAGATTGGGAGAGGTGACATTCAGTCATTGCCAGCTGTAATTTTTGACAAAATGATAACATTCCCAAGGTTAAAAAAAAGTAACAGTACAGAGTGTTGGAAAGTGGAAATCAAAAGCTTCTAGATCCCCCATGCCCACTTCAGAAATGACCTCTCTGAACTTTTTTTGTAAATTCTACCAGAAATTTCCTATGCACATACGATAACGTATGGACATGCATGGGAAAAATATAGATCGTTTTTCTTTCCCAGACTTCTTGAATGGACTATCATTCAGATTCCTCGATAACTTACATTTTAAAAAATTAACAATAAGAGGTTAAGTTATGCTAATTCTCTCTTGAATTAAAAAATTAAAGTCTCTCATGCCTATGGTTGTAGGTGTGCACACCGTGCTTGGTTATTTCAGAGGAGAACTGAGTCTCTGGTACAAGTCTCGTTTCTCAGCCCCCAGAGCTCCCAGCTCCTGGAGTGTAAAACAAACCCTCTTGTCGGCTGGAGAAGGTATACTCCAGACAGAAGGTTTTTAAACGGGTCTTTCTGACTCTGGAGATTTGTAAGCTTTCCAGAAGGCATAGGGATGGTCCTCTGAAGTATGGGCCAAAAATGCAAGGAGAATGGGAGAGAATAAAGGAGAACGTGATGATAAGCAGACGATGGCCGGGGACTTGCCAGGGTGCTTACTGGCCGGTGAGAGCGGTGAGGACAGGCGGGTGAACGGACGCCCACAACAGAGCGCAGGTGCTGGGGTCTGTCTGTGCCAGGCCTGGGGCCTCGAGGGGTGGCGAAGGCAGAGCCCATGACCACAGGGTGCTCACAGCGGGCCCCTCATATGTACGGCTGCCCACGTGGGAAGTGCTTTTGGAGGCTTTCCTGGGTGTCAGAACAACCTTGAATCTGGGTGAGGGTGAACTAGAGTGCCTTAGTGTAGGGCTGCCCCCCAACGCTGCCCTCTGCTGGAGAAGGTTCGCAATGGCAACATACATCTCCGGCGTCGGCGGGGAAATGGCGCCCCCTGGGGGCGGGAACGCGCAGCCAGCACAACTGGAAGCCGCGCTTCTGTCCAAGCGCCACAAGACTTTCGTAGTTGCCGAACGTCTTCCCCTTCTTTACAGTGCTAAGGAACTAAAGCAACTGATCACTGGGGCCAGAGTTAGACCAGATCTCAGATTTATAGACGTTCATACGTGTATGTGCTAGTTTTTTAAAAAAACTTCCTTGGGAAGTGTATGGTTGTTCTTGATCATGCTCTTTTTTGCCACCAGAAAATATGAGTTGAATACTTCCCAAGAAGCCGGTGTTTCACTGTATGGGGACAGCAACAGGGTGTCCCATGTGTGTCCCTCCCATTGCATCACCCACCCCGATGCTGCTGGTCTCCCCTCCTGCTCCTGCGCACTGTGTCTATACCACCCCCAAACCCAGCTCCCTTTCTATAAGGTGCGAAGAGCTTTGCCTGTTTCTACTGTTTGTCATTCCTGTGAAAGCCCGCACTGCTAATGATCCCTCTCCACCTCCATCTCTGCGCTGTCTCTCCAGCTACTCTCATGAATTCAGACCTCCCCCCCGCCCCCCACTAACGGCCTCTCTTCCTGCTCTGTCATTTGGTCCGAGCCTTCATTTAACACTGTCCCCTCTCACCTTTCCCATCTTCCTGGCAGCTGTGGGCAGGCCATCAGTCACTCAGCTGCCCAGTCAGTCCCTAAGAAGCTCTACATTTGGGGTTTTGAAGCTTCATGCATGTCCTGGAATGGAGGGGCTCCCCTGGCCAGCTTTGGGGGACAGTCTTCACGGGGCAGGGAGGAGGGGGACAGTATAGCCTGGTGTTGGTTAGGAGTGTGGGCTGGAGTCAGGCTGGCTGAGGACTAAGTCCAGCTGCAGCCTCCTCTAGCTTGGAGGAGTAAGCTTGGGCAAGACATTTCTCTAAGACTCAGTTTTCCCCTTCTGCACATTGGGTCTAATACTAGCTCTTCCCTCACATCATCAGAATTAAGTGAGAAAATGTTCATGAACATTTAGCACAGGATTCTCCCTGGGAAAAAAAAACTCTCCTCAAATGTCAACCACTATGAGGATGCAGACGAGGAACAGCGTGCACTTCATACAGCCTCATCCTATCATTTGTACTGAAGGATCACACAGCACAGCACAGAGGTTGAGGGCAGGGGCTCTGCAGCGAGACCTCCTGGTCATGGCCCAGCCCTACCAGTGGGTGACCTTGGGCAAGTCACCTGACTGCTCTGTGCCTCAGTTTCCTCATCCGTAAAGTGGGGATGGTAGCAGTAGACACAGCACAGGGGTGTGAGGATTATATGAGGTTATATTTGTAAAGCACTCAAAACAGCTCCTGACCTGGCATGAGTCCTTGGTCTTTGCGGCCGTCATCGTTAAGTGAGAAGGAGCCTTGTGCTGGCACAGACGGAGCAGGGATGACCACAAGCGTCTCAGCTCCAGGAACCCGGCCATCTCACCTGCAAAGTGCTCATAGCAGCAGTCGTTCCTGTGATTACCTCGTAGGGGTGTCCGGGGACCACGAGAGAACGTCCCGTGTGCCCCAACCTCTCCCAGCCCCCGGGGAGGCGGCCCCCACCCCCGGCTGAGCGCCAGGGCCCTGCTTCCCTTTCTGCTCTTCTATCCCCAGACATTTAACGAATTTGAGATCGAGCAGCACCAAGAATGTGCCTACGACCACCTGGAGCTCTACGACGGGCCCGACAGCCTGGCCCCCATCCTTGGCCGTTTCTGTGGCAGCAAGAAACCGGACCCCATGGTGGCTTCAGGCAGCAGCCTGTTCCTCAGGTTTTATTCAGATGCCTCTGTGCAGAGGAAAGGTTTCCAGGCGGTGCACAGCACAGGTAGGGGAGCCGGGGGGCCCCGCATCCCGCTGAGGCCCACAGGGGCTGGACACAGATGGTGATGGAAGCAGGGGAACAACTGCCGACACGGGGGTGGGGGGTGCGCGATCAGCCATCCCTTTAACCACGAAACGTGGGCAGCCGCAGGGGGAAGGGTTGTTTTCCTTGAATGTCCTTAACTGATAACATTTAAAGTGGGCCACACTTTGTTGGTGCCACACTCCTTTCCGACCCGCCCTCCCTTCCTCCCTTCCTCCCATCCTCTTTCCAAAACTTCTTTGTAATCTTGCTGGTCCGTGAAATCCCAAAGTCTGGGAGCTGAGGGGTGGAGAACAGCCCCTGTCACGCCCTAAGGGCCAGTTCTGGAAAACGGAAAATGTTTCTATTACCCATTATTTTCCCCCCACTTAACATGTCACGTCTCAGGGACTTGAAATTTCCCAAAGACAGCTCAGCCCTGGAGGAAATTCCCAGCAAGAGCACGTGGGGTGAAGAGCTGGCAGTCAGGAAGGACCGGGGGCCGGCTGGGCCTGACAGTGTCACTGGACCACACAGAAGCCACACCTCGGGGAGCTCGGCACCTTGGGGGCATGGAGCACATTGAGGACAGGCAGTGGAGGAACTTGCCTTCAGATTTTCTGGCACTTTCTAATCTCTCTAATGAGCTCAGTCTCATGTATCCGTTTATATTATGTGGTCTCTAGTGGCCTAGACAAGATAGGGTGGGACCCAGACAACCAGAGTTAGGGTCCTAGTCACAAACTCAGAAGCCAGCGCTACAGAATACAAACCCAAAGTATGGGGCTCAGCTCATCTGTGACACCCCCAGGAGCCTCAAAGTCAGACTATACTCAGCACTGTCAAATGCAGGAGCAAGTCAGTCTGTAACCTGAGGTTTCTGGCTTTGAGTTTACCAGGAGTTCTGATGTGCTTTTGGTGCCCTCTGTTGGCAACAGTTGCAAATCACAGCCCGCGAGCCCTTCTCTAGTGCTTCTAGCACTTCCAGGGAATTAGGTGGTAGAGATCCAGCAGCCAGCTTTTTTCAGTAGCTTGCTCAGGAATTCCCTAGAGGCCTTATGTGACCCAATCCAGGAACATAGGACCTTCCTGGGAAGGGCCAATTTGGACCCCCAGTAAGCCCTGAAACTAGGACCTATCGACCTCTGTTTACGCCTCTGTAAAATGGGATGAGGAAACCTGCCAGACTTTCCTACAGGGCACACGCAAGGCCTCGTAGAGAAAGCTGGCCGGCACTGGGGTGTGAAGAGAGAAGGCCAGGGCCCGGAAGCGGGTGGGGGGGGGGCCCACGCGACTCTGTGCCGAGGGGACGGGGCGGCTCTCTCCCTCTGCTCCAGAGTGCGGGGGCAGGCTGAAGGCTGAAGTGCAGACCAAAGAGCTGTATTCCCATGCCCAGTTTGGGGACAACAACTACCCGAGCCAGGCCCGCTGCGACTGGGTGATCGTGGCGGAGGACGGCTACGGGGTCGAGTTGATCTTCCTGACCTTTGAGGTGGAGGAGGAGGCCGACTGTGGCTATGACTACATGGACGCCTACGATGGCTATGACAGCACGGCGCCCAGGCTCGGCCGCTTCTGCGGCTCCGGGGTGAGTGCGCGGGCTGCCAGCCGGGCGAAGCATGAGGCCTCAGAGCGGGAGACACACCGGGTGCCGGGCTGGGGGGCGGGGGGCGCTGCTGGAGCGAACTGGGGAAGGGGAGACGGGTCCGGAGAGGAGGCGGGGACTAGCCTGGGAGCCCATCAGGAGGGCCCCCTACTGATGCAGGCTGTGTAAGAGCTGGCTTTCCTTGAGGATTTTCCTCCCGTGTTTGCAAAGGGCTCCTCCCCTCCCCCACCTCCATTTTTACTTGGCCTTGAGGCTTTAAAACTTGTTTTAAATGATGCTTTTGTATATCCCATATAGTCACAGTTCTCTCCCCGGGCAGCTCCAAATGCCCGTGGGAATGGCGAGTCTCACTGGAAACACAGACTCATGCTCCGGGTCCTCATCATTTTTCTCACTGTCCCCTGTCTTCTCAGTCACCTCCCCCGGACAGGGCAGGCCTGGCTGGTCACTGTTTCCCCCGCACCTGACCTAGAAGCTGGCACACGGCTGGCACCCGCGGCCGGTACAGGGTCCTGGTCACGCTCCCCCTGCGCTCCTGTCCGCTCCTTGTCTCTGTCTCCGGGGCTGATGGGGCAAAGCTTCTTTGCTGTCGGCTGAATTGACATCAGCTCATTTTGGAGTCAAAACTGCTTCTCGCGCTGATCAGAACCTCAAAAGGGCATTTATACCGGTCTCTGAATAATTTCCCGTCATCTTCCCTCACCCTCCCAAAAAGAAAGGATGACAAAGTGTGACCTGACCGATGCCATGTCTTTGATAAAGTCTTTCAGACCATGGGGCCCACGTGCAGAGGAAAACCTTGGAGAGTTCCGAGCAGTGAGTTGTGTGGGAAGCCCAGCTGGGTCCCACTGCGCCCTGGCAGACAGCAGCCTTGGAGCCTGGCTCCCCTTCACGGAGCCCTTGGCGAAACCTCCGTGACAAATGTAGAGGCTCCGTGCCACGTTTTGCTCTTGGACAGGATATAGGCCGCAAGCATGGGCTTTGGTGTTTGGTCCGCTGGGAGATCTATCCCAATGGTGACTTCAAGGTCAGAAAGACCTGAGCTGGGGTCCTGCCTAGCTGTGTGAATTGAGTTTCAGTTTCCTTAAGTGTAAAATGGAGATAGCACTCCCCTTGTCAAGTTTACATGAGGTAAGATCTGAAAGCGCTCAGAGCAGTCTCCAGCCCGCCTGTGCCCTTCATAACCCATAGATTCCATATGAGCTGTGTGTCTAGGACTGTCTTTGAAAACAGGGCCTGGGGAGCTCTTCTCTGGAGCAGAATTGGCAATGTTTTCCTTTGTGAAAGAGCTTATGTCAATGCCCTTCAGTGTCTCTGATGCCAGGGATGCCCCGTGGAAGCACTGGCCTGCCTATGTTCTCATGTAACCTTTGTCTCATCGTCTGTATTTAAAACTCCAGCCACAGCCAACTGACCTGACATCCCCCTGGTTTTCTTTTGCCCTTTCCTCAGCCATTGGAAGAGATCTACTCTGCAGGAGATTCTCTGATGATTCAGTTCCACACGGATGACACCATCAACAAGAAAGGCTTTCACGCCCGATACACCAGCACCAAGTTCCAGGATGCCCTGCACATGAAGAAGTAACAGCAATGTTCATGAAAGACAGGAACTGAGAATGTGTTTTATAACAATAGCACCTTGTGAATCTGCCCTAAACCAGTGTAGAGTTTTTTTTTTCCTCAAACAAAAACTCAAAGTCTAGTCTTGGAAGTATGTATCTGGTGAAGTTCAGCCAAGAAGGAGGAAAGATGTTTCTTTGATTCTGGCTGCAATGTTATCAATCATGGACTTTGAGAGCAGATTAAGGTTTTGAAGTCCCTTACCACTCAAGCTATGCCTGGTCATAGTCATTCTCCTTGTCCCTTACTCCTACAGGACAAGAGGCCAGCCCTTGGGTTGGTCACTCCTCTCTTTCTGGACGTGCTTTGGTAGGTGCCAGGCAATGTGACTGTGTCCTGGAGACTCAGGCTGTCTTCTGTCTGCATTGAGCAGTGAGGATAAAAGCTCGGCCATGGCTGATTTGTTACTCACAGCTCTGGCTGGAGACTTTTGCTTTCTGTCTGCCAGGGACATGTCAGCCAGGAAACCTGAGAATACGGATGTCAGGCCTGAAAAAGACCTCGCAGGAAGCAATGCACAGAGGGAGCTGGAGTATGAGCATCCTTGTCACCACGCTAGTAGACACCAAGCCTCCCCTCTGGGGCACTGGATCTCCTTGCCATTTCGGGTTTCCCCCATGCCTACTTGCATGAGGAGGTTAAGGCATCCACTGTGAATTCCATCAACACACCTGCTGTTGAGAGTCCCCAGTGTGCCGAGAAGAAAACATCCTGCCTCCTCCTGATACTCCTTTCCTGGCTGACTTCAGAAGACCCCACCTATGCTTGGGATTCCATGGGCTGAGAAGACCATTTCCTTCCCCAGCTTTGGAGGCACTTGCTGTGGTTGACCTTGACTTCTTGACAACTGATTCAAACTGCATTTGCAAGACGTGCAAAGACAGCCCATGAGGGACCAGTTGAGGTCCCTCAAGGGGCGAACACTGTTGAAAACTGGTTAATTATAAGTCATGTAATCCTCTGTGGGAGGAGTCAACCTGTGACTTCCTGTCACCAGTCAGGTCAAAGAGTGCATTGGTAACTTCGCTCAGGCTAACTGGTATCCAATCACCAACTTGCAATCAGAATTTACCACACTTGGCACTTGTTCTAGAAAAGTATAGAGGATGTTGTTTACATAATTTTAGAACCTCCACATGTACCTTAAATAGTGAGGTAGTTTTGAATGGCATTTCATTAAGGCATCTATGGGCATTATGAGCTAAAAGCTGTGGTATGTTAGCTTTAAAAGAGTATTTATGTTGGAATAATTTTTAAATAATGTTTACATAACTCTAAGTCCTGTTGGGTTGGTGTTGAGCACAGGACAGCACACGAGAGTGTTTCCCGTGAGACCCATGATAGCTCCCAAGCACCAGAATTCCTTTGGGATGAAGCGACATCATTTTAAACAAAGTATTTGTAAAAGCTTAAAAGTTACATTTTTTAAAGATCAGAATATGCCCCCAGAGGACTATGTCTAATTACAATGATGGCTGGGAGTAAAACAAACAAAGGATAATACAAGAAAGGTAGAAGAGATGCATGGAAATATTTTTTCCTTAAAACAGAAAAAAATTCAAAGTATTATTATTAATAATAATATATGTCTGTATATATGTATGTATGTAAAGGACCAGCTGTCAGAGCCTTAATCGATGCAGTGTGACAGATGCCGACTGGCTGACCGTAGCTTTACCGAGCAGGCCCTCCTTGACCAGCCCTGCATTTTATGTGTGTCGTTCGCCAAGCCCTCTCTTGGCCCTGGATGGAGATTCGGCCTGATTCTCACATCGAGACACATCCCAGGCCCTGCCTCGGGGGCACTCGGGCTCAGCAGAGGGAGCCCCTTATCTTGTGGTCCAACCTGCCTGCGAAGGTGAATCCCAGCTCTCAGATTTTTGTATTTTTTGGGGTTTTACTTTGTCTTATCGTATCTGTCAACGTTGAAGCTGGAACCAGAATACATAAGGTGGCTATTAGAGGTCTTTCTCCAACGACAGGAAAAATCTGTCCTTTCGACCTCTTAGAAGCCTGAATAAAATCAACGAAATCTATGGCAAAGTGGGAGAGAGTCAGAAACAGAGTTGGTTCTGCCTCAGCGTTGGCCACCCTCGTGAAACAATGGTACTTATTTTTATCTCTGTAGTATGAATATTGTCAAAAACCCCCAACTTGGCCAACTTGAAACAAAGGAACGCTTATGAAAACCTTTAGTGAGGCCTTCTGCGAGTGACGTACTCCCAGACAAGACAAGCCCTGATTCAGCTGGGGCCGTCCAGACCGCTCCCCTGGAAGCTCACTTGCGGATTGATGCCCTGGCTTGGGGAGAGAAGGTCCACTTGACAGGAAGACCCAGGCCCCCTGCTGAAGCTCCTCACAGGACATCTTGCTCCAGCCTGCTTTGTCCTTTAATTGGGTGCTAGGCCTTGGGGATGTCACAGAAGTCCAAGACTAGCTTAGGTTCACAGAATTACCTTGATGACCTGATGAAATATTTGGAGTCTGGGTCATCAGCCTGGTCCAGTTCTAGTGTGATCTGGTCTGGCAGAAGCTAGAGCCTGAATCCCAGATCAGGGTGAGGGTCTGGAACTAACTTTAGCCTTTGGAGTTTCTCCAAACAGAAAAGATGAGGCTGTGCATTGATTCACTATAAAACCATTTTCCTCTAAAGTTAAGTTTCATCTTACTCATGAAACCCTCAGCCTATTTAAATCATTTATAAAACCCTGTTAACTAGCAAATTCATGCTCGGATTTGCCATTGATCTGGTCCATTTGATAAGTCTCAAATAATTCGTGGTATTGTTGTTTGGTTTGCGGACAAATGTTCCCTTGGCTTCCGCTCCCTTGTTTTTCAAGTTTCCTTGGTAGACCGAACTTCTGAAAAATAATCCCAAATGCCTAAAAGGTTTCTTTTTAAAAAAGAAAGACTATTTAGAGTGCTATCTATAAATATATTGTACTTTTTATTTTGTGTAATTTTACATTTCATGAAATGTTAGTTTCAAAGAGAAAGTGGAGAGGAGCTAACATGTCTGTCTAGAAAGAACTGTTTCATTAAAGAATGTGGATTTACGGATGTGTCCTGGGTTTTTATCACTAGTTTGGACAAGAGTGGTCCCCTTGGTGATAATTTCATCTAATGCCACAAGATTTGAGGATAGAAGACGGGGGATCTTCTCGGTGGCTCTCTCCTCTCTGGTCAGTACCTGGAGCCTGGTCCAGAACAGAGCTCCCTATTGGACCCAGAAAGTCATGAGCAAAGCTAACGATGGCTTCTAAGTTGCCGCCTTTCTTGAATCCAAACAGGCTGGAAATCTGACCGCATACTTGTGGACTGGTTGCTATGGTGAGGGTTGCTTCATGTAGTAGACACCACCTGTTTGTCGCTTAGCACCTCTTTCTACTTGTCTCCACCTGTTCCTGTGCCTGAGGACCACAGCTGACATCTAAAACTAAAGGTCACGGCTCCTGTCAGGTGGCCTTCTCTCTCTCTGGGCTCTGGCGGCCACTCCTCTGCCCCCCCTTCAGGCCTAGGGGTGGTAATGACACCAAGCTGGTGTAATCCTGGGTCACTGCGTTATCCCCCAAGGAGGACCTTTATAAATAGTCCTTGGAATAAGCCCTCGTCAAATATAGCAAATTGAGCATCTCATGTATTTCCTGTGATACAGGCTCATTTTTAACCCAAGAACAGAGGTTCCATCTAATCGAGCACAGTCTTCTCGGGTTGACCAGTTGAGGAGAACTTAGGGTGTGTTTAGAATTTTGTGGGTCATATCAGGGAAGGGTAATAAGGAACCGTGTTTTTTAGAACACTCAGATTGGTCTTAATGCAGAACGATCTAAATGCAGAACTATTTCTGCAACTATTTGGTGCCACGTGTGGAGTGTCAAGGTTTTAGGACTTTCCTTTTTGCAGTCACCAGTACCTCAAGGATGAGCCCCAATGGGACAAGGGTGTGAATGCTTGAGGGATCAGTCAGGATAAGGTAGTTTATGCTGCGTCAAAAGCAACCCCCGGATATCAAGAATGACATAGGAAAGGCTTATTTCTTGTTCTTACTACGTGTCCATTTCTCACGTCTGGAAGCTCTTCCACATTAGCCTTGGTCAGGACGGGGATGATGGTGCCGCTGCTACCTGGAGCTTTGCTGATTTCTAGATCATGCAATGTCTCTGACAACTGCCTAGAAGTGCCATATCAATTCCACTCCCATGTCCTTGGCCAAAGTAATGCATACAGCTACTCTTAACTTCGGGTTAAGAATGAGATGAACCCTTGTAATCCGGGCTTCACAGGGAAGCCGGGTGACCTGCGTCCACGTCACCTAGCTCTGCTCCCACTTAGACTCCAGAAACATCTGCTGGACCCCACTAAGGACTCTCACATGTGACATTCATAGATAGAGAAATGACCAGAATCTTTCTGTGTGTTTTAACATTTTACTTCATCACTATTTCCTTACTGACGATTTAGATACAGATTTAAAAAAATCAAGAGTCAGGCCATTGGTCATTTGGCATGGTCCAGGTTTTTAAACTGGCCAGTTATTGCCTGGCAAACCACTTGTGTGATTGTACAACTTTAAATGGTGGCAAGATAAAAATGAGAGCATCTTCACGCCAGTGGCCGCAATGTCTCACCCACAAAAGGGCATTCTTTCTACGGTTTCTGAGAAGATAATTCCCAGGCCTAACACTGCCAGAGGAGGAGAGACCACTCATCTCCCCATCCCCTCTTCTTTGAGTGATGGTGCCATGGTCCTTTCGCAGAACAAACCACCTAGTCTCCAATCGGAAGGCGTGGCATCCTGGGGCACATGACCGCAGCCAGCCCGAGCAGATCCTCTTCCTGGAATTGAAGTCTTGATCAAGGGGCGAAAGGGCTGCGCTGTTTTGGAGCTCATTTTCCCTGGGGGGATATCCTGAGAAGACAGTGGAAGAGTCTCTGCTGCTGAAGCCTCCGGAGCAGCCTCGCTCCGCCTTCCCAGAGCCTGCTTCCCTGGCCCTCTCTTCCTTCTGTGAGCTCTGCTATACCCAGCCAATAAAGTCCCCTTCTTCTTAAGTTAATCACGGCCCGTTTGGATGCCTGTGACCAGACAACCACGACTGGCCCGGATGCTTGGCCAGTGCACCACTGACTAGAGGTCTTAGCAATTCTCCTAAAGGAATAACCTGTCCATTGGAGGGAGAGGTGGTGGTCAGTGGGTGTTTAGCAAACAGAAAGAGTCAAGAAGGACCTCACTGGCCTTACCCCCCATGGACAGCCTAGCCAGAGGGGGCGGGGGCCCTGAACTAGAGTCCCTGGGTGCAGTTCTGTGGTCCAGGTGGGGGCCTATGCCCACCACGCCAAGTTAGAGACACACTCTGTACCGGTCATACTGAATTCACTAGTCTGTCATTGTAAACCTTATCAGCCCCACTTTACAGATGGAGACTGAGGCTGGAAGAAATTGCTTTGCTAGCCTAAGACCGTGCAGCTTCCACAACTGCAGCCGAGGCGTTAAACCCGGGCCTGTCTGAACTGTGTCTCCATGACGTCGGGACACAAGGACGTCAGCCGAGGCGTCGCTGTGGAGTCTTGGGAGCCGGAGGCCCCGTGAAGCACCGGCCATGTGGGTCCTGCTCGGTCCGGGATCCTCGGGCCTGGATCCCTGCGCCCCACATCCATTTTTCCAGTATCACCTGCCTGAACACACAGGGCTCCTGTGCCCTCTGTGAGCCAAGCCCCAAACCCAGGAGTCAGCTTCCTTCTGCACATTTTACTCCACCGTCAAATCTCACCGCCTTTACCTCCACAGTAAGTCACGGACCCATTCACTGCTCTCCATTTCCACTGCCCCAGTCCCCGGGCGGCCGCCACCAGCACTCACTTGCTCGCTGCCGGCAGGGCGGCCCTTGCAATCCGGGCTTCACAGGGAAGCCAGGTGACCTGCGTCCACCGTCACCTAGCTCGGCTCCCACTTAGACTCCTGAAAGCCGTCCCATGGCTCGACGATGGAGATCTTGCCGTGCCCTGCCATGCTCACCCCATCCGGCCCCTAACTCACTCAGTCTTTTGTTGTTGTGGCTAAGACATTCTGTTTGTTTGTTTCCAGTGTAGTTCACATACCGTGTTACAGTAGTTTGAGTTCTACGATATAGCGACTCACCGATTCTGTACATTACTCAGTGCGCATCATGATAAGTGTGCTCTGAATCTCCATCACCTGTTTCACCCATCCCCCACCCCCCTGCCCTTGGGTAACCACCAGTTTGTTCTCCATAGTTAAGACTCTTGTCTCCTTTTTCCTTCATTTGTTTTGTTTCTTAAACTCCACACATGTACCTCACTCTGTCTTACTCCTTCCGAGGTCGCTCCCCTGGTTTATGTTCCTTCAGGACCACGGGCCTCTTTCCGGGCTGTGCCTGCTTCAGCCCTGGAGCTCTGCATACGCTGTTCCCTCTGCCAGACACCCTCTTGTCTGTCCCACACATCTTAAGTGTGTGTGTCCCCCCGGGACATCGAAAGCAACTGTTTCCTAGTCACTCCGGCCACTCCGTCTGCTCCTCTCCTAGCGGGTCTCACTTGTTCTGACTGGGATCCACCTGCGCTTGCTGGAACATACACTCCCCAAGAGCTGGGGCCTCATTTGCCTCATCGCCGAGGCCCAGAACCATGCCCAGAAAACCGCTTGACATACAGAAAGTGCCAGAAAGCTTTGTTGAATCATGAGCAATGCATTCACTTAAGTGATCAGATTTATCGGTCAGAATTCTGTTGTTTTGTTGGCATGGGACTCCAGCTCCCTCCCTGTTTTAAAGAAGCAAATTCCTAACAAAGACCTCATAAAAAATATAAAGCAGTCCCCATCAGTGGCTTCCTCCAACTCTACAAGGGTCCCCACTCAAAACGTGAGAACAGAAAGGGGGTGAGGCTAACCTCCCTTCCAGGCAGCTCACTGACCAGGGAGTGTGTTCACCGGGGGGCTGCAGCCTGGCCTCCAACACCCCTCACGCAGCCATCCTCTGTGTTGATGCTGTTGGTGTGCTGACCCCACGGAGCCTGGGACAGTGGGCCACACGGAAGCCGGCAGCGGGGGAGGGTGTGGCTGGCCTCAGCCTGCCGATCCCACTGTTGCTAAAGAGCTGCCGGCCACAGAAGCCACCGAGCTCTCAAGCCAGCCGTGGGTTCTCTGCTGAGATGGAGGCGTAGCTAAGGAAGGAGCCTGGAAAGTAAGGAGAAAAAGAAAACAAAGAGGGTGGGTGGTGGGGCCATCCACAGTGGCCGTGAAGCAGGACACCACCTCCCTGAGGGATGGGCAGGCAACTCAGCTACTCCCCTGACCATAAATGGCTTGGCTGTCATGGAACCACCCCTTGCCCTGTCACCCTGGCTCTCCCAGCTGGATGCTCCTACAAATGTGAGACATAAGCCCACAGCGCAAGCAAGAAAGGAGCTTGCCGAGGGTGGTGTTGGGAGAAGGTTCTCGGGAGGCTGTCAGAAATGGTGAGTAGGCTAGCATGTTCTCTCAGCCTAACCTTCCCTTCTCGCTATAAAGAACAACTCCCAGGCGTTGAAAGCTCACATCTCCTCATGCAAATAGGACGGTACTGTCAGCGCTAGGACTTCAAGGGGCTTGGGTGGTTTTTTAAAATTGTTATCTTCCTGCATGCAAAATACTAATCATTAAAACAATTCTCATCTAATATTTGCTGATCTCATCTTTTATTTTAATATTAAGGTTTTGTGTTTAAAACCTCACATACAACAAGGGCGCAAAGTAGATGTTTTGGCTAAATTCATATCCCAGTTGAAGCAATGGGTGGGAGCCTTGCCTTTATCCTCATTTGCTCAGTCTGCCTTCCGTTATGTGATCAGCAACGTAGATACTCAGAAATCGCATTGGAAACGTTCCGATTTTCTTACTGACTTGTGACACATATTTGGGTGTGACTCAATCAGATGAAGTTTGCTATGTTAGAAGAGGCTTCTGGGGTTCTTTTATTAAAGAGACTATGAGAAAGAGTTGAATTCCGGCTTTGGACTTAGAAAGCTCCGTGATCTGACCAGTCCCAGACCACTTACCAGCAGCCGGTCTTGCTCTCCGTCCCCACCTCCATGATGTGGGGGTGATGGCGTTCCCCTTACTGGACGGTTGTGCATGCGGTGTGTGACACACAGCGTCCCCTCAAGAACAGTGAGCAATTATCCCACCTCTCCCTCCTTCCCCTCACAAATGGCCAGCTCATAATTAGGGACACTTGGCCACTGAGATCCTCATGTGCCTTTAGAGCTGTTATGCAGAAATTACAGAGTGCTTAGACTAGCAAGCAGTGCATTGTAGCAAATTCAGTGCTTGGAATGTTGCTAATCTATGCATGCAGTTCCATCCAATAAGAACGTCCCAAGTGGCTTCCTTGTGCCTTGCTCCGTGCTGGCCAGGCCAGGAAGAACATGACATCGTGTGACACCCCTGCACTGCTACACACCTAGAGAATTTTACAGTTTGGATGTTGTTCCCTTTGTGCTTCTGGGCAAAGCGAGTTAACATCATCCCTGTTTTAAGCCTGGGAAAACAGATTTGCTGCGAGGAAATGGAGACCAGAGACTTTGAGTCACTTTTCCAAGGCCACACAGTTCCTAAGTGACTGGGTCCGGACTGGAACCCAGATCGGGTGACTCCAAGCCCAGGGCTGCCTCACCCTACCCAGTGGCCTCTCTAAAGGACACAGCCTCAGATTCTCCCCACCCAAACTGATGGGATGTTTTTCTTGCCACAAGAGCACTGGAGTGTTATTTCTACAAAATAGGAATGTCTTTCTGAAATTGGCCAAAATCTTCGTCATCCAGACACTGATAAACAGCACACGCAATGGCCCACTTGCTGCTGCTCCCCCTCTTTTGCTGTCCCCCCAAAGGGACCTTTGTCTTGGGCCTGCTGACATCAGTACCCAGTATTCACTGATGAGATAAGGCTCTGGGCAGCTGCGTCCCATACAGTGGCCACCAAGTGCCCTTGCAGCACCTGTGGGCTTGGTTGGTGTTAGCACGGAGGGCAGTGGTTGGGTCCCTTGAGCAGGAAGCCCTGGAGCCAAGGTGGCACAGATATTCCTCTTGCTCCAATATTGTCCTAGAAGAGTGTTTATCTCGGTATCGGTAAAGAGCAGCCTGGACAGACTGGCCTCGGCTAGCCCGGACCGCAGTGACAAAGATGGGGACAGGGTGGAGGAAGGAGCCACGGGAGGCTCGCACTGGCTAACAACTCGGTGCCCCACGGAGCTCACGACCTTCCAATATTAACTCCATATTTGGGGGAGAGGTGAGGCTGGGTGCTGAGTGAGGGGAGGGTACAGAGGGTTTCCCTCTCCCCTGTTGTCCTGAGCAGCTCTGCCTGAGCCTGCAACCTGTGTCTCAGACTCAGCACGCACAGAAGCCTTGTCCTTCTCACGCCCTCTCTCCCGGGGAGGGGGCTCAGAGCAGGTGTTCTTATTGGAGCCTGCCCCTCGTGGCCCAGCAGAAAGTACCAAGTCCTTCTAAACTCATACCATTCCCTCCCTCAAAGGAGCTCTGGGGGAAAACAACTTTCAGTGCTTTGCTGAATTTCTAACGTGGTCTTGGCTGCCCTCTGGGTTGGGACCCGTCAGGCAATCACTGGCTGGCCCCTTCATCGGGCCCTGGCTGGGGATCTGAGGAGGGGAGAGGGGCCGAGATTGGGAGCAGAGGTTGGGGTTTGACTGAGCCTGTGGAACCAGTGAATTTTTCTGTGACCCACCAGGTTGGGTGGCAGTCGGTAGAGGGGTCAGGAGCCTGGCTGACCATTCTCGGAGCGTTAATGTTTCCTTCTCTCCATCAGAGTTTCTCACTGAACTTCACACTGCCGGCCAACACGGTAAGTGCTGCAGGCCCCGGTCACTGGGCAAGTGAGGCAGATGGGGCACACGTGCCTGGGGGTGGGGTGAGGAGGGGCGGGCAGAGCGCCTTCACTTGGACCTCATGCTCAGGGCCGAATCCCAGGTTTTCAAAGGCACTTAAGAACAGTTGGGGGGTCGGGGGAGGTGCTGAGACAAATTTTTTCAATAATAAAAATTATAAATAAACATTTTGAAAGTAAAATAGAAAAAAAAATCAAAACACCTAAATTCCAATCAGCAGAAAACATTGGTGTCATTCCTTCTAGTCCTGTTTGACTTTATCTTTATTTTGACTTTATATATATTTTGACATGTGTTGTCAAATGTACCATTGTATTCTTACTCGACATATGATTTTAATACATTTTATGATACATATTTTCCATCAGCCCTATAACCATAACTGAGGATAGTCACGTGATATTCCTTCAAGTGAATTATTTCTTTGATCTGTTAGCCACAATTAGGAATCATTTTGTAATAAAAATAGTTATTGCTAAATCCTTGTCTGCATTTAAGGTGATTTCCTTAGTATATGTTCTAGAAGGCGTTGCTGGGTCAACAAGAACGAACAGTTTATGGCTCTTGAGTATGGCATTTAGTTCCAAGTCAGATGGAGACGGTCAGCTGCTGAAGGCATGTAGTTTCAGTCCTTCCCCGATCTTCTGTCTTCTGCTCTCGTGTTGTGTTAGAGGTAACACACAGCCAGGGCTGTTTTCCGACTCGCAGCCCCGCTCTGATTGAGCCAAACATTTTCCTGGCCGGGTTTTTTAGTGGGTTTGGAGTTGTGCCAAATTTTCCTGAGAAGTTACATTGTTATTCAAAGAGAATAAGCAGAATCCGCCTGGTGAGAGGATGCGGGAGCCAGTGATCATTGTTACTGTAACACCGAGCCGTGGTCCCGGAGAGCCGCAGAAAGGGTCCACTTGTGACTCACTGCCTGCCTCTGGCGCCCACTACTGGCCGCCCCGGATCTCTGTCCCTGGCCTACCCTGGCACCCCCTCTGCCTTCGGGATCTCCCTGTCTTGCTCTGCTCCCTGCTTCAGCCTCTGACTGTTGTCAGACTCCCCAGCCCTCTCTGTACCTGTCAAAACCTTTTGATATGGTCCCTGCTGGAACATTCTCCCTGACAGCTTGAACTCAGCAGGTCTGTGGAGACCCCAGGTTCTGTCTTATCCTGGCTTGGCCTACCCTATGAGGGTAACTCAGAGAAGCTCGGGGCGGTAGAGGTGAGTGGGGCTGAGAGGGAAGCCCTTATGATGCCAGTCATCGCCTTTTGTAATGCCTTCTCTGTTAATAGCCCATTTCTCTGAGACCCGTCCCTTCCTCCCTTTGGACCTGTGTAGGGCAACCAACCATTCCGGTTTGTCTGGGACTGTCTGGGTTTAGCAGTGCACATCCTATATCCTGGGCAAGTTCTCTGGATGGTTGGTAACCTTATCTGGCAGTTACATTCTATTGCATAACCCTTCCCTTTTGGGGACACGTGGGTGGCTCAGTCGGTGGAGCGGCCTGCTCTCGATTTCGGCTTCCATCATGATCTCAGGGTCCTGAGATCAAGCCCTGGGTCAGACTCCACACTCAGCGGGGACCCTGCTTCAGGATTCTCTCTCTCCCTCTGCCCCTCCCCCTGTTCACTCGCGTGCACTCTCTCTCTCTAAAATAAATAAATGAAACTTAGGAAAAAATAAATAAATAACACTTCCCTTTTGGTGCAGCTGAACGACCGGAATGCCAATGCTCTGGGAAGTAGGAGAGAGGTGAATACCTGGCTCATCAGAGCCTATCTGCAGGGGGGTTTGGAACCGGGGTACATATGCAAGTCGGTCTCTGCTGAGCCATACTGAACTGTCAAGGACAAAAACTGTATTGGTGTGAAGCATTTGGTCATGGAAGGCAGTGTAGCCCCGTGGTGAAGAGCATGAACTCTGGATCTACCACTTAGGGCATCTACCACTTAGGGCATTTAGGCGTTATGGCTTAACCTTGGATAGGCTGTTTGTATAATGTGCACTGTGTGGTTTTGTTTTGTTTTGTTTTTAAGATGTATGTTCTTTTCCCACACAGACTTCCTCCCCACCTGCTACAAATGGGAAAGAAGCAGTAAGTATATCACTACATAATGGAAACTTGGTTTGGTCACTTATAAAATGGGAATAATAATCTAGCCATTTTCTACCTTAGTTTTGAGGAGTAAAGTTCAATACATGAACTGTCACCAAACACAGAATCTGGCTCAACAATTATTCTTACAACCAACTCAGCTCAAAAATGAGGGAGAGCATGCAGGAATCACAGGCAATTTTTACAAAGTGTTAAGCAGAAAAAGCTAGACGTAAAAGAGTACAGACTTTTCATGTCCATCTAGGTGATGTTGGAAAACAAAACCAAAACTAATCTACGGTGACAGAGTTCAGGATAGTGGTTACACATGCCATTACTAGAAGGGAGTATGGGGCAGCTTCTGGGGTCCCGGCCATGTTTTGAGTCCTCATCTGGGTGCTGGTTAGCTGTGTGGGTTCCACATGTGAAAAGTCATACAGCTATATATTTATGATTTATATACTTTCATGTATGTATGTTATATAGAGAGTTGAGTGTTTATAGGGATTCTGCAGGTTATCTTTGATATTTCCAGGTAATCTACAAATCTGAAAATTTAGGTGGAGACAAGCATGGCTGTTTCCACTCAGATCAAAGCAAAATGGAAATTTGAAAACTAATTGCTTAATGCATATAGTGCAGGTAAATGTAAACATTCACATCAAAATGATGTGGGATATAACTTTTTACTTTTTGCCAAACTGATAGGTTAAAATAGTATCTAATCGTTGATTTGAATTGTTTCTCAGCTTTTGCTATGTTGATGAGACATCTGTATTTCTGTTTGTAGGAATGGCCTGTTCATACCCTTTGCCCATTTTTCCTACTGGATTGTCACCCTTTTCCTATTGATTTAAACTATGTAAATTAAGTCCTATGACATGAGTCATTTGTCATGTATATTGCAAACATCTTTTCTGCAGTATTTTATTAACCTTTTGATTTTGTATATGACACTTAGAGGCTATGCAGTTTTTGTTTTGTTTTATTTTCAATCAACTAGACTTTCCCTTTATTCTTGGAGAACCTGACTCTGCCCTTCTCTGTATGGCAGGACTGTGGGCCCTCTCTTGGATTAGCAGCAGGCATCCCGTCCCTGGTGGCCACAGCCCTGCTGGTGGCTTTACTATTTATGCTGATCCGCCGAAGAAGAAGCAGCAATGAGTCCACGGAGGTGATTAGCAAGCTCCTTTGTGTCTGGCTGTGTTGGCAGGAATCAGTATTTCAGTGAATTGGCTTTGGGCTGAGGGTGTCAGGATCCAAATCTGTTTCCTGGGGACACGATGGTGGACGTTCCTGCCCCTCAATTTCTATCTCAGACTCATGATACTACACTCCAGGCAGAGCCAATCTGTCACCCAACCTTCACTCTAGGAAATCCATGGCAACAAGGCTGGTATTTGGGGTGGCAGAAAGTAGCTGTGGAGAGGGACAGGTGTTGCCATGGCAAATGCACATCTGTACTGTGGATGTGTTTTCTAAAGTCAAAGACAAAAGGGCCCAAGCTTCAAAAGAGAGTGGGGACAATCTCAGGAAAGGTAGGAGACAAACAAGTGCTGAGGGGTCTATGGTAGGGATAGGCCCACAAGTATTTGGCTCTGTTTATCTTTGCCCTTTTTCTACATCGGAACACACATCAGTCACAAGAGAATCTACCAACCCCACCCCTCCAAATGCTGGATTGCTCTGGAGACCAGGCTCACAATTCAAAGGCCACCCAGACAATATCCAAGAGGTTTCTCTGGTTATAATACAACTGTGTTGTGTGGACTGCAGGTTCTAATTCCATGCTCTATGAACAATCCTGCTTTTTCTCATACTGATAAGCATTAACGCGAGAAAGGCAGCCTAGGCTCTACCCCTGGCCCTGCCATTTAATGATTTATGTGATCCTGAGCAAGTGACTTCACATTTTCTGTGCCTTGGTTAGTTCTACTCCAAAATAGGAGTCATAAACACTACCCTCCCTATTTTAGGAGGTTGTGAGGATGGACTGAGATCATGGTTGTAAAGATGTGTTGAAAAGCTGTAAACTTTAAACATGTTAAGGTGTATTGTGGTTGGTGGTGGTGCTATTTATTTAAGTCATAGTTCCTTAACCTTCAGTGCACTTTAAAAATCATCTAGGAGGCTACCAAAAATACCAATCACCAAAACCAGTTAAATTAGTATCTCTGGACAGTAGAGCTGTGGCATGCAGAATTTTAAATGTATACTAAAATAGAGAGGATAGTATAATGAACCCAATTATCAAAATGTGGACAATCTTGTTTGATCTCTACTCCTACCCACTTCTCCCCACTGTCCAATCCTGGATTATTTTCAAAATAATTTATAATGGTATTTCTCATTTAAGGATTTTTTTGGGGGGTAATTATTATCTGTTTGCTTACTTTGTTTTGCTTTTAAAGTTGTCTAGTGATTCTTATGTGCATGCAGGCTTAAGAACCACTGATTTTAATCATGATCATGGGTAAATGCTGTGACCCTTCATTTCTTCTTCGTTTCTTAATTTATTTTTACCAACTAGGAAAGTGAGAGACCATGTGAAATTTCAGAAATCTATGACAATCCCAAGATTGCTGAGGTAAGAACTCTTGGTTAAAATCACTGTATATCAATGGGGCTCCTGGGTAGCTCAGTTGGTTAAGTGTCTGACTCTTGATTTTGGCTCAGGTCATGATCTCAGGGTCATGAGATTGAGCCCCATGTCAGGCTCCATGCTCATCGGGGAGTCTGCCTGAGATTTTCTCTCTCCCTCTCCCCTTCCCCACTGTGCTCTCTGTCTCTCTGTCTTTCTCCCAATAAGTAAATAGATCCTAACAGATTTTTTTCATGAAACTCAATAAGATACTCCTAAAATCTATATGGAAGAAGGCAGAAAACTATTTGAAAAGTAGTAATGAACGACAGAACAAACAGAAAACAAATGGGAAGATGGTACATTTCTAAATGAACCATAAATAAACCATATCAATGACTTCATTAAATAAAAATGGTCTAAATACCCCAATTAAGAGGCAGAGATATAAAAATAAAAATTTTTTTTATCAGTTTGGGTATAAAAACAAGATCCATCTGTATACTGCCTGCAAAAACTCACTTTAAATATAAAGACACCAATAGATTAAGGTAAAAGGAATGCCATCCGAACATTAAACAGAAGAGAGTTGAGTGGCCAGAAAAAATCTGCCAGGGCATTAAACTTGGCAATTGTAGGCCTCCCCTCATTTGTTTTCTGTCTCTCAAGAATTCCATCCTTCCTTGCCTGATGTCCAGCATCTTGATAACTATTGTTTTAAATGTTTGGGTTTTTTTCCCTGACTTTTGGTTGTTTCAGGTAGGAGGGTAAATCTGGTTGCTGTTGCTCCATTTGGGCCAGAAGCAGAAGTCTTTGCTCTATTTTTTAAAAACCTGTTTATTTTCTCAAGAATCCTAGGAGATCACCCACACATGAGAAGAATCTGACGGGAGCAGAAGGAGCCCACATATATGTGAAGACTGTAGCAGGAAGCGAGGAGCCCATGCATGACACGTACCGTCCTCCTGTCGGAATGGAGAGAAGAAGGGGATTGTGGTGGCTTGTGCCCAGATTGAGCCTGGAATGAGGCAGTTCAGTCAAGGAACAGATCTAGAGCTGGAACAGAGCTGAAAACCCAGGGATCTATGCTCAGAGTGAGGAGAGATACTAAGCTGCTTCTTAACCAATCCAAATTCCCATTGCAGATCTGGAAAACTTTTGGGTTGATTTGTCTCTGTAGGTGACAGAGCTAAGGACTCATTCCAACACTCAGATCTTGTTGTTTAATAAGCAGTGAAGCACCAAGTGAGGTCCAGAAGGAGCCCTTTGATCCTAGTCTTGACCTATGCTTTTCTTCATGATTTTGGGAAAGGGGCTTGATTTCTGTGTATCTTGCCTTATCATCTCTTTTCCACATCTCTTTTCTCAAAAAAACAAAACAAAACAAAAAAACCATCACACCTGGCTTCCATGGGAAGGTTGGCCAGGGCTAACATGGTGCAAGTTGGGATATAAATAAAATTTAAAGGGGATGTTTGAGGGGAAGCAATTTCTTATTCCTGAACATCTCAAGGTAGAAATCATGTGGAGTCATATGTTCCCTGACCACAGGGGTAGCACATAGCTGGCTCATTCATTGCTCCCATTTGTGTTTGTGATCAGAGAGTACATAAGGGAGGTGATTCTACAAAAGACTCTGTGTGTGTGTGCGTGTGTGTGCGCGCGTGTGCGTGTGCGTGCGTGCGTGTGTGTGTGCGTGTGTGCGTGTGTGTGTAGGGTAAATATGGTAGAGTGAAGGCAAGGGTTGTTCCAAGAGATTATGAGAAATGAGGGCTATATCCATTTTGTGGGAGTGGAGAGAAAGGCCTCCACTGCACTCTCTAGGGAGAGAGAGCGAGAAGACTCCGAGTGGATGAACACAGGACCAGAGGGGTGGGCTAAGTAGCAATTTGCTTGCCATCTGAGGAAAGTCTGTGAACAGCATCAGCTGGCTCAGGTCAGGCCTTCACCAGGGCTTCTGTGAGGAGGCTTCCCTCCTGCAGAGAGGGCCACTGCTGGTCAGGGCCTCTGATTGCTCAGAAACAAGTCCCCTCTTCTTCAAACAACTACGAACAAGTTCTACAAACTCAATCAATTACTGCCACCTGCCAACTTGTGCTTTCAAGGCTGCCTCCCTTACTCTGGGTATCCTAAGATGAAAAGACCAAGAGAAAGCATCTCCCTGAGAGAGAAAGGGCCACTAAGATCCAGCGAGAGACTCAGAGATAGAAAACAAGGGAGATATTCCTTTGGCATTTAGGAAACTGTACTTCTGAGTGAAAGCAGTGGGAATACATCCCATGTGTGGCCTTGTGCTGGGACGCCTAGAGAACAGCTCCATGGTGACAGAGAAGCAGACTATGACCTGAGCAGAGTGGGTCTAGAGTTAGTACCCTATCCTCCAAAAGCTCCAGAAAGGACCTAGAACCCCCTCCAGAATCTCTGATCTTCTAGTTAAACCTGTTTCTCTCCTCGAGATAAGTCTTCAACTCTTCATTTTCATTTTGTTACATTTTTGTTTAGAATATTTTTATAGTATTTGAGTGAAAAATAAGACTCCACCATCTCTTGTTTCCTCCTATTTTTATTGCAAATATACAGTATCTCAGCTACACTGTGGGCAAAGTGGGCTTTGATGAGCTTCCCTGAAATAAGCCACCAATTTCGACATCATTTCTATGGAAAAATGCGTTGTGAATTCTAAGCAACGGTCATATGAATGGCTTACTAGAGCATAACCCATTACCAGGTGCTGCCTTATCAAGTTTCCAAAACTATTCCTAACGGCAATCTGCATTTCAATAAGGCTTAAAGAATCTCATCTTTTCCTAAGGCATCTTTACTACAATATGAAGCATAATTTATTTAACCCGAAAAAAAAAGCTGAAAAAAAGTTGACAACTTTTTCTAGGCATTTCTTTCCCATGGTTCAATGTAATCCAATCCCAGATGTGCAAAAATTTCTTCTTCACTTTCTGCTTTGAGGAATATTTTCTGAAAGTATAAAAAGAAATATGTGCATTCAGATATTTTTAAACATCTCTATGCTGACATAGTGGAAGTTTTACTTATAAATTGTCTTGGCAGAATGAATTATTACCAAAACATAATTCCCCGCTTCTGAGTATAAAAAGTCATCTTAACTGCTTTTTTTATCTTAACTGACTTCTGTAATTTTTACATTTTCCCACCCAAAAATGTGGTATTACGTAGACTAAGGTAAAATTATAACAACCTTACCTTTACCTATGACACCTTACCTACCTATGACAACCTTATATTCAGCTACGGGCATTTGGTATTCTTCCTATGGGTCTGTAGTTCTTAACCACGGTTGTGCATTAGAACCACCTGAAGGGACTTCTAAAAAAAACATTGAGCTACACCCCAGTCCAGTGAAATGAGAATCTCAGGAGAGGTCCTATCACCAATCTTTTTAGAGGCTCTGGGTAAATCTCATGTGCAGCCAGAATGATGCACTGCCGCTCCAGGTAACGGGGAGAGGCAATTATAGGTTCCATGTATATGTTGGGTTCCTCTTCTGGCCTTCCTCACCTGCCCCACCCCAACCCCCACCAGGCTCCCACCCCATGATCTCTTTTAGATCAAGCAGCACTTCTCCGTCATCCCTTCTTGCCTTTAGCACAGTGTGGGGGCATATAAGATGTACTCCTTTATGTTAAACTATTTAGAATGTGTTCATTTGTAAGCATTCCTAAATTGTGTTATGTGAGTCTGCCTCCACTCACATGCTTGACATCTGAGGCTTTCCTGCCAATCTACAGTCCTGTTATCTGACAGCAGCACCTTGATTTTTCTTTGGAAAACCACCCTTCCCTCCTCTCCGTCCATGAGGATCAGGTGTGGGGCTAATTCCATCTCCAAGGAGGGCCACATGATCCAAGCCTGACCAATCAGAGCCAGAGTAAAGGGTTCAGGGATGGGCACACGGCCCAGGCCTGGCCAATGAATATCAACTAGGACTCTTGATATTTCCTATTAGGAAAGAGGTTCTCCTCTGTCAAGCTGGAAGGATGGGAATCATGGGAAAACCTGAATTAGCAGCTGGATGCAGCCATACCTGAAGTCAGTATTACCCCCAGATGCTGCAGTATATAAGCCAAGCACCCCTTTTTTGCTATGCCATCTTGGATTGGGTTTCTGACTTGTAACTGAAATAGCTCTAACTAAATACAGCTCATTTAGACTGTAAGCTCCTAGAGCGTAAAAATCATTGCTTCTAGTTATTTTGTGTCTTATTCCCCTCAGAGCTTAGTTTAGTGTCCTTGACCACTGTAAGAACAGTAGACCTTAACATGTAGATTTAACAGATGAATATTTAACTCTTCATAATTCATACAGTAATTTATCATTTTGATGAGGCATGAATTTGGATCATGACCAGTGTAAGGCTAACCAAGTGAGTTACATAGCTGGTGGGTAAGCTTAGCTGACTGCTCATCTACATCTCAGGGCAGCTCTGTTGCTCTCTCTCTTGCAGTAACACTCTCATTAATGACCTATGTGGTCACTTAAAATGCTACTGCTCATTGCATTTAAGGGGTACTTGAGTGGTATTTATGACTTGGGAGAATCCTTGGTTTCCTTTGGAATTATTCACTAAAAATACCAAAGATATACCAGACTCAATGAATGTTCACTGCTGGACTGGTTCTGAGGGCCCAACAAGCTCATCATCTTTGAGCCCAAAGCCCCTGAGGTACATTCTGGGCCAGGTGGGGACCATGCTCCCATCAGGATCCTTCTAGCTGCCCTCAACTCTGATCTGTGGGAACAGGACACTCAGGGCAAAGGAAACTGAACCTGGACACTAAAATCAGTTCAGGAAAAGTGCTCGGGGAGCCAACCATTGGGATGAGGATCAAAGAATCCCATCTTGGGTAGACAACGCTACCTTGGTCTTGTCATATAATGCATGGTTGTCCAGCACCATCTTCCGCTCATGCGTGGCATAGCGCCGGAGGTCTCTCTCAAACTGCTGGACGAGATATAATTAAAATAAATTACTATCAAGCCTAGAATGTCTTCAGTATTATGTGTTTAGAGGTATCTAAATCTCTACAGTGAAATCTCTCTAAACATTCTCAAAGCAATTTTCTCCCCAAGGGCAAAGGTCCGTGATGACAGAGCTCTGTGCTTGCACCTGCACACTAGAATGTAAGCTCCCTGAACATAGGAGCCTAACTTGTTCATGACCATATTCTCTTCTCTGATAGTGCCTGGCACACAGAAGATGTATAGCAAATGTTCGTTGAATGAATAAACAAATGTGAAGATCGCGTCCAGGATAATACCTGGCCCCAAGTAAATGCTGGATAAATATAGTAGGTGTTTTGTTTTGTTTCGTTTTTTTTGGAATATCACTATTGTAAGAGAGGATGAGGAGTCAGGAGACCCAACTTCCAGCCTGGATTTTGTCCCTATTTGGCTGTGCTTCTTTTGGCAAGTCACCCAGCTTCTCTGAATCTTGATTGGTCGAACAGGAGGATGAAGGAAGTATGTAAGCAAGGGTCCCTCTGGCTCTAACAGTCTCTCAGATGAGATTGTATAAAACTGATGGTTTGAGCCACTTGTCCCAGAATAGCATGTCCTATGGTCAAGGATGGGCTCTGAGGCTGCAGGGAGCGAAAGCTGAAGCCTAAGATAGAGGACAGTTGCCGTTCAGGTTGATTTTCCTGAGAGAAGCACAGATCTAGAAACGTTAATCCTCCCATGTGAGAGTAAGAGGAAAGCATGGGATAATGGCGCCCTCTAGTGGGAGGAGCCGTCTCCTACTTTAGGAAAGCTGGCTGAGGCTGGGACCTTCCCCACCACCACCCCGTGTGTAAGTTACATAGCTGGTGGGTAAGCTTAGCTGACTGAACACAAGTCCTTAATAATGTGCCAGAAGGGGAGCCAGGGTTGCGGACAAATCAGGGTGAAGCAGATACTGGGTGCAGTAGCCGCTCGTCTGTGAAAATATGAGGGTGCTCAGCGCTGCGCTTCCTCCCAGCCCTGGGACACTCTCTTCATGGCCCCCCGCCCCCGCGCCCCCCGCGCCCCCCGGATTTAGAGCAATGCTGCTCGCACTGTGTTGAGAAAGGCTGGGGAGGATCGGGATAATGGGGTTAGCGAGAGACTGTTACGTGTGGTGACAGATATATTCCTGGGCACCTCTGCTAAAACCTCTGAACATTTCCCCATAGACTGCAAGAAATGATAATGATGTCTTTTTTTGGAGAATAATAATATTTACTAAACACGTATTTACTGAGCATCTGCTATGTGCCAGGCATGTTCTATGTGCTTGGAGCATAACATGTCTACCCTGGTGGAGCTTGGATTTGAGCAGGGGACACAGAAAAGACACAATAATGGAATAAATAAAGTATAGGATATGTTGAAAGGTAAGTGCTGTGCACAGGGCAGGCCTCACTGAGAACGTAGGGATGTGAGCAAGGAATTGAAGTAGGTGAAGGAGTTAGCCAAGTAGACTCTGGGGGGAGAGCACTCCAGCAGACAAATAGCTAGAACACAGCCTTAGCTTGAAGCGAGCTGGGCCCGTTTAGGGAGAGCAGTAGGCAAGGAATTCAGAGGCATAAAGGGGTGAGAGGATCAGGCAGGGTCTCAGGAACCACTGTAGGACCTTCCACGTTTACTCAGAGTTAAATGGAGAGTCTCTGCAAAGTTTTAAGCAGGGGAATGACCTGATCTGATTTATAACAGGATCACTCAGCTGTACTGGGTGAGGGCAGAAGCAGAGAGACCAGTCAGGAAGGCCACGGCTATGAGCCAGGCAATGATACCCTTCTCAGTATTTGTGGAGAGCTCACTTTATGCCAGGCACTGGGCTGATTTCTTGCTTTATATTAATTTTCTGATCTGCTCTATTGCCATTAATATTTAACACCTTCTCCAAGAGTCTAAAAGACTCCTTAAGTACCTTGAAGGGAACAGTTTTAAGTACATAGTTGGACTCAGAATTGTGCTGAGACGAGGGTATTGTCTCATTTAATGCTCATTACGATACTGTGAGGGTGGGGTTGTTATTAGCCCATTTTTCAGATGAAGAAGGGATGCCCAGAGAGCTTAAGTCATTTACCCGAGGCTACACAACCAGTGATAGAGCTAAGGACCTAGACTCCTGAAACCCAAAGCTCAGGCACTTTACCTGAGACAGTTCTGCCTTCTGCTTTAAAACCTCTTTAGTTTCTCATAATGATCCTGTGAAACAGGCAGGGCAAGGACAATGTCTTATGTTTCAGATGAAGAAAGCTGAACATTGAGCAGAGGTGATGGTATTGGGCTGGCTGTAACATTGGTCACAACAGACTTCAGAGATTGGTCCAGGGCTGCTGCATACAGTTGTGCAAGTTGTGCACTGCCAAACTCTCGAGGGCACCATTCACATTTGTAGACCCCAAATTGAGGTGAGATTAATAGATGAATTGTGTTGAGAATAATTCCCAGGCCCTGAAATCTTTGGGGAAAAAGGTAAAATTGAATTTCTCACCTACAGAATTTTAGACTAGAACTAATTCTGGTCACCCACCAACAGGTATCAACCTGGAGACAAAATACACCATATTCAGTGGCTGCATAAGTAGGGCATAAAGATAATTAACACAAGTGGCTACCATATGCTGAGCACGTGCCACATTTAAACCCACACAGCCTCTCATTTAACCCAAATGGTGACATTAGAAGGTGGGCACCACTGTTACCCACATCAGAGATGGCACAATTGGGGCTCAAAGAGGTTAAATCATTTAAAGTGGCCCAGCGGAAAGCTTAGTGTTCTATCAGCACCTGCAGAACCAATAGCAATAATTTCCAAGAACTCTGAGAGAAGAGACTAGAATGTGCTGGAAACACACCTGTCTTCAAAGAAAATGGACAAGAGGAACCATTTCTGCCAGTGATTCCTAACTGGCCTGACCTTGTATAACCTTGGACTTCTTTTTGGAACTCTCCCCTTTCTCAACAGACTCTATGTTCCCAAAGATTCAGGTCTGTCAAACAAGCTGCATTTATGATATATTGTTCCATCAATTTTTCCAGCTTTCATGAATGAAAAATGTCAGCCAATATCCAGATTACTGGGGGCCATCCCCAGAGTTTCTGACTCAGGATGTTGAGTGGGGGGGTGAGGTGGAGGTATGGGGGAACTTACGTATCTAACCTGCTCCCAGGTGAGCTGCTGTCAGCCCGGGACCACACTGTCTCACCTGGCCGCGCGCAGGTAGAATGCCCAGATCGGGAAGTTTCTGGGCATTCCTCCCTGTCACCCAGCCTCAGCTGCCGCCGTCTCTCTCCTGGCCCCTGCTAGACCCAGCCCACATCTTTTGGCTCCATGTAGCACCTACCCGTGAGCCAGTCCAGCCCAGCAGGGCAAAGGCACGGCGCTCATAGGGACACATGACCAGGTCCACGCGGATGGCTTTCCAGGTCTTTCCTTCTTGCTGGCTGTACTTGCCACTGTCCACTCTCCGATGGTGCAATTTTAAAATCAGAAAGCATTTTTGAAAATGATCTAAAGCATCCACATTCCTGCTAGGCAACTTTAACTTTTCAAATGTCGACTCCACAAAGTCACAGTATAAAAGTAATCCCTGAAAACAAACAGAAAGACATCAGGAACAGTCCCCAGTGGGCAGGGTCTGTCATTTTATACCAGGCTCTTAACAAATGCTCTCAACAGAAGCTTCACGGATTTGAGCAGAACATGGCCAGGTTTTGCCCCTGCTGTGTGAGTCCCCGTGGCCACCCTGGGAGAGGAAGCCAGCAAGTGGGTGTATTATCGTCTCTCGGCCACAGAGGAATTTAGTGATTAGAGAGGCCAAAGCTGCCAGAGAATCCCTCTCCTTACTTCTGGATTACAAGTCGGTGCTCAGAAACTTGCCTCACCCCTTTGAGGACAAAGACTGTCACTCTGTCCGCCTTGGAGAGTGGAATAACGTTAGTGATGGTTGCCTCACCTACTGTGGCCAAGTCAGAAAGATAAGAAGTGATTCTAAGATGTGCCCAGCGATCCCCCAATTTGTCTGCTCTTTGGGAACTCCTCACAGCACAGGGCAGACGTGGGGCAGAGAGAGGCAGTAATCAATGCTGAATCCGAGTGTCAACTAAAGAAGCAAATAACCTCAAAAGGATTCAGTCATAGCTATTAGGGTATGTGATTTGTTGTCATGCATTCCTTAGGTCAGATGTTCTCAAATTTTATCATCAGAAGCATCTGGAAAGTTTGTCATGCAGAGTTTGTAGGGCCCTGTCCCCACAGTGATTTGGCGGGGGCGGGGGGGTGAGACTGCATCTCTAACAAGTTCTCAGGTGATGCTGATGATGTTGGTCCAGGGACCACACTTGGAGCACCACTGGTTTATTTTGTTCTAAGGAATGCTTTTGGTTTCTTCTGCAGCCCTCCAAGAGACATTGTTTCAAATCAGCCAAACTTTGAGGGGATCCTTTTCCTGACCTCAAAAGAGGGAGCTCCAGCCCTTCAGTGGCTCCCCCAGGAAAGCTATTAGGGAGAACAGAGTGTTTGAAGGGGGCCGGGAGGGAAGCCCTGAAGTCCGGGAGACCCTCTGGGGGAGGTGGCAAATGCTGCCGTAGAGCCATCTAATCACCAGCTCAGGAAAACACAATTCTGCTTTTTAATGAAACTTACAAAAAATGAGTACAGTATGGCAGCTTTTCTTGTAAATTTGAATTATGTACAGTTGAAAAGTGAGCTATTAAAATATTGACAAGTCTTTCTTTGAAGTTAAATTTGCAATAACACCCACCTCCCCCGAAAATCCACAAAGCTGGCTTCCTAATAATTGTAACTGTTTGCACTTCCGCCACATTGGCTGGTCCTAGACGATGGGCCATCCTTGGGAGGGGTTTGCTCTGAATCTTGCAAGGTGTTTGGGAATGCGTGCCCAGAATAAAATGCTGCTGTCTGTGTATTCAGGCGCTTCAGTCCACGGCCACAGGGCACGGTTGTGAAACACATACACACAACCCACATAGCCCCTGATGTTGCTTCCTGCTCTCTAGCCTGGGCTGTTTGGGGGCATCTCTATGTTCTTCTGTTTCTTTCTTTGTTGCTCCCCATTTCCCCCTGGGTAACTTCTTTCCTTCTCTGAACATTCCTTTGAAGTTTTGGGCTCTGACTGCCCATCAACAGCCACAGGGTGACTACGTTTCCTACCAGCATGTTCTTTTCTTCCTACTGGAAACTCCCCTTCTTGACAAGGAGAGAGAGGGAGGCCTTTCCCTGTTCCTTCCTCGAGGGATAATCGTGCAGGGGTGATCACATTAATGGCCACTGTTTGGTAGGCTTTGCTGTTACCAGGCACTGTGTCAAGAGCTTTATCTAATTCTCGGTTAATCCTCCCCATGAATGAAATGAGAGAGCCTTGCTATCCCTGTTTAATAGATAAGGAAAGCTTAAGCAAAGCGTCCCAGGTCATACAGCCAGTAAACGGCAGGGTTGTGCTTTTAAGGTCCCAAATAAGACCCACGGGCTTAATGTTGGCCTCCATCTGTGTCTGCCCATCTCTTTGCGTGGAGGGCAGAGCTGTGACTGCCTCAAACGGAGGACAGATGAAAGGAAAGAAGGCTCCTTGTCACCATGTCCCCTCCCCACCATACCCGTCTTAGTCCGGGACAGTCTCAGGGCATGGGGAGCATGGTGCCTAAAAACCGAGACTGAATAGGTCCTCACAGGGACCCCCCGCCTTGCAGTCCCCACGCGGGCCTTGGTGAGCAGGTCCATGAATTGTGCTGTCCATCCATGAGCGATGCCCACCTTTCCTGCCGGAGCAGAGCAGAGGGGCCCGTGTAGGGGGGCTGAGCCTTCCTCGTCCTGCCTCCCCTGGTTCGGCCCATGAGGTTTACTCTCAGGGCTCTGGCCGCCCTGGGTCCACTCTTTTGAGAGGGACAGAGGGGGCTGGGGATGGTCTCACAGGTGGATTTGGATCTGGTCCCTACGTTGGGTCCTCCCTTTTGTTGCTGCATTTCTGGCTCTTATATTTCACTTTATCTGAGGTTTCTCTCTCTCTGCCATATCAGGGAGCGTGGCCCACACCCAGCAGGGGCCAGATCACTCAAGAAGGAGGAAGCTGGGTCAGAAAGACACCAGCTCAGCAGCCTGCCAGGCCTGTAGGTCCCTGGGGTGGAGCCCTCCGGTCTCCTTGGGAAGTGGGGCTCTCACCGGAGCGGGGCACGAGTCAGGGCCCTGCAGGCAGTTCTGGCTGCTACTCATCCTTCACCTCCTCTGCTGGGCAATAGGGAGCCTACAGCAAGTCTCATCTCTTCAGTGGGTGGGGGCTTCTGAGCTGAGCTTGTCCTCCTGAGTTTCCTTCTTCCCATCTCAGCACAAAGCAAGGTGCTTGTGGACCATTGGAGAGTTCCAGGCACCCGTGCACCTCCTGGCTGATTCTGTCCCAGTCCCAGAGGTGCTGCCCCACCCCTTGGCCTGCTGGGCTCATCTCATGCCTCCTGGGTCTGCACGGCACATGTTCTCTGTTTGTTTGGGGGCTGTTATGCTCCTGAATGTTCCACACAGAGACACACCGCCCTTGGCCCCTATGGAAACGGGACAAGTATGTATAAGCAAGACAGACGTTCAAAACATGGACTCTAGCGCCCCAGGCGGGTAAGTCTCATTGCGTGTCATGTGGCATTGTGTCAGCTGTTGTGAATCACTGACAATCAATCAGATGGCCATTACACAATTATGAGGTAAATAGTGTGCAAAATCCAGCGGTATTAAGGGAATGCTTGAGTGTCCACACATCTACTTTTGAGTCTTACCTTCCTTTCCCATAAGTTCATCACTTTCGGTAAAAGTCGTTCCTCTTCTTCATCTCTTGACCCGGGGCTGGTAATTAAAAAATCCACATCATGCCCAATCTTCTTACCTCTGATCAAAAAAAAAAAAAAAAGCATAAAATGGAAATGAATTCGATTTTTAGCTCCCAATTTTTAAAAGTCACCTTTGTTCCTATACCTTATGCTCAAGGTTTGCAACACAAAATGCTCATGATATATACATACATACATATATATATTTTAATATCCTTGGTTGTACAACTCTACTCCTTGCAGAATAACTTTATGACAGAAAAAAATCACACATAGTACATATGTGATTGTATATGTGGGGGTAAAAAATAACAAAGGAAATGATCTCTTCTGTGCTCCCACGTGCGCACTCACCCCACACGTCCTTACAGAGACAAGCATGGCAACAAGCAAACCAAGAACTATATGTACGTGATACAAGCGAGGGCCCTCGGAATTATGAGACTGACTGAGGGCATTCTTTGAGATTTGATCTTCCTCTCTGGTTTGCTCCCTCACTTCACACCTGGCTTGCCAGGATGGCCAACAGCGAGCGCATAAGAGGGCTACAGGGACAGCTGGAGGGGTGGAGGGCTGGGAGGGAAGGAATCTCTTTCTGGAAGGGATGCCTCCGCGTCCAACAATGGCACACATCTCCGTGAAGAGTTCGTTCATTCTGCTCATTGACTCGGCCAGTATTTCTTGAGCACCTGTTTTGTGCCAGGCACCTGATTCTCACAGAGCACTAACGTCTACAAATTTCGTCAGGGAAAGGATGCATACAAACAAATTACTTGGCAGGTAGCACTGAGGAGCGCTGCCTGGCTGAGCCTGGAGGAGGAGGTGGTGTCTGAATTGAGTCTTAAAAGAAGAGGAGAAGTCAGCCAGGTGGCAATTTGAGGAAAGCCAGTCCAAGCAGAAGGGTTTGACTGAGCGAGTCACAGAGGCACGAAACATCTCCATGTGAGCAAAGACAAGCCATTTGGGGTTGTTGGGGTGGAAACGTGAGGTACAGGAGACAGGGCCACAGAGACAGGCTGGTACCTGTCACCAAAGGCCTTTGTGCCATGCTCAGAAGGCTGAACTTCTGAATATAGGGAGACACGAAAGGTGTTAGAGCAGGAGAGGCAAAAGCAGCTCTCATTATCTACCTCCGGAATCCTCCTGTCATGGTGACGAAGGCATCAGGCAGAAATGCCCAGACGGCCTCTTTAACCAGCACGCCAACTGCCTCCGCTTCCGCCCTGGTCACAGAGCTGACGAGGTCTTCATAATAGAGGAATCCTATAGAGGGGCCAGTGAACAGGTCAATGGAGAGAGTGACACGTGAAATGACCAGCCCTCTGTGGGAGGGGATTCTGCCCTCAAATAGAGCAAACGTGACCACAGGTATCACCAAACTGTTTCCCCAGAGATGAGTGTATTCATGCTCTTGGTTGTGAGTTTTTCATGGTAATGACTCTTTGCTTTCTAACTGGTAAGAAAGAGATTTACAATTGCCTAAGAAAGAGACTATATTTCACATCCCTCTGGAAAGCAAGCTGTTCTTGTTTTCTTATTGAAGAACCAGGCTTCTTGACCAAAAACTGTGCCAGATAATTCTTGAAAGATAATGCGTAAAGATTTAGGGTGGGAAGATGCAGAGTTGGAAAGTGGTAGATGGAAGCTCAGACACAGTTGTGATAATGACTTGGTTATACCCACAGATCCATGGATGGAGCTGCCTCCAAAAACTAAAAATAGAACGACTATGTGATCCAGCAATTCTGCTTCTGGGAATACATCAAAGGGATTCATGCACAGCCGTGTTCATAGAGCATTATTCACAATGGACAAGACATAGAAACAACCTAAATGTCTATCAGTGGATGGATAAAGAAGTCGTGGGGTGTGTGTGTGTGTGTGTGTGTGTGTGTGTATGAATATTATTCAGCCACTAAAATGAGGAAATCCTGTCATTTGCAACAACATGGATGCACCTTAAAGGCATAATGTTAAGTGAAATAAGTCAAGAGAAAGACAAATACTCTATGATCTCATTTATGTGTGAAATCTAAAACCAAAAACTCATAGAAGAGAAATCAGATTTATGGTTTTCAGAGGCGAGGGTGGGTGGAGGAGGAATTGGAGGAAGGTGATCAAAAAAGTACCAACTTCCAGTTCCAAGAGAAATAAGTACCAGGGATGTAATGTACAACAGGATGGCTACAGTCACCACTGCTGGATGTAGCTTGCTCTTTCAAATTGCAATTTTATTGTATTTCTATTGCATGTTAAAAGTAAATGTTTAAAACATGTACAATTCTTTGACCCTTTATTTGCATTTCTTCATTTTAAAAAAAATGGGGCACCTGGGTGGCTCAGGTGGTTGAGCATCTGCCTTCGGCTCAGGTGATGATCCCAGGGTCCTGGGATCGAGTCCCGCATCGGGCTCCCTGCTCCTTGGGAGCCTGCTTCTCCCTCTGCCTCTCTCTCTCTCTCTCTGTCTCTCATGAATAAATAAATAAAATCTTTAAAAAAAAAGTACCAGAGCCCTCCATAAATGGAAGCGCCCAAGCCACCACCTTCAACCTGTGGGAGGTCCTGCCAGGCTTCAGCTGTCTCACCATGGCCTTCTCTTCTCAGGCTGCTGGGTCCTGAGCAGGTAGATCAACCCTTTGTCTAGATTTGCACACTTTCCATTCTATTTCCTGGTGTCTTGCAGTTTCTAAAGCAAATCCACATTTGTGCTAGCAATGACTCTGGTTTGTTCAAATATTTTTTACTCCTCAATCTTCATGTCCATTTTCTGCCCTTGACTCCTCCCCCACGCCTCTCTCCCATGGGAGACAGCCAGGACCAAATGTCTAGAGCCATTTCAGTGAGAACCAGATCAACAGCACAACCCGGTGTGACACCTGGATGCAGTAATGACAGCAGCCCCCTTGCAGAATGTCTTTGCTCTCTGCCAGGCATGGGCTGAGGACTTTGCCTGCATGATCTGATTTACTCCCCATTAACTAGCAATGCTACCTCCCTTTTATAGACAAAGGTAGCTTAGACTCAAAGACTTGAACAAGCTTACTCAAGATCATGCAGCCACCGAGTGTTGGAGCCAGGATTTGGATCCAGGTCTGTCTGATTCCAAAAGCTTGTGCTTTTAACCACAGTACAAAAAGAGAGAACAAAAAAGTGACCCAGCTTGGCAAGGCTGGAGTTGAAGTTCAGCTGCCTCAGCTTTACCACCACCTGGCCGGCCCCTGGCTATAGCAGGAGATGTGTAGGAGAGACAATTTACCTGCTTTCTGCATTGGTGTGAATTTCAGGGTTTTGTCCGACTTTATTTTACTCAGAGTTCTGAAACCCATCCTGAACCATTTCTCAGATGTCTTCAATCCCACTCCGAACACAGAAGTAAAGAGCTGAAACAGAGGGAAAGGCATGCCTTTAGTTTCTAAAATGATCATTATGATAATGAAGCGACACTTTACAAGTTCAAGGGATTAGGAAAACGTGTAAGGAAATTTCTGAACCAGTTTCTCCTGAATATGATAAGCAGGAAGGTGATAGTAACTTTGGACAGAGCTTTTGGTTTCAGGAGGGTCCTCTCCTGACATACGGTGTTAGGAAACGGAATGGAAGTGAGGAGGCGGCGCCTGGCACCTGCCGAGGCTTCTGTGTACTCCGACGGCTGATTGCCTGTGCCGTCCACGTGTGACAGCAGCTTCCCCTGTCGGGCACTCCTCTTGGCCCAGGGTCCCTTACACGTGCTCATGCTCTGCGTATCTTAAGAGGGATGCTCATGTAGGTTGTGTGAATTCCTGACCATTGCCCTGCTGATAAGTGGCAAAGCCCAAACTCAAATCCAGGCTGTCCGCACTCCAAGCCTCGGCTCCTGCCCACAAGCACCTTTTGGCCTGTGCATCACTCTGGAACCAAAAGACTGGGCAGAAATCCCTGCCACCTGCAACTCCAGGGTGGGGAACATTGGGAGGTAACAAGCCCTGCTTTAAGGTAGATCAGGATGCAGTGGGGAGCCTCCGACAGAGGTGTGCTCTTTAAGAGCAGGTTTGTTTTGTCCCATGGTCCTAGCGTCCCCATGATATTTGTATCGATGAGTGACAGATGCTAGAAGATAATTTGTACCTCATTATAGCATAGCAATAAGCTCATGCACTCATATTTATTTTGGCATCTGCTTTCTAGACCACAGTTTGGACTGATTGTGCCCCCTTCCATCCATATGTTGAAGCCCTAACTGCCATGGTGGTGGTATTTGGAGATGAGGACTTAGGGAGGTGATTAGGTTTAGATGAGGTCATGACGGTGGGGCCCTCATGAAGGGATTAGTGCCTTAATAAGAAGAGGCACCATAGGACTTCCTCTGTGTGTGTGTGTGTGTGTGTGTGTGTGTCATGTGAGGGCATGTTGAGAAGGTGGCCATCTGCAAGCCAGGAAGAGAGCCCTAACCTGAACCCGATCATGCTGGCACCCTGGTCTCAGGCTTCCAGGCTCCAGAAGTCTAAGAAAATAAATAATTGTTGTTTAATCCACCCAGCCTGTGGCATTTTTTTATGGTAGCCCAAGCTGATTTGACCACTTAGAATAAATAATAGGATTACCTGGAAAACCATTTTAAATAAATACGTGTAAAATTACTTACTTTGAAGGACTGATATCGTTCATCATTTAACACAGCTTTAACTTCAGAACTTTCTCCATCTTCAATAATTTCCTGCATGGACGGTTGAAAAATATTTTACACTAGTGATGGTAAACAACCAGAGAGTCTGGAGCTCTCAAATTTCCAGAGGTAGTAGCTTGATTGTTCAGGAAATGTTCGCCTGTTGCCTGCAGGATGTTTCCCTAGCTGATCTGGACAAAACCGGACATTTCCTGTAATCTTAGAAATCCCAGCTCATTTATAGTCCTCAGGGATGAAGGCACAGAATGATCAGGGTCCAACTCCACAGAACACCAAACCAAAAGATTCACCGACAATAGTATGCCTAAATATTTGTGATAATTTTCTTTTCGATGGCTATGCACTAGCTGAGACAAAAAGACTTCTCGTCTGAGCAGATTAATTTTGTTTGGACCCATTGAAAAACCAATCCAAGTTCAAGCTCTTATGATGTCTAGCTCTAAATAGAGTTGAGAGTATCTTCCTTGAATACTTTACTTTGCACCTAACTTTACTGAAACTTAATTCTCGGATGACCAACTTGCTTTGCTGGGGAATCCTTAAACATTATTATTACATAAATAATCCCCCATCCCTGGCTTTCTTGTTGGAACACACAGGGAGAGATGCAGAATCAGGTTCACTGCGTAGTCACTCCTACCACCATTCTGGAGGGCAGTGTCCCCTGAGAGGAACTGAGGTCCTTCACAAAGCCTGTATTTGAAGTTGGACCATACCCTGCTGTCGAGCTTTTAGGACACTTGAGTCTTTTACTGTGATTAATGATAATATTGGGAGAGTTCTCTTCCTACTAGCTTTGTCCCATGTAGCCCCAGCTGTGAGAAAACTGGGGCATGGATTCTATCATCTATCTATCTATCTATCATCTATCTATCTATCTATCATCTATCTATCTATCTATCATCTATCTATCTATCTATCTATCTGTCTGTCTGTCTGTCTATCCCCCATTTCACATCTACATAGTTGACAGGAAAATCTATTAACTGCTTTTACTTCCCCCCTCCTCCCTACATGTTAGGAAGTAGGACAAATCACATTTTACCCTTACCTCTATGACACACTTCACTTTGTCCCCCAGACAGGGAATTCCTTCTGTGTCCTTCATACTGATGATTGTGAAGGGCAGGGATTTAAGTACAGAAGCTGCTCTCATAAATGCCAGGCAGAAGACTTCATTTTCTTTAAACTCATAGTTTTCAGCCAGTACCTCAAAGGCATCCTAAAGAATGAAACCAGGTAAGCTAACCCCGGTCAGTTCCTGAGCTAGCTAGCTCTGCAAATGCCTCTTCCTCTTCTTGAGTGTTGAAATACCTCCTGAAGGGTGAGATTGGGTCTCCCATATCTTTGCACCCCTCCCTTGTTATGAGAGGAGTTGAACTGAAAAGACAGGTCACAGACGCTTCATAAGGAAACTTTGAGTTCACTCCCATTAGGTATTCGGGAATGATTTAACCAAAGCCTGATCTCAGGCTCACTGCATCTACTAGGCATTACTCAGTAAGACCCTGCCTTCTTTCCTTGCACACTTCTCCACCAGCCTGTGGCCAGGATTCTGCTTTGATCACCTGGCGGTTTCATCTCTTAGCTTGTACGTAAAACACAGTCAGCACCTAACATGGGCTTACTGAATGAATGAATGGGTGTGATCATAGTGACACAGACCCAAGGCAGGTTGTTTAAGGTAGGGCACATTTGCATTTCAGTAGCTGCAGCCCTGTGGCATCATGCTCCCATGCCCAGGACTGCAGTTTCCTGGTCTTCCTCATACATGTGGGGCTGGAAGTCTAGAAATGAGAATTTTGTATTTGATATACTAACAGCATGTTTTAACCACCTGACTACTTGCTCTAGGCTGGCGGACAAGCAGCTGTGGGCTTGTTAAGGTCATTTGAAACACAACTGCCAAACTTCAGGGCTGGCTGGGGCTTTAGACACAATCTAGCTAACTTAGAATTGAACGGATATATTTGAGGCTCAGAGAGAGGAACTGACTTGCCCAAGCTGGTTAAGATCACACACACAGGTGAGAATCCAGATCTGCGGTCTCTCAGTCGTTTGGTTACCCAGGAAGGGCTATTGATGCATTATTGTTGTTTCTTTGTAACTTGCTCTTACTATGGTTTGGACTAAGTACAGTATTCAGTTTTTCCTAATACTTGCCTTTGACAACTGTTGTGCCCAAAAGTGTCAACTCTCAATAAATAGTAATTTACCATCTCTAAAGAATATACATATTTTTCCCAAATGTATTTGTCCAGTTCTATGACAGAAGTAGATCCATTCTTGACAGAAGAACCAGAGATCAGGTGAGGGGGGTGGAGAGTGAGTGTGGGGAAAATGTTCCTAGATTTTTCAGAATATTTCATAATTGGATTTGTAGATGTGTGGAAAGAAGCTGCAAGCCCTTCATTTGCTCTTTGCTCTGGGTGTTGTTGTAACACCCCTTACCGTGAAGATGTGGTTACAGTTGTTTAAAGTGGTTCTTCTCTGACATGCGTATTGAGAGATCTTTTTTACAGCAAGTGGTGGAGTCTTCTGGAGCTCTGGGTTGGGGCTAGCTGAATGGTCTCTTCTCACCTAAACAAATGCATAAGCGTCCATTTTTTTTTTAAGATTTTATTTATTTATTTATTTATTTGAGAGAGCGAGAATGAGAGAGAGAGCACATGAGAGGGGGGAGGGTCAGAGGGAGAAGCAGACTCTCCGCTGAGCAGCAGGGAGCCCGATGCGGGACTTGATCCCGGGACTCCAGGACCATGACCTGAGCCAAAGGCAGTCGCTTAACCAACTGAGCCACCCAAGCGCCCCGCATAAGCATCCATTTTTAATAACAATCGGTAACAATAATAATAGATATTATGAAGAAAAAATTGGCAGCAGTTTAATGGCAATTGTCTCTGGAGAGAGGGTAAAATTATAGGAGGGTCAAAGTTTATATTATATGCATCTCTAATATTCAAATTTGCTACAGTTAACATGTAATATTTTTGCATCAAGAAAAATAAACATGAAAAAGAACAATCAATTAAGTACCATTTTCCTTTTCCATGAACTTACATAGTCATGGTCTGAACCTTCCAGACGGTTCTAGCATTAATGGTGAAGGACTTGGAATTAAGAGTCCAACTTTCCTTATTTTTTCTTTATGAATGATCATAGTAAGAAAAAAAAAAAAGGAACCCTTCACTTTTCTGGCTACCAGAACATCAACATTCCACATTTTGAAATATTTGTGTATGGTCTTGCTCACAAAACTAGCTACCATTTATTAGGTGCTATAGATCAGGCTCTGTGGTAAGCGCTTTGCATTATGTCACTCTAGTTCTCATAACCATCTTGTCAGGTAGGTCCAATTGCTATCTTATTTTGTAGAGGAGGAAGCAGAAGCTCAGAAAAGCTGAGTGACTTGTCCAAGCTCACACAGGGGGTAAGCAGAAAACCTGGGGTCTAACCCAGGTCTGTTGATTCTACAGCCCGTGTTCCTAATTATCAAGTGAAGGGCAAAGAAAACCACAACGATAACACTTACAAGCTGGTGTTTCCCCAGCATCTCCACTGGTCTTCCTGCTCCCATTGATTCTATCAGCCAGGAGACGTCAAGGAGTTCTAGCTGTGAGCTGGTTTTCATATTCTGTACCTGCAGCCACTCCAGGACCTCTGCGCCAGAGTTGTTTTCGGCCACAATGTGGGTGATGGAATCACTGCAGAATGCAAGAGAGCGTTACCAGCTGAAGGGAATTTCAAATGAGAAGTGCTTCTCTCTCCTTGAGGTGTTCAGAACATGCTGTCTGATGAAGAAAAATGCATGCTAGACCTGACCATAGGCACAGAGAATTTAGGCCTCCAGGGAAGGGAATTCTGCTTTAATTAGTGTAGCCACAGTGGTCTATGTTACATGTCAGACGCAAGAAAAATTAAGAAAACATTAACAAGATTGTGGTCAATGGAAAACCAAAGTCCAGAGAAGATGGAAGATGAAATTGTTCTTAAAGTAGCAGCAAGCACTGTACGTGTGGCTTTGGTGTGCCATTTTATTTTTATTTGTAGAGGGCTTCAGCCCGGTGCCTTTCCAACTGACCGACTCCGATCCACAGTGAGAAATACATTTTATATCATGACCTAAAATAGAAAGAGATATATGTAGATATGCTTGTAACATCCCATTAAACTGGTCTCACAACCCATTAATAGATGGTGACCAGCTTTGAGGAAATATTGCTCCACATGTTTTTCAAGGCACAGTCTAGTGATGGAGGGGTAGGTGAGAAGCTTTCCCCCAGTAACCACTGAGCACGTACCGTGTTTCAGCATTATCCAGGTACCTTACATCCATCCTCCCACTTAATACTCCCGAAGCTCCTCAAGGAAGTGTTATGTTATTCACACTTCAAAAATGGGGAAACTGAATGACAGAGTTTATGTGACAGTCTGAAGGTCACACAGCTAGTAAATGGTATCGATCCTTTTTGATTGTCTCTTTCTGGGTCAAGTATGTTATTTCTGGTTTTCAATAAGTCTTCACGGTCAACATCATATCATTGGAACCGATGTTTTTTAAGGCTCTTTCCGTTCAAATAATCTACGAATCTGGGAGATAGTAAGATGCATATCTAGGCATCCAAGAGAAGAATAGAATTCTTTTCTCTTTCCCACTTCTCTTCCTTGACTTCCTCTTTCTCCTTCTCCTTTTTTTGATTAACTCTTGGATTCACTGGGTATTTTTTGGTTCCCTGTTATATTCACAGCCCTAGGTTCCTTGTGGTGGTGGCAGCAACGGTGGTTGTAGTGGTAGGAAGTAGGGTACCAAAGAAGAAAAGGGAAGTTTCTGGACATTAGTATCTTTTTTTTTGAAGATTTTATTTATTTATTTGACACACAGAGAGAGAGAGCACAAGTAGGCAGAGCAGCAGGCAGAGGGAGGGGGAGAAGTAGGCTCCCCGCTGAGCAGGGAGCCCGATGTGGGGCTCGATCCCAGGACCCTGGGATCATGACCTGAGCAGAAGGCAGACGCTTAACCGACTGAACCACCCAGGCGCCCCTGGACATTAATATCTTACGTGAAGCAGATGGTTAACGATATGTTATGACAAGACATGAGGCATGGACAAGATCTGCAAGTGGTGTGCAGAGAAGGAGAAGAGCTGGCGTGAGCTGAGAGAGGCAGGGTGGCTTTGTGGAAGGAGGGGATTTTGTCCAGTCTTGATGGATGGGGAGGAATAAATAGGGACCTGGAAGGCAGAACTTTGGGCCCTCCTAGAAGAAAAGGTTCAGAGGCCAGAGGAAAGTAGGAGAATGGGCTGGACCAGAGTGAAGAGTTTATGTTGGGAAGTAGTTGTAGATGTGGCTGAGTTGTTGGGGCAACCATGTTATAGAAGGTCTTAGGAGCCTGGTTGAGGAGGTTGGATCTCATTTTCTGGGGTGGTGGAACCAGGGAAGGATTTTGTGAGCAGAATATGCATAGCCTCACCGTGTCTTTTAAAAAGGCTAATCTGGTCCACACAATGATTTGGAGGGGAGAGTGATGGGTGAGGAGGGTGGGGAGCTAATTAGTAGAATGACACTATGACCACGTGCGAGATGATTCTATCGCCGTCCGACTCCGGTAGCACCAGGAAGGAAGGCAAAGGAGACACAGGAGGGGCCTCTGGCGTTAGTTCACCTATGAAAGCTGAAGCAGAGAGCAAATATTACTTTCCCATCTCTATCACAGTAAAGTCGGAGTGCTTTTGGTAGAAATGGGGATTTAAGAAGTCGTCTCTTTGGGGTGGGGAGTGAAAATGAAATTGGTTTCGGGCATGCTGCGCTTGAAGGGCAGCAAGAGGTCCAAAGTGAGAATGTCCGGCTGGCAGTTGGGGTGTGAGGCTGGCGCTGGGAGAGGGCTGGGGCTGGAGGCCAGAGCTGAGCCATCTGGGTGGCGGGGTGCGCAGCGGGCCAAAGCGGAAGTGCTTCGTGGTGAAACCACATCTGGCAAGAGTTGGGGGAAGACCACTCAGTGCATCCCTATTCTAGGTCCTCAGCATTCCAAGCGTGATTTGTAATAAGCTTCTTGAAAGGTTCTTTATGTGAAGACTTTAAGAAGACAATAGAACCATTAATAGAGCTACAGAGGAAGTGTTATTCCGTCTAGACTTCTGCCCTTTGGAGGAAAACTTTATTATAATATTATTTTTAATTATAATAGAATATTTTGCTATTATAATTAGTATTAAGGCTCTGTCTTAACTTCAGGGGAGACGGGTGTGCTGAGGGGGAGCTCTGGGGCTCAACTTCCAAATTCAAGCCCCTCCCCATCCACTCTCCTGCCATCCCCACCCCCCCCACTATGGCTTCCCCTGGGACAACGTGGCCATGTCTGAGTTCACACAATTGGATGAGAACCACATGCATTTTTCACAGCGTTCATAGAAGCACATTTGCAGATAAACAGGCCACACAGCCTATGGAAGAAGACTCTGATTTGAACTTCCAACCCCTACTCATTAAGCAATTAGCAAACAAAACCAAACAACAATGACAACAGCAATAATAGAACACACACACAAAATCAAACAGGACCTCTTCAGCCGTCCACACAGTGCTACCCAGAGCTGGGTACTGCTTGTCCCTGGTTCCCACAAGGTAAGCACAGAAATTAAAAGTCAGCATTTAGAAACTTTCATTGTAATTTGACACCATCACAGTAGCTTCCTGTATGTTGTTTTTTGATAAAAGCGTTGCTCTGTAATGAAGTTTTTGGAAAACGGGTCCTTCACCACAAATAACTTAAGAAAGATCGTCTAGAGAATAATCTCTACATTCCCGGTCTTCTTGCGTTGCCTGAGTTGGGCTGATGGGCTCCTGGTGGCCAGCTGCATCTGGACTACAACGTGCTTCCTGCGTCAGGCTCGTCACGTGCCCTTTGCAGACCATTCTCAGTCTCTGTGCCTTTGCTCACTTTCAGTTCTGAGCCCTTAGCAACAGCGCTGCTAAGGAGAGCTCTGCCTCCCGTGTGTTCTGCTGACAATTCCTTAGTGCCGTGTTGTGGCAACTCTTTGTCTATTTGCTACAAGAGTAATTTTCTCTCTGCTCTGAGCACGCCAATATTAGAAATATTAGTAATATGGGAATACCACTATGTGCCAGACTGTACGGTAGGCACATTTCTCGCATTCCCTCATCTAATTGTCAATGAGAAAATAGACCTTGGAGACATTAAAAATTCACCCAGCTGATAATTGGTGGAGTAGGGATTCAATCCCCGATCGATGTTAGTCCAAAGCCTCTGTGTGGGGCTAAACTGAGCTACCCCTCTGTGACTTTGTGCTTCTTCCATGGCAGAAGGAAGAACTTCTGGAAGGGTATCTTCATAATAAAAAACCCTGATTCCCTCCAAAGGGCAGAAACAGAGAACCGATAGCACTTCCCATTGGCCACACTGTCCCTGCTGCTGCCGCCACATGGAATTTGTGTCTGGAATTTATGTCCAATAGCATGTGGACCTCAGTAAGACTGCAAGACATGGACAGCTGTCCCAGGAAATCTGAAAGAACAGTTGCCATGGCTACACACACCAAGATGGAGAAGTCACAGGGAGGCTGTCAGGCTCTCTGAGCTCTGAATTTTACCTAAGCCTCGCAGAGAGGCAAATGTGCTGAGGGGAGCCCTGGGGCTCATCTTCCAAGTTCAGGCCCCTCACCATTCACTCTTACCACCCCTGCCCCACCACCACTCTCTCTTCACGGGGGATGTCTCTGGATCCCTGGGGACGTCGTGGGGTCGGGGGGGGATGCTGTATAAGGATCCACCAACAATACAACGTACAGGCATACCCAAAAGAAAAGGCTGTAGAAGAATACTCCAGAATACTGCAGACGGTTAGAAAAATACACACACACACACACACACACACGTATATTCTTACTCAGTCCTCACAGGTCTTATGTGGTGGGCGATATCATTTCAGATGAGAAAACCAAGGCTTGAGGAGGCTCCGTGAAGCCAGGATTCAAACCCAGCTGTGCATGACTCAAGCAATCTCTTAACGTTCTACTAGACTGTGGTTAGAACCCTGAGTGAGGTGTTGTTTGTTTTAAGTTTTTTTTTTTTTCTGTATTTTCTCATTTTCTGTCATGAACCATCTATCATCACTTTCTACTTAGGGAGAAAAATACGTATGAATGTCATTTTTAAGGGCAAAACCTGGATCTGGGGCTGAGGTGGTACCTGCCTTGGCCCTGGAGTCCTCGGCTTTTTTCTTACACTGAGAGAGGACAGAAGCCCCAGGCAGTAGCCCCAAACTTCTCCCAGAGACCCCAAGGTGCTGTGGAGATGGCTGTTCCTGGATTTCTTTAGTTTCTTTTTTTTTTTTTTAAGATTTTATTTATTTATTTGAGAGAGAGTGAGAGTGAGGGAGAGAGAGAGCACAAGATGGGGGAAGGTCAGAGAGAGAAGCAGAGAGCCCGACGTGAAACTCAATCCCTGGACTCGGATCCCGGGACTCTGAGATCATGACCTGAGCCGAAGGCAGATGCTTAACCGACTGAGCCACCCAGGCGCCCCAAGTGCACCTAGTCTCTTAGCCAGAACCAATCACTGTTGTCTTGGACTAGGTTTGGGAGGGATTGAACCAATTAGAACAATTCTGAACTAGGATTCGTCCCTCAGCTTCTCACAGGGAAAAGGATTCCGGGTCCTCTCCTTCAACTAGTGCTCAACGGAAATG